TAACCCAAACAATTGGTTATAGAACAACCCAAGTTTGGGTAGTTCCAGTTTTCACCCTTTCTTTGGCAAAATTAACCCAGACACTTTTTTTCAGGGCTGAAGATAACTTCACCAATATCAACCATGCAGAGTGACGTAACTAAGGGGAGGGGCATGGAACACACACTTCAGCATATGCCCCAGCACCTGCTAAGAACATAAAGTCAGGGACAAACACATTGAGTGGCCCTCCTAGAAAATGAGGCCAAAACGTGCCCCACCCCTGGAAAACGAACCCCAGTTCCGTCAGTGGCTATAATCTATACCGAAAACGCATGGTGCTTGAATTTTAAGAGTCAACGTTAACACAAATGAAAGGAACAACCTCAGGTCAGTGACGTAGATCGGTGCTGGGGAATGGGGTGACGGATGACCAAGATCAAACAAATGCCCGGCCGTTGAATTTCGAAAGATAGGGAGGGGGGGGGGGGGGGTGTGATGGACACCACATGCCATTAGTAGGCGCTGCTCATGATGCATACGCCCCTTAATATTACATCAAAACGCCACATTTAAAGCCTTTATATAACTTTCCTCTTTTTCAGTATACATGTACTATCGAATACACTTTGTTCGATAAATACCTCAAACTCAGCCTGTTATGTTTCTCATCACGAAAGGGAAGGGGGGGGGTAATCCAATAGCCCACCCCTATAAAAAAGTGGGGGATATACATCCCCCCCCCCCCGATTTACGCCCCTGCCTCAGGTAATACGAATTTCATATATCAATCAGTAGTCTTAACCAGATACTATTCAAGACGTACTATGTGTGCTATTGTCGCGTATCACCCTGAAAATATACTTATTCAATTGCTATTTGACTAGCACTAGGCATACAGAGGTCATTCACTGTACAACTTTCCCATTATTTCAGTACTCGTAGGGAAGACTATTCTCGCCCCACCATCAGAATCGATCATGTAGGGATATACGGACCCGTTTACTTGTTAGGCGGATCGGTTTTACCCATAAAAAGCAGACACCGAAAAGTACGGTCTTGTTCGTTAAGATAATAAAAACTTGGAGAAAAAATCAAATTGATGAGGAAAACGGGTAATACGTTTTTATATAAGAGTGAGGTAGGGTAAAAGTGTAGCAACAAATTTGTCTTCCGCAACATTCTTCGATGCGGCTTTGGAGCATTTACTATAGCGTGTACAAATTGGAAAGTATACTGAGGATGTATCGTTCACATGTAAATTTCCACTTTTGTTGATACGGCCTATAGTGAATATGTTAATTATGATTGATTTTGGGGGGTGGTATCCCGAATAAGGCCGTAGCTGGAAAGTTTGAAAGAATTTGTGGATTTTTAAGTTACAAAACATTTAGAGGGCTGTGGGTGGTATGTGAATTTCTAAGGTTGGAATTTGCATTTTCTAGACTGACTTACTGAAGTATTCACATACTTTGAGTGCCGTAGAATTTTAGCGAGCGGTTGAGGGGAGAAGCAAACAGGTTGGAGGTGCGATAGCACATACTGAGCGATAGCTCCTGATAATTTAGTTTTTACTAGATTTCATTTTGCGGATTTGAGAATCCTGGTTTTGGTGTTAGCCAAAGTGTCAGCGTTAGCTGTTTTGAGCTGTTTTCAGCGTTTGTTACCTGTGTATAGCTGTTTCTCACAAGCTGTTTAGCCAGCGAGATTTGCACCCCTTGACGGTGTACCTGGTCTTAGGAGCCAGTATATACTGTAAGTTGTATTTAAATGATTTTTCTTATTAGTTTAATGTAATTATTTCATTTCAACATCGGTAAATGAGTCAATTTTGTTGTAATGTAGATCGTGCATATTTGAATGGGTTAATAACATGGTAAATTGCTTTTTGAGACACGCCCCTTTTGGGAGGATATTCACACTGTTTTGTGGTCCATTTAATGTACTTAAGTTAAGCCTGAAAATACTAGGAAGTAGGTGTTTATTATTGTATTTAATATTTTCAGGGCTCCTTATTGTGGATTTAGAACCACACCAGACAAGTTTGATCGGAACCGCCCATGGGCTGGGACCGCTGTGATTCACTCCACTGCACTGTGGAGCCTTCCTGCTCTAGAAACTGAGGTCGTGGACATCTGGCCCGCCAAGTCGCATGTAAAGGAGCGTCATCCACCTCCGATTCGCCAGTGCAAGGATCCCTTAGTGGACCGCTGGACGATCGCAGTGAACTGATTGAGTATTATCCTCAGGTTGTAGAGTTATAAGTATTGGGAAAGTAATTAGGGTCTAGGAATTGAATTAGTCAAACAGTACTCCCCATTCATTGAATTCTGGTATATTTTGTAGGTAGTGTAAATAAATATTTATTTTCTTTTGTAAATATCAAAATCTGTTTCTGAAGATTTCCTTTTTTTTATCAGGGACGTGTCCTAGAAACATAAATACTTCGTATAGTTGAGCCCGGTTTGTGACAATGGGGGCATGTCCGGGAAACTAAAGCCAAACAGGTGGAAAGAACCTCATATTAGGGGATTCTTTACCTGAAACACGTCCTGATTTTCAAATTCCTTTTTTTTCCCCTCATATTCTGATGGTTTTATGATTGCATTCTGATATTGACATTGCATTTGATATTCCAATTGCATTGGTTTTATGACATTGCATTTACTTGTTTGTAATTGTTCAGATTTGTTGGCTGTACTAAAAGGATTGTAGATGTAAGGTACACTCTCTTTCTATACAAGTACAGGGTTATTTCAGGAAGGGAGTAGTGCGCATGCATATCATGAGTCTGACCCAGGGAACAATTTATTTCTTGTTGACAGTTTCGCACGCGTTGTAGGCACCGCGATAGATAACTTTCGATGCGCGTTACGGTAGTTGTTCGTCTTTTTTTTGACGCTTTTGTTGTTGTTGCTAGTGCATTATCCCGTCAAGATGGCACATGCCAAGGCATTTGAAGACTTTCTGACATTAGGAAAGAATCTAAGTCTCACGGGAGACACATTGATAGCCTTCGCTAAGGAACGCGAGCAAGTCAAGCGAGATTATGAACACGCATTGGCAGCACGAGAGAAAGAAGAACGCGTGAATCGCAGAGAGCATGAAAAACTGATGCAAGAATATGAACTTAAGAAGCAAGAATTGATCAATACGAAAGCGGGAACTAAAGAGCCGGCAACCGAGCACAAGCCGCAAGCGAAGCTCCCTAAACTGCCTGAGTTTAAAGATGGCAAGGACGACTTAGACGCGTACTTAAAGCGATTTGAGAGATTTGCAACCATCATGAAATGGCGTAAGGAGGATTTGGCAACCTCTCTTTGTGCATTGCTCACAGGTAGAGCCCTAGAGGTCTATGCGCGTATGCCTAGTAAAGCAGCTGAAGATTATGACGCTGTTAAGAAGGCGTTGCTGAATAGATATCTGTTGAGTGAGGAAAGATTTACGATTAAGTTTAGATCAAGTAGGCCAGAGTTTGCGGAAACTTATACGCAGTTTGAAGACAGGATTTCAGGCTACTTGACTAGGTGGATTGAGTTAGGAGGTGTAGCTAAGACATACGAAGGTTTGTTTGAATTGATAGCGCGTGAACAAATCTTGAAGGTTTGTAGCAAGGACTTAGCTTTGTTCCTTAAGGAGAGGAAGACTACTAGTTTGAGTGAACTTGTAGGTTTAGCAGATCGCTATGCAGAGGCGCATAATGACCGTTACCTCCTTAATCCTAGACCTAGTGTTAGTAGGGATAATAAGGGTAGTAAGGCGCCAAGTGCGACTAAGCCAGGCGCAGCATCACGACCAAACGTGAGCACAGAGCGGATAGATCAGCTTAGGGCAGAAAACAAGTGCTTTGAGTGTGGACGTTTTGGGCACATTGCCCGCAACTGTCGGAATCGTAACCGCCAGGGTAAGAGTGCAAACACAACTTACAAGAAAGGTGCAAGTTTAGTTGTTCAGGAGAATAATCAGGTCAGTACTGGTAGCTCTGATGATTTACCTCAGGACAACAGCTCAAACGAAACTGTTGACGCATGCTTACCCGTAGAGAAAGGTTTATGTGATTGTCAGGATCATGTAGGCAAGGATGTAGTTATGATTTGTGAACATACTTTACCCATTGTAAGTGCAGCATGTACTGGAAATAATGTTATGCCTGTCACTGATGGTTTGGTCGGTAACCGAAGAGTTAGGGTCATGCGTGATACAGGTTGTAGTACTGTAGTTGTTAGGCAGAATTTGATAGATGATTCTCAGTTGTTAGGGGTGACAGAAGGATGTGTTCTGATGGATGGAACAATACGTAAGTATCCAGTAGCCCAGGTTAAACTTGACACTCCATATTTCTCTGGCATTGTTAAAGCTTTGTGCATGAAAAATCCAGTTTATGACGTAGTCATCGGAAACATCGCCGGGGCAAGCCCAGCACAAGATCCCGATCACACATGGGTTCCACGCCAGATGCACTCGAACGAGACCAAATCTGACGCAGTGAAGCCAGCTGAGGTTCATGCCGATACTGCAAAGACCAGCACACCTGAGGTCAACCTGATCGAGGACGACGCTGTGACGTTGAATGAGGCTCAAGCTGTGGAGACTAGAGGACAAAAGATGAAGAGAGAGGACGCGTGAGGAGATCCTCAAGGCGCAAAAGGAAGATTCAAGTTTGGAGAAGTTTTGGAAGATGGCTGAGACAGGTGATGTGAAGTTGTCAGGTCAGGATAATGAAGTCAGGTTCATGGTTAAGAATGGGTTGCTTTATAGAGAGTTCACCTCACCGAGAATAGAACAGGGTCACACATTCAAACAGTTGGTTGTTCCGAAACAGTTCAGGGATTTTGTTCTTCGTGTAGTTCATGACTCACCAATGGCAGGTCACATGGGGTCTAAACGAACGGCTGACAGAGTTTTGTCTAAGTTTTTTTGGCCAGGTGTATACAGTGATTCCCACAGATTCTGCGTCTCTTGTGATGTGTGTCAGCGCACCGTTTCTAAAGGAAGCATCACCAGAGCACCCCATAGGACAGATGCCGTTGATCGACACCCCCTTCAGGAGAGTGGCTGTTGATTTGATTGGTCCCATCACTCCAATTACAGAGCAAGGTAATCGCTACATCCTAACACTTGTCGATTACGCAACGAGGTACCCTGAGACACTCCCACTCAAGAAGATTGAAACAGAGCGAGTCGCTGAGGCCCTACTGCAGATGTTTTCTCGCATCGGTGTTCCAGAGGAGATTTTGTCTGACATGGGGACACAGTTTACCTCTGATCTGATGAAGGAGGTTGGACGGTTGTTAATGGTCAAGCAGCTCACCACAACACCATACCACCCGATGTGCAACGGGCTCGTCGAGAGGTTTAATGGTACTCTTAAGAAAATGCTTCGTCGCATGTGTAGTGAACGGCCAAGAGATTGGGACAAATATCTACCTGCCCTGTTGTTCGCATACCGAGAAGTCCCACAGGAAAGCACCGGATTCTCACCGTTTGAGCTGATCTACGGAAGAACTCTTCGAGGACCAATGGCTATCCTTAGAGACTTGTGGACTACAGAACATGTCGAAGATGAAGAGGTCAAATCAACCTACCAATATGTAGTCGACCTGCGTGAACGCATGGAAGCTACCTGTACCATGGCTCAAGAGGAACTGAGCAAAACTTCAAAGAGGTACCGCAAGTACTATGATGTCAGAAGTCGTGACCGGAAGTTTGCAGGGGATGATGAAGTCCTCATTCTTCTTCCTACTTACCAAAACAAGCTACTGATGCAGTGGAAAGGTCCCTTCAAAATCACAAAGAAGATAGCCAAACACGATTACCGAGTCAAGGTTGGGAACAAGGATAAGACCTACCATACAAACCTGTTGAAGAAATATGTGAGACGCGAAGATGAGAAGTCAGAAGTAATGTCAGTCTCCAACCACTTGTCGTTAGCCTGTGCAGGAATTGTAGAAGCAGCTGACGAAGACTTCGATGATGACACCCCAGCGCTCGAGTTACCTCCTCTAGAGCAGAACGAGTATTCAACGGATGTCCATATTGACGAGAACAGAAGTGAGCCTGAAACGCAGTCCGTCCGAAACCTACTTGAAGAATACACTGACGTGTTCACAGATATGCCGGGTAGGACACATTTAGTCGAATATACAGTCAAACTTACCACAGATGCCCCAATCAGATCCAAACCGTACCCAGTTCCACATGCTGTCAAAGATACCATCCGCAAAGAAGTTGAGACGATGATGAGACTTGGTGTCATTAAATCCAGCACTTCACCGTATGCCGCTCCCATAGTCTTAGTTCACAAGAAAGATGGCTCCAACAGGTTCTGCATCGACTTCCGCAAGTTAAACAAAGTAACAGTGTTCGACCCAGAGCCCATACCCAACACCGACGACTTGATGGCCAAATTAGGACAAGGGAAGTATTTCTCTAAAATAGACTTATCGAAGGGATATTGGCAAATCCCCATCGCCCAACAAGACAAAGAGAAAACAGCATTCGTAACATCAGATGGTCTTTACCAGTTCTCCGTCTTACCGTTTGGTATGATCAATGCCCCCGCTGCTTTCAGCAGGATGATGCGCAAGTTGTTGTCTGGTCTGCATAATGTCATCAATTACATCGATGATATCCTCATCTTTTCAGGTAAGTGGGATGAACATGTAGATGTGCTTAGGGAAGTCATGACTAGGCTTAGAATGGCTGGCTTAACAGCTCGGCCAACCAAGTGCTACTTAGGATTTGAGACTCTAGAGTTCTTAGGTCATATTGTAGGTGAAGGTCTCATTAGACCGCAACCAGACAAGGTCAAAGGTATCATGTCAGTAAGTAGGCCCACCACCAAGAAGGAAGTTCGTTCGTTCTTAGGCTTTGTAGGATATTACAGGCGTTTTATACCCAACTTTGCTGCGATTGCTTGTCCGCTAACAGACATGACTAAAGGCAAGAGCGCTAAGGACATTGTTTGGGAAGAGCCACACGAGTGAGCATTTGTTACACTTAAGAGCCGCGTCGCAGCATCTCCTATACTGCACTTGCCAGACCCAGAGAAAACATTCATTGTGCGAACTGACGCATCAGACATAGGGATCGGTTCTGTCATCTTGCAGACTCATGATAACGTAGAGTTTCCTGTTTGCTTTGCTAGCAAAAAACTGCTGCCGAGACAGCGAGTTTACTCTACAATTGAGCGCGAATGCTTGGCCCTAGTCTGGGCTATTGAGAAATTTAAGGTGTACTTGTATGGAAGACAGTTCATCTTACAAACTGATCATACACCACTTACCTACATTTCCCAAGCTAAGAGTAGTAACAGTAGAGTAATGCGATGGTCACTGGCGTTGCAGCCATACAGATATGTAGTGAAGGCCATCAAAGGCACAGACAATATAGGGGCAGACTTTCTGAGCCGTTGCCCAGAGAATTAGGTGAACAATGTATGAATAGTATAAATAACAAGTGATGCCAACTAAATGGTTTAAACTTTGGAAATAACGGTCTTGAGACAATTTTCGTAATAATGGCCAAGAAATGACAGAATTATGTTTAATGGCAAATATTGCATTTTGTAAATACACTGAAAATCAATGACAATTATTTTATGGATTCACAAGAAGAAAGGTTTATCTGTGTATATATTAGAAGAATAATGATGTATAAATTTATTTAATCAGAGATACAGAAAATAATTGCTTGGTTTGAAAAAAGAAAAAAAAACAACCATAACAACAACAATTTTTTTCTTGGAAAGGGAGTGGTGTCACAAGAGGGTGCAATTTTGTTTCTTTATATTTAATATTCATTAGGTCTTCACGGTCCGCCTCCCTTTTGTTGATACGGCCTATAGTGAATATGTTAATTATGATTGATTTTGGGGAGTGGTATCCCGAATAAGGCCGTAGCTGGAAAGTTTGAAAGAATTTGTGGATTTTTAAGTTACATAACATTTAGAGGGCTGTGGGTGGTATGTGAATTTCTAAGGTTGGAATTTGCATTTTCTAGACTGACTTACTGAAGTATTCACATACTTTGAGTGCCGTAGAATTTTAGCGAGCGGTTGAGGGGAGAAGCAAACAGGTTGGAGGTGCGATAGCACATACTGAGCGATAGCTCCTGATAATTTAGTTTTTACTAGATTTCATTTTGCGGATTTGAGAATCCTGGTTTTGGTGTTAGCCAAAGTGTCAGCGTTAGCTGTTTTGAGCTGTTTTCAGCGTTTGTTACCTGTGTATAGCTGTTTCTCACAAGCTGTTTAGCCAGCGAGATTTGCACCCCTTGACGGTGTACCGGGTCTTAGGTGCCAGTATATACTGTAAGTTGTATTTAAATGATTTTTCTTATTAGTTTAATGTAATTATTTCATTTCAACATCGGTAAATGAGTCAATTTTGTTGTAATGTAGATCGTGCATATTTGAATGGGTTAATAACATGGTAAATTGCTTTTTGAGACACGCCCCTTTTGGGAGGATATTCACACTGTTTTGTGGTCCATTTAATGTACTTAAGTTAAGCCTGAAAATACTAGGAAGTAGGTGTTTATTATTGTATTTAATATTTTCAGGGCTCCTTATTGTGGATTTAGAACCACACCAGACAAGTTTGATCGGAACCGCCCATGGGCTGGGACCGCTGTGATTCATCCCACTGCACTGTGGAGCCTTCCTGCTCTAGACACTGAGGTCGTGGACATCTGGCCCGCCAAGTCGCATGTAAAGGAGCGTCATCCACCTCCGATTCGCCAGTGCAAGGATCCCTTCGTGGACCGCTGGACGATCGCTCACCCAACAGTGAACTGATTGAGTATTATCCTCAGGTTGTAGAGTTATAAGTATTGGGAAAGTAACTAGGGTCTAGGAATTGAATTAGTCAAACAGTACTCCCCATTCATTGAATTCTGGTATATTTTGTAGGTAGTGTAAATAAATATTTATTTTCTTTTGTAAATATCAAAATCTGTTTCTGAAGATTTCCTTTTTTTTATCAGGGACGTGTCCTAGAAACATAAATACTTCGTATAGTTGAGCCCGGTTTGTGACACACTATAACGATAAGGAAATTTGATATGATTTGAAATGGTTTATTTTATTTAACCATGACAGCTAAAAGCTTAATTGCGGTTAAATTACATTACTCATTTTAAATAAAATGATGAATAAAAAAGAATGGACATATTGATCTTAAAGAACAAACAATGATCATTAAAGACCCCATAATCAAATAATTTCCAATTTGTGAGGGTAACAGCTCTCTGAACAATTTTAACTGCTTTCAAATAAACTAATTACGTGTATTAAAGAGTTGGCCTATTGTTATTTGTTAGTATTTTATTTCTCTCCACAATAAAATGATTCATATACCAGCAACATCTGCCATCATGAACATTTTCTGATGGCCTCACCATTGTCACGGCCTTACAGCGCATGAGCAATACCTTTTCGAGTTGGCTACACTACCACACGTACTATGCATAACGAAGCGAAGGGCATGATTGTACGTATGACCTCAAACACAAAAGCTATAGCTGTGCGTGAACGATCGATCCGCCCTTGGGAAATGGTTTGGTCTCCATTGACAAAAGCGTTGTTCGGGGAAAAAATAGTGGCTTAATACGTGTGTTGGGGACATGCTGTAGTTTTACTCATATAGTTCATTGAACGACCGTATTAACGCGTGAACACACGGACGGTTGCCGTAAAACCAACTAAACGATACCATGTCCATATCACACGAACAGAGTCGATTGTCACTTGTGTAGAATTAAAATGGCGTTCGATTGCATCGAGAAAATCATCAAATTGTTCTTCTTCAACTACGGGGGTTTCATCGCGAAGCACCCGATTCCCTTTCTGCTGGTGCCGCCACTGCTGGCCGGGGCACTGGGCGCTGGGATGGTGTTTCTGACGGAGGAACAGAGCGTGGAGAACCTGTACACTCCTGAAAATGGCCAGGCCAAGACAGACAGAAACACGGTGGAAACATTATTTGCCGAGCACGGTGACAATGACACGCTGGTGTCACGTCTAACGAGACTTGGTCGGGCTGGCAGCGTGATTATACGGCACAAGGATGGACAGAACATCCTGACACAGGCGGCCATGGATGACATTTTAGATTTACACGAACAGATCATGAACATCAGCATCACTCACGATAACGTGGACTACACATTCACCGATCTCTGCGTGAAATGGGACGTTGTTTGTAACGAGAACGCCATACTGGCTGCCTATGATTACAACTCGTCTAAGGTTCCGTCGACCACCCTGACATTTCCCCTCTATACCTCACCAACCGATAACATCGTAACTTATTTTCTCGGTGGAGGACTAGGCGGAGTGACTTTTGTATCAGGTTCTCAAGATGATGTCCTCTCGGCTGAGTCTATTCAGTTGTCCTACTTCTTACAATACGAAGACAGCGTGGAGGACCAGCGAAGCGCCTTGTGGGAGGACAAGTTTCTGGAAGTGGCTGAGGCCTTCACGTCATCGGTCATCACAGTAACTCGCGAGGTGTCTACTACTCTGGAGAGCGAGTTGGATAAAGCTAGTTCCAGTGTCATTAAGGACTTTTCTATCACGTTCACCATCGTGATCACGTTCAGTATCTGTTCTTGCGTGATGCTAGACTGGGTGCGTAGCAAGCCCTGGCTGGCCGCATGTGGTGTCCTATCTGCTGGCCTGGCCGTGCTTTCATCATTCGGGCTGATGAGCTACATTGGAGTACCATACATTAATGTCGTCGGCTCAGCACCATTTCTAATCCTCGGTAAGCAAAGCTTACTTGTTAACACACCGTGGAAATGTAAGGCAGGGTGAGAAAAGAAAACGAAACCCAAATGTTGGGACCATTGTTTTAGTAAAGTTCTGCAGCACTTTCAAAATCTAGGATATGAAAGCCCAATTCATAAGCTTTCTTTTAGTTCAAGCATCATTCAAATCAATCATGTCCGTTTCAAGTTACAGAATTGTATTAACACGACCACCGTTTTAAAGTTCACGGATCACAAAAAAGGTGTGCGTTCTTTCAGCAAAACGAAAACAATTCACACATCCCTAGGTGATTTGTCTCCGTGTTGCTGAAAGAAAACTTTACCTTTTTGTGATCCGTGGACAGAACTGTAAAACGGTGGTTGTGTTGAAAATTCCGTATAAACCTGAAAATTGCATGATCGATTTGAAGGATGCTTGTTCTAAAAGAAAGCCTGTGAATTGGGCTTTCATATCCTAGATTTTGAAAGTGCTACATGCAGAACTTCACTAAAACAACGGTCCCGACATTTGGGTTTCCTTTTTTTATTTACTCACCCTGTAGTAGGCGTATATTCACACACGAAGGCCTATAATTATCAGAGTGGTATTTAACCAGACGTCATAATATCAGACGCAAACTTATTGACTCATAATTTCACGTTTATTTATGCAGGGCGCCTATTTAGTCATGCATGTAATACATGATTTGGCCCAACAATATACATTTAATATGAAACATAAAGCAGGGAAGACAATTAAATTTAAAGGCAACATAACTAATAAACAGTTAAATCAAAAAGTCAATGAAACCAAAGTTTGTAATGACGAGGTGTCCATATATCATTCGAGCTTTATTTTTCAGAATAGCGATTTAAACCTTTCCATTTAAGTGCAATTCTTAATGTAGCAAACATTAAAATTGAAACGAATGTATGTTTTACATCATACAAGGCTCCCATTCTCATAAAACGAAATTAGAACTTGTGAAAAGTAAAATCGTTATCAACTTCAAATTGTGTCCTCTGTTATTCATTGCCTCGTGGCAGTAATCTAAACATGTTTGGAGGTGTGTCAGTACAGCAGCCGGCAGCCATTGAAGAGTGAACTACAACGAGAAAATTAATTAAAGGCTTGAGGGGAATTACATCAGGTTAGATTTGAACCAGGAACAAGACATGTGGAAGTCAAACATTTAGAGCCATGCACTGTGTCACCGTAAAATCCCCTTGTTCAGACGTGTGGTTGCGAAGGCGAAGCGTGGCTCATTGATCAGCAAAGTTAATCCGATTACGTACTAAGACGCTTTAACAGAGCATTGAAATTCATGCACCCCAAAAACATAGTCTTTTGAAAGTTTTGTTTCTCAGAAAATAATTATGCTCAGTATGATTGAATTGAAATGTAAAATTATAACGGAAGAAGACATTCTAAACTTCATTCGTTTATCCAGGCCTATTTTGCCAATTTCAACAAAAAGTAATGAACATATCACGACAATTTTTATCAAATACTTACATCATTATAAGGGAAATAAACTCTGAAAGTTACATAAAAATACGGTTTTCAAAACGGGAGAAATTAATTATCAAAGATTTCGCCCGCCAACGTGAACATGTCTGTGTGCATGTAGTATCATTCAAAATAAGTAACCTTGATAGAAATCGCCTTCAGAACCACACGGCTGTGTTAGAATCCGACCCCTCTGTGTTTCCTAGCAACGCATTAACATTCTCTTTGGCCGGACCTTAATTCATGGGTGTTGTCTCATGAACATTTTGACATCAATTTCATTAAGTCCGGACATGAATTACGTTGAAAAATGGTAACTTCTTCGGCAGAGGATGTCATAAAATGTAAAGATTTCTCTGAACGTGCGCATGGTGTAAGTGCTCACTCACAGCTCAACGTAGTGTGAATTTATGATCATATTTTCAAAAATGCATCGTCAGATTTCGCTAAAACATTGCAGATGAGTGATTCCGTACATGCATACCAAATTTCAGTGAAATATGTAATTACACAGCCGAGATGCGGGGGGGGGGGGGGCTGGTGCTGGTAGTCGGGTTCACCGGCAGTGAAATACATCACACCAGCTATTTATTAAATGTTGCACTATCATTATTAATTGAAGAAGACACAGAGAATCAAATCCGTCAATCAACAAAAATTGGGGATTTCCAAAGATCAGTGAATTTTTTTTTTGATTTTTTTTTTGGAAATAAAATTATTTAGACAAAAGTGTGTTTCAAGACCACATACTTGTGCAAAGTTTCACTGGTTTTTTTTCGAAAAGTATAATATCCACTGAGTTGAAACTTCTACATAGGGCTTTGGTACAAGTTAAAACACATAAGAAACTAAACATGAAAACTCATTCAGCATGTGATAGGCCTACGTACCACTCGCATTTTGCATGTGAAAACAAGATTCCAAAATGACTCAATGAAATCCATAATTTTTACAGTTTTTAACCCCAAATGAAAGAATTTTTGGACTATATTGCATCTTACCTGCACACCACTCAAATAAAAGGTCTTATTATCCCTTTAATTCTATACCACATGTGGTGATAGTGCTTATATTTTTGAAGATTTTATATTTTCTACTTTTCAGTCTGGTCCTCTTTTGAGTAGAATTGCCCAGATAAAATTGTCTTTAAACCAAAAAGCTGCACTTTCAAAGCTCCATTTACAGAAAATTATGCTGCAAATGATTATGTTAATCATATCAACCACCCGTAATTATAATCGAGCATTTCTCGTTCGAAGCCTGCCTCGTATTTGAACATCCTCCCGGTGTGTGTTTAACGGGTTCGTCTAGAGGCCACTGTTGGCAGTAACTAGGCGCAGTTTGTCATACAACACAAAGCAAAGTTATCACCCTTGACCGTTTTCGCGCTTCGTGTTTTACCCACGTCACAATAAATGGCCGAATTGGAAAACTGAAGGTGTTTTTTGTTGTTGACAAAAGAAAATTTGCGGTTGCTAAAAACATATTTATATAACGAAAACAATTGAATCTGTTGAAAATTGGAACGGCACTGCATGAACAATACAGTTGACCCAAAAGCATTCTGGTGGTCAAAACAAGGCTTCTCGCTGACATTGCAAACAACAACCCTTTCTGTAGATATCGCCTGACCAAACACAATGCCGAGGCCACTTGAAGTGCTAGTTGTGGGCTACAATTAAGAAAAACAGGAAAAATGGAATAAGGCTTAAGGTTACAGAGGGTATATCTGTTCATATTTTTTTGAATTATGAAAGATTAAAGGTAGAAGAGAAACAAGATTCAGATAATGTTCCAAGGAGAGACAGTCCGAGGAGAAGTACTTGACCATTTTTTCTTGACATTAAAAACAAAAACCAAAAACGAAACCATCACAACACTTACTAATGCTGCAGGTTTATTATTGTAATGTATTTATTGGTTCGAAGTTGAAATGTGTAATATTCATTGCTTGGAACAATATTGAAAACAACAAAACTCAAGAAAAACAAACAAAAAAGGTCACAAAAAAAATTCTTCATGATTCACAAAGAATAATTAGAACCTAATGTTGATTTCCTCTGTCATTGTCATCATAATAATGATAACAATGATTACTAAACATTTTGATAATTTTGCGCAGATACAATGAAAGTGTTCTAATGCGCTTTACAAGATCCGAACAACTGTTAACAAATATTAAAATGACGGATTAAAATTGAACATAAACATTAGAGAACATTGCCAAAAACTAATTATACTTAAAATTACAAAATAAAAATGTAAAATAAATAATTGTAAAAGCTTATACATTGCCTTTTTGAAAAGAAAAGTCTTTAGCTTGGTCTTAAACATAAAAGAGACTGAACAGACTGAGTCTCAGGTGGTAGCTGGTTCCATTAGCGTTATGCATTTTCCAAGATGGATAACCTGACGGCAAAAGTAAAGACCTATTCATCTATTCAACGGAATGAAATTGCCTAAAATTAAACTATATTATTGAGTTATAAGATTTGAGGATTTGCATGGTGGAGTATCGGTATCGTTTCGGTTTGCGGTAACACCATGTCGTGATAACTACTGCTTAGAAGATATTTAGTTTTGAAAAGAACATGTCCTGCTGATTATCAACTTCTTGATAGTTTTGTTCTGATAAGAACAGTCCTGCTTTCAGTTCTAAAGAACTTGTCTTTGGTCTCAACGTTTCAACTAGCCTGCTCTAGTCATCGTTAGGAGACTGTTCTTATCAGAATAAAACTACTAAGCGAAGTTGCTAATAAGCAGGACAAGTTCTTTTCAGAACTAAATATCTTCTAAGCAGTAGTTATTACCACACGGGGTTGCCGCAAACCGAAAGGATATATTATTGAGTGTTCTCTCATTACTACTGGATTGGTGATCTTCTTGGTAGTCGCGGAAAATGTGCCAATAAGGGTCCAATAGGTGATTTTTTTTTCAAACATAATTGGAATTGGAACTAAAATTGGCTGTAAAATATATTGTTAACAATGTGAGACAAGACAAATGACAGAATTGAGGGAGAAAGCATTTTTCCCCATGATCATGGTAACCGGTGTCAGAGGAGATTAGAAAGCATGGATTTCTTTCATTGAGAGATGAAGTATTAATATTAACAATTTTTGACATTGACGATAATAGTTTTGTAATTGCTTAAATACTTTTTTCTCTTTCTTCACAGGTATTGGAGTTGATGATATGTTCATCATGTTGGCTGCTTGGCGACAGACTGACGTCAGATGGTCAGTGGAACGACGCATGCGCCATGCCTTCTCTGAAGCTGCCATGTCTATTACCATCACGTCCATTACAGATGCTCTGGCCTTCGGAATCGGCGCTATTACGTTCTTCAGATCCGTCCGTATATTCTGCATGTACACGGGTGTGGCTGTCATCTTTGACTACGCCTATCAGATCACTTTCTTTGGCGCCTGTATGGTGCTGACTGGTCGTCGCGAGGCAGCTAACCGACACTGTATGTCCTGCCACAAAGTCCGACCTAAGAGTGGGTCTACGTCCACAGCCTACACCTTATTCTGCGCCGGTGGTTCGTCCCAGCAACCCACTGACAGGGAGGGTGGGGACACTAACGACCACGCCCTGATGTTGTTCTTCAAAAATTACTACGGCCCCTTTATCACACGTTGGTGGATGGTGATTCTGACAATATTACTGTTTCTGGGCTACCTAGGCACCGCCATCTACGGATGCACCCAGGTTCGTGAGGGTCTCACTCTCCGCAACCTTGCCAGGGATAACTCCTACGCAGCCGACTTTTTGGATGATGAATCGCAGTATTTTACGACCTACGGCCCTCAAGTCTCGCTTGTCTTCACGGAGCCCAGAGACGTGTGGAATCCAGTGGTGCAAGATCTCATGGAGGAGACCTTAGCTAAGATGGAGGCGAGTAAGTACACGTACAGTAAGGATCAGAATCTGACTGTGTCTTGGCTGAGAGATTATCTGGAGTTCCTGCAAACCATCGGCCTCAGTAATCCAACCCAGACTCAGTTCATAAATATTCTGCGCCAGAATTTCCTGACAATTTCCGCCTACCAGAGATACTCCTTAGATATCATCTTCAGTGATGATAACACGACTGTGGCGGCATCGCGATTTTTTGTCACCACTAAGGACTTGGTTTCCACAGACAAAGAGCGATTCATGATGACGGATATGAGGGAGATAGCCGAGAACTCAGAGCTGCCTGCTATAGCTTACCATCCAGCCTTTATTTTCTTCGATCAATACATAGCCATCCTGCCTAACACACTACAGAACATGGGTATTGCGGTAGGCGCCATGTTGATCGTGGCTCTGCTCATGATCCCCAACCCCATCTGTTCTGTCATGGTCACCCTTTCCGTAGCCTCTATCGTCACAGGGGTGGTCGGGTTCATGACCCTCTGGCAGGTCAACCTCGACTCCATCGCCATGACCAACCTCATACTCTGCATTGGTTTCAGTGTGGATTTCTCAGCCCACATAAGCTATGCTTACATAGCAGCAAACACAGGCTGCCGTCGTGACAGCGTCATCTACGCCCTGTACTCCCTCGGCATGCCGATCGTCCAAGGATCCCTTTCCACCTTACTCGGTGTCGTAGTTCTTGCCTTCACGGACTCTTACATCTTCCGGACTTTCTTCAAGACCATGTTTCTCGTGATCTCCCTGGGAGCGCTGCACGGCCTGCTCTTCCTGCCAGTATTTCTCCTGCTCACGATTCCCGTTAAATCTCGCAGAGTGGAGGACTCCAGTGAGAATCTGCGAGATGGATGTGTTTCCCGCAGCCCGCACCTAAGTCCCCATCAGAAACCCTTTGCAATGGGGCAATATTCCCGTCCCAACTCCCCGCATCGAGCCCCCGCCTATGCCGCGAATCACCCTCAAAGATCGGCGTCTGTGCCTTACAACATTAGCGGAGGTCTTGTGGGTCCAAACCCCTCTGACGTCACCTTCAGACAGTCACCACAATCATCGTCACGACAAAATGGTGGCAACTGGCAAAACTGGGCCCTGTCTGGCAATTTTGGTATTCCTAGGGCGAGGCCCACCTCGGCACAAGGCGTTTACTTTTCATAACCTTTAGTAAAAATCAGAAGGAAGCATTTTGGTTTATTGTATATAAAAAACACATGCCAGAAAATATAATGTTGTTTGTTATAACTCTGTCTTCGATACTGTAGGCCTGTTGTCAGTGGCCTAGATCGATCACGTGTTAAGTTTATGAAAAGTCTTGGCACTCTCCCTGTGGGATATCACGTACGATATCCCTCCATGCATGATATCTCACGTGGAGTGTGCTATGACTTCGTACGTACGGTACGTAGGGTATGAAATGCTTGTATCGTTGGTACCCACGCTATTTTTACTATGTTTTCACACATGAGTGGTAGCAGCGAACTAACAGAGGACCAGCTGTTTTGAGCACGCGACGTGCATGAGAGTTGACGTGCGATTGTCGTGACTGTTGTGTTTACTGCTGTTTGTTTTCGTGATTTTTACATCAAAATCCAAAAATCCAAGACAGAGGTATAACAAAACAATTTGAACACCCGAGGGGCGCATAGCACCCGAGGCGAAAAAAACGACATATCCTACATCACAGCAGTCAACAATTGTAAAGTCTTCCATACCACCGATAAAACCGATTGTATCTTTAATATCACTTTCAACATGCCCTAGGGTCTTTTAAAAGTAAATACGATAAATCTTTCCACCGACGATTAAATACGACAGTAAAAAGACCTTTCTGTAATGTTTGCACTTGAGAAGTACAAACTTGTTAGTGTGCCTTTCAATGGAAAGCAAAGTTATTATCGATAATTAAGATAATTATAATTGGATACAATTTTCACCGCGGCATGGGAACTTAAATGAATAATACAACTATAGATATTCTATTTAAAGTAAACATCTCAAATCGGCTATTTTAAAAGAAGGAATTTGGAGGTAGTTACTTGACACTGTTGTTTAATATGCAACTTTGTTAACGAGAGAATTATTTACGTCGATCAATTTTACATGTATCTTCCGTCGTGTTTTCTTCAGATGAAATACCTTTAAGATTGCCATTGTATTTTTTCAGCTTTCACGTAAGTTATATACATGTATCTTCTTTTCCCCCTGGTAAATGTTTTATTATTACTTGAATCCGGAATAATGATATCGGGGCAATTTCATAGAGCTGCTTAAGCACACAACTTGCTTCAGCACAGCACAACATAAACCTTGCTTGATGTAATCAGGATACCGCCGGCCAAAACTTCATGCGATTGTTATGCCAAGTAAACAACAGCTAAATACCAGTCACAAGCAATGTCATGGTGTTTTGGCTGATAACCAGCTGGGCCCAATTTCATAGAGCTGCTTAAGCACAAAATTTGCTTAAGCACGAAAAAAACATTGCTTAGTAAAACCAGGTTACCGGCCAAAACTCCATGTGATGTACATTCCTTGTGACTAGTATTTAGCTGTTGTTTACTAAGCATAACAATTGCATGGAGTTTTGGCCGGTAGCCTGATTTTATTGAGCAAGACTTTTTGTGCTTAAGCAAATGTTGTGCTTAAGCAGCTCTATGAAATTGGCCCAAGTATACAGAGAAAGGTTTTTTTTTTTTATTGTTGTGCTTAGGCAAATGTGGTGCTTAAGTAGCTCTATGAAATTGGCTCCTGGGTATTCTTAACGGTTTTGACAGATTTGGTTTATAACTCTTAAAAACTTTAAGTTCATTGTCCGTGCTATTTTCTAGTTTTATTCTTACATTGTTTTTCTAAATTGCTATTTCAAATGCTTTTTTAAACAACACACACTTTATTCACTTTATTTACGCTGTGTGTCCCTTCCACGGGGCTATTAAAAGTGTATGGTTAAAACGCGCCCTCTTTCGTTGGCGCACGGAACCCAAAGAATCATTACTTTACTAATTTCACCTGTTTTTACGGCTTGCACTTTACCTGTGTCCTTTACTTCACCAAGCATCTTAGCTGGGATACGGAGGGTGACGGAGCAGGGGGCCGGCTACCCGCTGGCTCATAAATGCTACCTTTCTTTGTCGAAGGATTCGTCCCAACTGGTCCTTGAAACTATTTTCACTGACACAGCTTCAAGAGCCAAACTATTCCATTAGTCGAAAAAAGCTGAATTTTTGGATGTCGAGTTGAAAGAGCTGCTTGCAGATCTTGAATCGATGTCCCATAGTTGAATTATTTGCGGCCCGACAATAATTCTGTTCCCGCAGGTTAGGCTGGTTCCCGCCCCGCAGCAAGTATCGATAAGCCAAAAGAGAATCTTATCAGAATAAAATCAAAACCAAATCCGAGGATTGCAGCAATGTTAAAAACAAAATTAGTCGGGGGGGGGGGGGGAGTGGGTGGGAATTAAACATACAAGGTCAACATTAAGAGAACTTGTCAGTGGTATAATTAATGCCTTATATTTTTATAAACAAAATCAGAATGTACATAGTATATTTGTATCAACCTCCAAACAATTTTTAGAATATGTTACAGTTGTGTGTAAATATCCTAATTTGGTGAACGCATGTCTGTGTTTACTTATGTAAACGAACCTTTTGAATTTTTCTTAAAACGAGTCATTTCTTTATTAATTTAAGGACATGGGATTGTAATGTTTTACACGAATGTACAAAAAAGAAATTTGTATTGAAATATTACAGAGTTTATGGATGATTTCAGAAATATCAATATTTAATGATTTGTATAATACTCAAGGGTTTATTACGCTTCAAATTTATTCTCAGAGATATGTGTTTCAATAAAATAAACAAACACGAGAAACAAATATCAGTTTGTAGCAACTTTATTCATATTTGTGATTTCACGTATATTTAATTTGATCATTAAACCTGTTTGTTTGCTAATATCGATATTAAAACAGTTGAGTGTTCTGACATTTAAATTAATATTTACAATAGTATTTACAGAGTTAAACATAGACATTTTATGCAGCCGTTGAATCTGCATCATCAAAACATTATATGCCTTTATGAAATTATGAGACTAGACAATCAATCCAGAAGATTTTAAGGATTGTTTCCCCATGGCGTCACTTTTTTTACTACTGTACAGCACCCCTTTTGAGAAAAAAATCTTACTCTATCCGTAAATCAGTGAAGTTCTTGTGTCTGAAAACCTTTATTTACATTCACCGCATGCGTTTAAACAGTCAAAAGCCTTCTTGTTTCAACTAATAAAACTGGAAGAACTAAATAGGGAGAAGGGTGATGTACTTTTGCGGGTACGTAAAATTTCAACAGACCAAAATTTGGTGGGACACTCAAGTCATACTCAAAGTGTTTAACTTCTTAACTTATTTGGTGCTTTGTTAGTTTCCTTCTGAAACATCCTCTAGGGATCTTGACTAGGTGGTCAATCGGTTTTCAGATTTATATAAAAAAGCAAGGAAGGTCACACTTTTTATATTGATAAAAGAATTTTGAATCCTCTTCAGATTCGTCAGGTTTTCAATGCAATTGTGGAAAGGGCCATAGGAAAGGGCCAATCGATCTAGTCAACAATAACAGCGGGTGGTTTCTTCAATGAATCCGCTCTGCAGCTGCAATGGAGACACAAAGAAGTCTGATCAAGGACTTTTCTTAGAGCAATGTACTGGTTTATTATTAACCCAATATTTGTCGTTTTTGTATGTCAATCCGGATGAATTGGTAACCTGAGGGCATACATGAAGTGGAGATCTTCATGCTTTGTTCACTTTTGTGCGACTATTGATTTTGTTTTTCTACTCGACCTTTTGCTCCTCACAGTGTGACCTCATTGTAGGCATGAGAATTGTCCTGTTGAAACAGGAACTCCTGGGATTTATGGTTGCCCAAATGTCTGCGTTTGAATTTATTTTGAGCCTGTTTTGTTGTTTTTTTTGGCCGGATTTCACATCTTTTCCCGTTTTGCACAATTTTCCTGTTTTTTTTTCATTGAAATTCATTCTCATGCCTGTCAATGACACGAGCATAAAGCTTCATTTCAAGCAAAACAACTCAGCGTCTGCAAGAACTTTGGATAAATATAGTCAGAGATTCAATTATTGACATGCACGGTTAAACTATTAGATCTCCGAAACTGTTGTGTGTTGCTTCAAATTGCCAGCACTAACAAAATGCTTTCCTCAGCAATCATTATAGTTAAATGAATATGTACCAACCAAGCCATTGTTGAAACTTAGGCATTAATTGTTGTCAGAAATTTCTTTGGGAGACTCCAATTGTCCACTGGAGGCCGGTGGCTGAGCAAGTGTCTCCACATCTTCAACGGGCGGCAAGTTGTCATGGCCGGGCTCCTGCTTGGCGAGAGAGCTGGTCTGTGACTGCTCTACGGAGTGCGTGGTCGAGACTTGGACCACTGGTCCAGTTTGAGCAGTGGGCGACGCAGTGGGGTCGGAGGTTGCAGATATGGCTAAGACAGGCATTGATGCTCCACTGTGAAGATGGTTGTGAAGATTTTTAAAGTTGAGTTCATGAAACAAAATTACATTAACGATCTGTGGCACGATCGTAAAAAAGAAATAGCTGAACAATTCATAAGATGGGATTTTGCGTCGGGGCGATGTAAATCAATATTAGGTTTTACAGGAGGTCGTGGGTTCGAGTCCCAACCGAGTGAGTTTTTTCCAACTTTCACTCGGGAGGCAACACACTGAGTATTCAGTATTTATGCGTCGTTTAAGGGCCAAAGCTATAATACATGTATTGACACATTTGAACAGTCAACAATGCAGAACGACAAAAAAGTAGAAAATAACATACCTGTCACGAGTTTTTGATTTACTGCTCTTGCCGCTAGCTGTTTGTTTCTAGATGAGAAAAAGTATTCCTTGAGATTACATATCGTCAATATTCTGTTAAAATATAAAACCCCCTCCAACCCCGAAAAAAAAATACTTGATTTAAAGATTGTAGGCTAAACATTTGTAACGATTCTTACCAAACAAATTTTCGATTCTAGAAAATAAAGAAACTAGGCTTACACATTTTAATGTCCCTTACCACTACGCTTTTTGATGACTTTCGCTGTCGCGAGTGAGTCTGGATGCCATTCTTTTTCCCATCAGGCGTAGACTGTGTGTGAAGCACAGCATCCGTGGATTGGCTGTGTCGTACCTTACCCTCGTCTCCTCCTTGCATGCCGGCTCGGCTTCTGGCTCCCATCTGGGTATCACTGCGGTGTCTCTCTTCGATGCTGGACTCAATCACACGATACTCTCCGGAGAACATCCTGCTGAGCCTCTCGATAACTGCGGAGATGATGCTCTTGGAGCGACGGCTCGCTTTGGCCGACTGGCTCCCCGATGAATCACAGGAGCGTTCGGCAAGCTGATTGCCCGCTGGTGACGATACCGGGGTCTTCGGCTCGTCACTCTCCCTTTCAGAGACCAAGGGTTCCTCCAGTTGTTGCGGTTGACCTGTTTGACTTTCTTGTACTGGCATATCTGGTTCTTCATTGCCTATGGGGGATTCTTCAGTAGCTGCATCTACTGCTTTTTCCTGACGTTCCCCTTCTTTATTGACCACCTCACTCTGCGGCAGTGGCTCTTGTACCGAGTCTGTTTTGGCTTGTTCCTGTTCGGTTGATTCTTGATGTTGTGAGGGAGCCTCTGTAACAGCATCTGGTTCACAAGATGCAATCGTGTTGTCCTTAGTAGATGGAGTCTCTTGTGGGGTTTTGATTATGACAAAAGAACCTGTTGACGATGGCCTACTTCCAACTAGGCCGGCTTGTTTCGCTTCATCGGGTCTTGAGGCCTGCGGGGATTTGATACTGAGCACTCTTGCCTTACTCGGACTTTGGACTGATCCCCTTGATGCTTTTCGCGAAACAGATTTAGGCTTATCTCTTGACAGTTTTTGGACTCCGATTGGAGAGGAATTCGAGCTGGATGAGGCAGAGGCCTTGACCACAGCTCCTGAAGTTGACTGTCTTGAGGATCTGCGAGGGCCGATGACAGTGGAGGCAGCTGGCGATACCTTGATAAGGCGCACTGACCCGCCTGACGCCTTATCTGACATCAGCTTCCCCACACTCGTGGAGGAGAGCTTCCCTGACCGTCGCCTTGCACTAGACATTGACGGTGCTGGGCTAACCTTAATCAGACGGATCGATCCGGTCGACGGCGGTTTGGTGACCTGCGACCGTTGTTTAACGACACAGGGCATGGAAGAACCACTGGAAGGTTTTGCTAGAGACGGTGCTTTCTCTGATCCTATCATCTGCTGCTGAGAACTTTGTGTAGATATCTTTGCATGGCCAAGGTGGGCTTTGGTTGATTGTGGCGAGGACGCACACGCCCGGGGTTTAGGAGAAGCTGATGTAAGCGACCTTTGTTGAGATCGACGACCGAAGGCTGCCGACGATGACTTGACTGGCCTCGTTAGTGGTCCAGAAAGGGATGGTTTGGGGGTTTTACTCTTTCTACCTTGTCCCTCTTTCAGACTCGACTACGACAAGAAGAATACGTAAAACCATTTTGTAAATTATATTTCAAATTAAAAGCTTGCAGATAAACATTTTTCCATACAGTAACAGTATATTAGAGTCAGAAACTTTGACAACAATTTCACATGTGCCTTTATACACTAGTAAAATAGGAATGTTGCCCTTACCTCACTGCCTGATTTATGAGATTTCTTGCTGTCTCTTTTCTTTTTCTCGCCTCTTTCACTGGATTTCCTTTGAACTGGGGATGACTTTTCACCAGCATCTTCTACTTTGTCACCACCGGGTTGCACAATTTCTGGACCCGTGCAAGGTGCCGGTGACCGAACTTGTGTTTCAGGTGGGAGTTCAATGGATTTGATGATTGTTTTATCAGCTTTCGTTGTCTCCTTTTCCGCTTCTTTTCCAGTGCCGGCCTCTGCAATTTTGTTCATATCTGTAGTCGGCTGGCGTACTGCCTCTCTTTGTTTTGCTTGCTTGTTGGGACCTATCGGTTCTATCCTCTCTCCTGATGGTTCGGATTCTGTCTTTTCAGGTATATGAATGGCGTCAACTTCAGACGTCTCCACACTTTTCTCTGTATAAACATCTGTGTTTTCTTTCTTAGTGCTTTGAATTTCGTGGTTTTGGTCTGGATCTTCATCAGCAACTTTTGCTGAAGCAGGAGTGCTTTGTACATCTGCCACTTCGGCATCCGAGAGTTCCCTCTTTGTGTCGGATTTCTCAAAGGGGTATGCTTGGTCAACAGTTTTACCTCCGGTGTCAGGTTTGATTGAACTCTGATCTCTAGACTGTGTTTGGCTGCTTGTGACTTCTGCAGTGTGATCATCCGTTGACCAAGGATGAATTTTGGTTGAGTGCTTCCGACCGAAGATGCTACTGATACGCTCAATTACAGCTCCAATCACACTACGGGATGCAGGTACCTGGCTGCTGGTCTTCGTCTCAGTCGTGCTTTTGGATTTCGCAGCATCCTTAGTTGGACTTTTGTTTGTAGATGGTGACGCACTCTCTTCCTGTGACTCTGTTTTACTTTGGAAACTTTTGATTTCCCTTGATTTTCCACTTCGAATGGACCTTGTGCTGGCACGAGACATGGGCAATATAGGTTCGACTTCCTCTTCGGTGGGTGACTTAAAATCTCCACCTGCGGGAGTGTCCTTGGTTTCTTGTGAGGCTTCTGGTGAGACGCGTCCGCCCTCTTCCACAACTTCATCCTGTTCCTCTGCAACGACATCCTCCATTACCTCGTGGGTCTGTGTAAATATAAAACAAAACGAACTTACTAGCTACATCAATGTTCTTTCACTTGTTTGTCAATTTATAAAACACCCTAATATTTAGCAATAGATGCGTCGTATTTATTACACGTACCCTATATCTTCTTCTTTGCGGCAAATAGCAAACTCCCCCGACTTCCTCTTGTCCAACTAACTCCTCGTCTGAGTGATGGGCTGTGATGTCTTCATGAGGTTGTTCAAGAACCCCATAAATCTGATCGTGCTGTCCGTGTTGAGAATGTGAAAGCTCCTTTACCAGCGTGTCCTTCAAACACTTGGCTGAGCCCTGACAGTGCGTCATGTCCGGGCGGAACATGTTGCGGAAAGAGTTTCGACTGCTGGCCGAAAAGGCCGATGGCACCTTGTGCTTGTTGTCGGGCTTCATAGAGATGGCGGACAGATTGTGGGCGATGATCTCCTTGTCCAGATTGAGAGGGTGAGTGTGATAGATGGGTACAATGCTACTGTAGTGATGCCTCGACTGGTGGATCTGCTCCTGAGAAGACTCTCCACCTTCTGCAACCTTGTGGATAGACTTGCTGCTGGCATCATGGACAAGATGCCCCGATTCGTCCTTGTGTAGCTCCTCGACCGACAAGACCTTCTCTGTGACAGACTCATGTGCCTTATCATGCGGGATGATGGCCCCTTCGAAGACAGTCTTATCGTGGCTTTTCTTTACGACGGACGTCAGCCCTTCTACCTTAGACCCGTCGAGGCATTCGGCGAGAGAATGGACGCTCTCCTCTTCAGCGATGATCTCATTCTCTATGACGCCTATTATTTCGTCTTCTTCGTCTACCTCTTCCTCGGAATCGCTGCCCTCACTTTCACTGGCAGCAGAATGGCTGTGGTGGTGGTGAGACACATCCGTCTCACTTTCTCGGAACACGTCATTTACAGTCGCCAGGAGGAGGCTGCTTCTGTGTACATCAATACTCTTCTCCAACTCATTCTCCTCCTCGATATCCTCCTCATCTTTTGGTTGGTAAGAGGCAATGGCCCCGTCGACAAGGTGCATGACTATAGTTTGTGCTTGACAAGAAAGACCATCGAATTCCTGAAAAATATATCAAACAGACAAAATCAAACATGTATGGTTTAAATTTCACAATTCAAGTATAGATAAAGTTTAATTTAAGTCAATGTATTTTGAAACTAACCTGATCAGGAGTATCATCGACGTCAAGTTCTAGGTCTGGTGAGTCTGCAGCAACTTGGCCGGGTAATGGTGAAGGTGTTTTGAGATCGTTTGTTGGTGATTGGGACTCCATATCAACAGCTGCTCTTTTGATGATATCAGAAGCTACGGCCCTCGTTTTGGTTCCCTTTTTAGTAGGCTCTGGGGATGTTTGGTTGACGGCACTTTTAGCAAGGTCTGGTGAGAAGGGACTTGATGAGCGGGAGCCACGAGAACGGCATCTGCTGCTGGCACGATCTGTCCTCAGTTGCTCCTTAGCCGCCTGCAGAGCTGCATCTGCAGTAATCTGGGCTAATCTACTACTACTTGTCCTGGAAAGCTGTGCTCCGTTTTCTGGGAGCTGCGCCGCTGCATTCTGTAAGGCATCGATTGTGATTTGCTGAGCTACAGTGCTACTGTCTGTTTGAGGTGTCTGCAGCAACTTTTCAACTTGGAGCCGAACTGTACCATTTAGAAGGACTTCCCTGGTGACGACTTGTGCCAGTAAGCTACTGTCTGAATGAGGTGGAGGTACCCTGGGCTCGTGTTCTAGCTGCCGAGCTGCATTTGCAAGTGCATCATTAGTGACTGCTTGGGCTAGGAGACTGCTGCTCGTGTGTGGAATCAGAGCCTCGCGCTCCAGTTGGAGCTGCCTGGTAACTTTCTTGATAGTGTCGTTGGTGATGGCTTGAGCTAACAAACTACTACTGGCATGAACAGGTTGGTGAAGGGCGCGCACAATCTGTTCACCTTCAAGTCGTCTGGTAGCATTTTTCAAAGCATCTGCAGCGAAAGCTTGCGCTAGAATGCTGCTGCTGGTTTGTGGTGGCTGTGCTCCGAACTGTCTCATCACGCTCTTTATGGCGTCAGCAGCGATAGCTTCTGCTATGATGCTAGAACTGGTCTGCGGGAGAAGCACCTGTAGCTGTCTGGTGGCATCCCGAATAGCAGTTGATGCCAACTCCTCGGCCAGAACACTTGAACTAGATTGCGTCAGTCGCATCTCTCGCAGCTGTCTAGCCGCATTCCTAATAGCATCTGAGACTACCCTTTGCGCAATAAAGCTGGTGCCTGATTCGGTCAGCTCCTTCTGCAGTTGGCTGGTCACATTCCTTAAAGCATTCTGAACCACGTCTTCCGCAAGGATACTCGTGTCTGAACGCTGTGATTCTTGCTCCAGCTCACGAGAGACATTTTCAGACAGTTCCTTCTGAAGTTGGCCGGTTACGTTTCTTATAGTGTCCCATACCATATCTTCCACGAAGACACTCGTGTCTGATCGCTGAGACTCCTCCTCCAGCTCTCGTGTGACCTTCCGCAATGCATCCGACACCAAGGCAGCTGCAAGAAGGCTACTGCTCGTATGCTTAGGGGAAGGCGTCTCCTTCGGTTGGATCGATCCATCGGACATGACACCGCTCTTAGCGATGGGACTTGGCGGGTGGATTTCACGTAAGCTGGCCTGCTTGCCGACACTAGGCTTCTTCGTTGCAATGGTATCAGATGCTACCTTTCTCGTTGGTGTCGCAATTGGCAGATGCGGCAATCCACCTTCGGTTGTGATCTGCTCTTTCGCTCTGCTGAGCACGTTGGATAGGACAAGGCGGGCTACCGTGCTGTTTGTCAACTGTAGCACACTCTTACGCCGCATGACCTCAGGTAGCTTCGTCTCTTTTGGTTCCGTCACCACAGACTCGACAGCTTCGGGGACGTGCTCTTCGGATCGTCTCTCGGCCTCAAGTGCATGCAGAACATTTCCAACAAGATCTCGCGCAGAGGCGATAAATGAGTCGTAATGATCCCCGAACAGAACAGCCATCTCAATAGAAGATATTGAATACCCTATAAAACACAAAGAAGCCCAATTAACTTGTGCTTTGTTTTATTTTTAAAAGAGGATGTCATGTAATATTCTTGTGTATTATTCATAAAACTGAGTATGAAATAAAAGTGATTGATCAACTACGCAAGTGAACACAATTCACGGTTATTTATGAGGCAGTGAAACCGTAAAATAAAAAAACACTTGTCCGTTGGTAGTTTACCTCTATCTTCCTGGACGTCTGGGACTGACTCTTCCTCTGCTATTTCTGCTAAGATGTCTTTGCTGATTGGAAGTTTTTCCTCTGTCTCAATGGTAATGGTCGGTTCCAGGAACCCAGTTGGGGATGGAGCGGGGGAAGTTGTCGGCGCAGCCGTCTAACCAAAGGGAGAGATGACGTCCAAAATCTTGAATTAGTTTTCGATAAGAACACATGAGTCAGCCATCTTTTCACCCGTATGACCACCGTTATCCCATAAAAATAAAAACCTCGCAGGACCATCTAAGATGACAAGAAATTGAACTACCTACCGGCAGGTATCTGTCAGTGATGATCTTCCACACGCCATCAGCTGGCGAGAGCTCGATGCGATCCAACGCATGCTCGACCGGCCAGGTACTGTAGTGGCGAGGTCCACCCAGTCCATGGCGCGGGGGCCTGCGGCGTCGACCACCTATACAAGCCAAAGAAAAGAAAGAATACAATCTTTACATCAGCTTCTAAGAGACATTAGGGTATATACGTAGAACAAGCCCTCTTTTAGATCTTTTTTTTTCAATGGATCGTACCACACCTTCTTCATGATTAAGTTTTATCTTTAAATTGAGGAGCTTTCAGTTAAATGTACATTTCAAAAATGTTCCTGAAACTTTAAGACATGTAGTACGTTTGCTTTTCATAATTTTATAACACCACTCAAAATCAAAGGAGGAATGTTCAAAGCCTATCGTGTGGATATTACACTTTTCGAAGGAAAAACAAAGACAGTGAAAACAATGCACAACCGTTTCTACTCTTCCAAAATTCAACCAATCGACTGATCTTGGGAAATAACCTACATTTCTTCTAAATGACAGCAAGCCAGATGAAAAAAAAAATCACTGGGTATTTATTAAAAGTACGATCTTTAATCAAAGTATTGTTTATATAATAATCCGTAAGTTAGTTTAGGTTATGCAGTTGACCCTATGTGCCTTTAAAGGGACGCCACAAAGCTTTTAAAAAATGCCTGCGATATAAAGGGACAAATAATTGCCGTAAAAGTGGTTACAATATATTGTTTTATAAATGTTATGGTTTGCTATCCGAAGCTTGTAAAGAAAATGTCTTACTGTAATTTTGCTGAAGATTTCAGAATGATGACAAGTGATGGGCCTGTTTTACTTTTTATACTCGTTCAAAGAATTGACCGGAAAGAAGAAGCAACAGTCAGAACAGGTCGGATGGTATCAGGAGCAACAATTTTTTCATCTAATACTGACCGATAGGTTTCCTTCGCCGTTGTTCAAACAGTTTGCGTACAGATTTGAGTTTCTTCTCCAGACGAGCCTCGATCTTGGCTTCCTGTCGTTGCATCTTCAAGGCTCTCGCTTCTCGCATATTGTCGAATGTTGCTGGAATGAACAATTTTAGAAACACCAACCTATTTGAAGGGTGTACATCCCTAACTTATCATAGCTACAGATTTTTGGTAAACTTTTTTAGTATTAGACCATCGCCTTAACATTCTCAAAGAAGAAGGTTGTCTTTTTTTCTCAACCCATGTTCTATACTGCTGTGGGAGTTCGCGTAATTATAAGCAACGACGAATGCACCACTAAGATGATTGAGACTGATCGGAATTGAGAAATCACGCTGTCATTTCCTGATTACAGCCCAAGTGACAGTAAAAGCGTAGATGCTAGCTGGAAAGCGTTTTCTGTCGAAAATCACTTATACAGGTTGCCCCCCCCCCCAAAAAAAAAAAAAAACTCACCGTCGAATCGGACATGATTTCAGAAAATCTGGGGTAGTATTTAAAGTTGTGTCTAATGTATTGCTGAGTAGAATAATTGGTCTTCCAAATGCTTTTTAGTTGGTTTATGTTTAAGGAAAGTGGCCACAGACGATATTCAACCCTTCAGTTTGAGTAAGCATAGCGTTTTTTTCAAATGCATTGATTTGAATGGAATAAAGTTTGTATGGGTCAGATTGGTTATCTGACTTTAAGGGGCAATTTGAAAATTGTCCAAAACTCACATGCTATATACCTTTATTAATTGATTTTCGAATGTTAGTTTTTTTGGGGGACAATATGGTAATGGATGCTTATGATAATATCCTTAACAGTGCTGTTTAAAGATTGAGACTCCAAGGGGAGATGTCAAGTGTGTTGTAGAATAAACATGAAGTTGTGATGCATGGCCGTGCAACGTGCTTTAACTCAGCACAAAGCCTTTTGCAAGAGAATCCATCGTGTATGTGTGCATTCATCGACTTGTTTAGATTGCTAGAATACGAGCTTAAGGGTGGAAGAGGTAAACCTAGGCCTTCAGCGAAATATCTGGAGTTGGAGGTACGGTACGCATGGATGTGAAGTGTATTAATCGTTGGTGACACTTACAAAGTTGTTTCGACCACTTGTCAGACGCAGTCTGTTCTCTGGAATCGATGTTCTGCGCAAAGCGAGTGTGCTGTTCCTTTCGTCTCCTTGCTGCTTCCAGACGATGCTTTTCCCGTATCTTCTGATGGCGATTCCACTGGTCCTCCAACTTTTCAACCAAATTACATTTTGAAAAAAAATGTTCTATTAGTGATCTGGCGTCAAACTAAATGGGGTTAGAATTGGAAATCCAGTATTTTTCGGTACAAATACATGTCAAGAGTTGTGGATTTGTTTTTGGTGAAATTGCTTGAATAACATAACTTGAGAATGCTTGATTAAGTCTTGTTCCTGTCACTCAACGAGGAAAGATGGTGATTGTGCACATTTTTGGAAAATACTGTAGTTCCAAGCAGCATTTTATGATTGCGTGATCTAAGTTCCTTCAAAAACAGTTAAAGGCTCAGATAAAAAAAAATGGGGCAGTCATGTAATTTGCTGATAATTATCATAGTCCAACGTTTCACCTTGAGTTCGCGTCTCTGTGTGACGCTCACGTTGTAGCATTTCAATAGTTCAGCATGTCGGATCTCATCCTCCGCAAGATTCATCCGCTTCGTCCCCTTCTTGATGTGTTCCTGTCGAGTAAGTGTTGGTAACAGGATCAAAACATCGGAGTTGTATACCCTGTACTCATCAAAGTGGATATTTCTCTCCTAACAAAATTTCAAGTTGCATGTTTTGTTTTAAAAGAAAAATATATTTTATTCCGATTTGGGCATCTTCAACCCTCTGAAAAGGGCTTTCTTTTTGCGCCCAAAATGAACCCGCCCTTGAGGAATCGAATTTTGTGTCTAGCAGCCAATAACTAGAATTTTGTGAAGAAATAATTCAGTAACTAAACGTCGGTGGATTGTTTTCGTTCGATGTCTCGTTTATAATTGAATAACTTTTATATTGCTAGACTGAAAAAGGAAATGACTTTAAACTCGAAAATAGCACAGGGCATGCATCTTTAATCGAGAGTCCCCCAGAATTTGACAAATTGATGGAAAGTAAATTGATTGAAGGTAAATAATATTTAAAAGAGATTCCTTAAATTTCATCTTAAGAGGGTATTTTTTTTCATTCTTTTGCGCTGGCTCTATGGGTTTTTTTAGGAGCAGTAATACAGGAACGTCTCTTTGGCTGATGACTTCTCAGCAGTCAGGATTCGGGTTTCTTTGCTACCAGAAAAAACGTTTTGGCGAAATCCATGTATGTTTTGACAATGTCATGTGTTTTTGTTTTGCTAGAGCAACAGCAAATAAGATTGAACGTTTTCGAGCTTTCCATTTTCTTCTTCTCTCATTTCCAAAATTCAGATTTTATTCGGGCGGCCGAAAAGTTGCCTTCAGCTTTTGTTCTTTCAAAGCAGAATAGCCGAACTTTTGAAACAACCTTTTTGTATATTCTGCTTTTGGGCTATACCAGATAAGTGGTTTTACTTAGGCACCCAAAAAGTGGCCAATTGGTACTCAGCTTGCAGATTAAACATTGCTTTTGTTTTAAATAAATATTCTACCGAAACGATAATGGGCCTGTTGATTTTGGCAGCCGCATTCCCAATTGTGACCAGTTTTGCCTCAGAGGTGCCGACCATGATTTAACCCTCAAATGTCGTGGCCGGCCTTTGTAAAGTGCTTCTCGGCAGTAAAGTGAGTACGAGCTTGGCTGTCATTTATGAAAGAAGATATGGCACAGGTCTCCGTTGGTGTCTAGGAGACTAGGAATCTAATCTGCTAAATGGACCTTCGAAAACGTTCATTCGTCTTTTCTGATAATTATTACCACAGCAGAAAAAAAAAAGGTTTTCCATAAAATCCAATATTATCATTTACATCAAGGCCGACACCACAGAAATCCAAGCATCAAGAATCTCCTGATTGCAATCTGAGCATCTTGTTTCACTTCGAGACAAACCAATTTTTGAAATGCAGACCTATTCATCTGCCGGAGGCAAATTCATTCATAAGAGAGTGCCTCATTACCTCCAGTTCCCATCTGAGCCTCTTGTTTCGTTTCTTCTCCCGTTCCAAGTTTCGTCGCGCCCTCTCGATGCTTCGCTTGGTCTGCTTCTCCTCCAACACACGGAGATGTTTCACCGTGTCCTCTTCAAGACGCTGTAACAAACTACAGGAAATATAGATATCACAGAAAAGTTGCTGAGTCATTTCCAGATTAGCGGGGATTTCGTCAATTCAATCGAGTGTCAATCACAAGTCATCCTGTCTAAAGGCAAGCCGCATCCTATTTGTAGCCAAGTACATAAGTAGTCAATAACAAGTTTATGACGAGTCAATCGCAAGTCAAGTCAATTGTCCATTATATGTCAAATCACAAGTAAGGTCCGATAGACGTCTGGAACCTCACGCGAAGCCCGGTGCATCAGCTAGATTATGTTCTATTGTGAGAGAGCCATTTCGATTATTTGTTTTAATGTACAAATCATCAAATAAACAATGAAAGGAAACTTATCATATCATGTAAACTTTAATATAAAAATTATTATTTTTGACATCAAGCCCGAAAAAATAAAAGATTTGAGTGCTGTCAATAATTAAACTGAGAAACACCACATAGTGGAATAAATGTTTATGTTTAAATTGCAATGAACGTGATTTTGCGGAGCGCTTAACTAATTATTGGTCTATTATTATTAGAAGTAAAACAATACTTTGTCAGATATGTATTTGTATCGTATTTCTTGTTCAGAAGTATATATTATAGAATATTTCTAAGTGTAGAAATCATGTTTGTGTGGTATATATTGTGGTATTTGATGTATTGAGTATTGTACAGAAGCATATACGCAAAAAGAAGAAGTCAGATATAACGTGTGAACCTTGCCGGAAACTGGATATTCATTCAATTTTTGGAAATATTTTCTAAACTCTTATAAGGAATTTGCAACTTGTCAGGGTGATGTTTCGGAGTTTCTTACTGTCGATGATGTTCCTTGAGCGTCTTTCTCTTGCGTGTCTGTGTCTCCAAGACTTGCTTGTCGTGAGGACTTAGTCCTTCCTTCATGGTCCATTCTTGGCGCTGGCGCTCACGTTCCTTGCGCTCTTTCATTGCCTGGAAAAAAATCATAAGCTTCCAAAATAAACATCACAGATTGACTAATCCACAGCTAGAGGAAGAGGTTTTGAATGGGTCTGAGCCACCATTTTCCTTATCCTTATTCAATTTCAATTCAATTCAAAACTCACATTTATTTCCATACCAAACTGAGAAATACAAGTATAGAATACACGATAAAGTACATAAATATAGTTTGTCAAAAAGGTGAAAACAGAAATAGGCATGGAGGCATCTTCTGGAAGCCTAAGCTTGTGGCAAGATGCCTTGGACGGACAAACACAAAACAGAGATCCAATTAAACTTAAGATCTAATTAAACTCATTGTTTCTTTCCAAACGATATTCGTGTTCCTAAATGCTTCTAATTGTAACCTGAGTTTGCAATACGGCTTTAATATCGCTCGATCTTAAATAAGCCTTTCGATATTTAAAAGGGGAGGAATGAATCGCTTATTACGGTTTGTTTGTCAATGAATATAATACTCACAATGGATTTTCGGTCCTGTGCACATTTCTCGATGTGCACGCGTTTCAGGTACTGATGGTAGTCATTGAATTCTTTCAGGGTGCAAATTACCTACAAACAAACACATCAAAAATCATATTCAGTGAGACAACTACATACAGGGCCTAAAAACTGAGATGTAAAAATGCAGCAAGATCGTGTGTTGATTTCAACAAAATACTGACTCAAGCAAAAAATGTTCCAGGGGATTTACCCAAATATTTTTTTTTAAACTATCATTTTGGCATCTGGGCATAACAAGATCTCAAGCGTGAAGTACATATTTCTGTCGGTATTTGACAGGAAAAACGGAATCCAAAATTTAATGAAAAATTGTCTTACTTTTCCTTCGGGAGTAACGAATTTTCTCCTGATCAGTCCTTGTAAGGTGGCCGGCTGTGTGTAATGGCTCTTGAGATGAGGATCGTGTAGAGTCTTGTACTCACTGCTAAGCCCCTCCGCGCTGGGGTCAAAGTCAAGGTCATTCGGGGTGGGGTACAACTGAAATACAAATCAGAAATTCAGAAATTGATGATCATTATTTTGTTCATTAATTGAAGAACTCTGAAAGCGTTTCACTAATATTGCAAGCATTTCAAACCACCCCGTATATAGAAGAACAGAAGAAGTCATCAAAATCTTCAAATATACTCATGGGCGTCGCCAGGATTTTTTCTAGAGGGGGCAAAACATTTTTTTTGCCAAAAATGCTTGTATTTCTCAACACATTCTCGATTTATCAGTTTTAGAGTGGGGCAGGGACATTTTGCCCCCCCCCCCAACTCATTAAATTTACACCACTTTGTCTTCGCGCCTCATTTTTTTTTTCTTCCTTTTTTTTTTTTTTTTTTTTGCTTTTCCGGGGGGGGGCAAGTGCCTCCCCTTGCCCACCCCTCGCGACGCCAATGAATATACTCATTCATCAAAAAAAGCTTATTAGAATCGTTTTGTCTTGGCTGAAGACTTCAGGACCGGGATTTTTTACATTAAGATAATTATCCACCACCAAACTCGTTTGGGGGGCAACAACTCTAGAAATACACGATATTTTGTATTGAATGTTTGTGTGGTGATTTGTCCAAATGTTTAACATTGAAAAAATTAATTTCAAAAGAAACCGTCAAAAAATGAAGCAATATTGACCGTAACAATACAGTGTTATAAGCGCGCCAAATACAATTCGAATGAAAAGCAATGTGTATTTTTCGCGTGTAAAGCACTACATTGTTACGATCATATTATTTTTATCATTGGACTGTTTCTCATGATATTCGATACCCCTCTATTACACATCGCGGAAATTAATTGCACGAAATTTCAGTTTAATACATCTCACATTTCTTGAGTTATTCATCGGAAACTGAGTTGTTATTTTTGTTCAATAGTGCAGCATCCTCACCAATATCTGTTATTTAATAGAGGGCGCGCCACATAAATAGTGGTCTCGATAATTATCCACCACCAAACTCGTTGGGGGGGGGGGGGGGCAACAACTCCTGAAATACAAGATGTTTTGTATTGAATTTTTGTGTGGTGATTTGTCCATATGTTTAACATTGCGAAATTTAATTTCATAAGAAACCGTCAAACAATGAAGCAATATTGACCATAACAATACAGTGTTATAAGCGCAACAAGTGCAATCCAAATGAAAATCAATGTGTATTTTTCGCGTTCAAAACACTACATTGTTACGATCATATTATTTTTATCATTGGACTGTTTCTCATGATATTCAATACCCCTCTGTTACACATCGTGGAAATTAATTGCACGAAATTTCAGTTTAATGCATCTTGTATTTCTTGAGTTATTGATCGGAAACTGAGTTGTTATTTTTGTTCAATAGTGCAGCGTCCTCACCAATATTCCTTTATTTAAATGATCCATATCCAGTTCGTTTTGCGTAGCCTATACTACTATTAGGCCTTTACTTGGGCCTACTAGTACTAGTCCCATAAACGTGATAAATCAATAGATTTCCAAGCGGAAAAAATGGCAACTGTTCAAGTTAAGCGGACGTTAGTTTCAAAGAGACAAGTCAATGCAATCAAATAAAGAAATGGTTAGTGGTGAGCTACTTTGTAATGATTATGGGACTCCTCGAACATGTCAAACGGTTTATACAGCATGATCTAGGACCATCACGCTATAACTTTCATCTAATGATGACAATAGGTCCTATATCCCGCCCGCAAAAGGCAAATAGGCCTAGGCCTAGGCCTAAACATAAGATGTACACACGGCTTACCTTCTCTCCAAGTCCAGTTGTGTACAGGGTAATTTTGCCCTTTGGAGCAGGTATCATAGGGAGTTTACTGTACATAGGTGTGTTCAGCATCCATGCCGGTATGGAAGGCAAGGAGATGGGGCTTTTGCCACCGGCCAAGGCCGAGAGATATTCCCCGGCGTCTTTAGCGGGTGATTCCGATTCCTTGCCCGTCTTGCTGGGCGTGTTCATCGCACTCATACTGAACTCCGATGCGGTTTTTCACTTCTCGTATCACCGAATAAATCAAGACCCAACCGTTTTCTTCGGTCACAAGTGGTTGCGAAGATGGTCAAGGTTCTTCCATCTTCATTCTAACGTTATTGCCAAAGGTTTGAAAGCTCGAGAAGCCCTACCAAACTGCCAGCAATTTCATTCGGTTGGTCGACAAAACTCTTCTTCCCGAATATGTGCCTGCATGTTCATCTTCGGAACTTCACCGACCACACAAGATGGGAATTGGTTGAAATCACTCGCATCAAATCAATGCAACAGTTATTTTCTTCTCAAAAGGATGGCGATTACCTATCAAATTTAGTATGAGGCGTTCGAACGCTGTCGATCAAGTCGAAGCCCATCGCGTATGCACGCAGCTAGCTAGCATGCCGAGGATAGCTGTCATTGCATTGCGAGTGCGCCCGACACGAACGCGTTTAGTTTATAAAACGCGCACTTGAAAAGCGCGCACGTGAAACATAGCACATTTTGGTCTACAACAAAGCTAAGGGCGAAATCCACTGAAACAGGGGCACACTTTTTCTGTTCACAAATTAGAAAAGTGATAAAGATGTTCCGTTTGGGTAATTTGGATCGAATCAGATGGAGACCGCAGGCCTGGATTAAGTGTTTTCGTAGGCCCTAGGCACCAGTGTTCCGAAGAATGGAGAAGGAAGGGGAAAGGAAGAGGGAGTAAGAACAAAGTGGAGAATGTAAATAAAATACACTGCTGCTCAAAGCTCCGCGAAGCTAAAATCAGGTTCTGAAACCCATGGCAAAAGATTGTACATTCTGTATGTCGGCACAAGCTGCCGCGCGAAATCGCTTCATATACGGGGGTTGACAGCTGCTACAGCTGTGCAAAACATGCTCGCTCGCACAGTTACGAATTGAGCTGATTCTAAATAACGAGGGCATATTTCGATAGAGAGTCAAGCTTCTGCAACACTGATCTCTATATGTCTTTATTATAGAGATCAGTGATCTTCAATCCGAAAATTTTCCAGGGATCGTAAGCATCCCCGGACCCCACGCCTTCAGGGCTTCGCACTCGCATATAAAAATGTCACTATAGGATTTAAACACCCCCCCCCCCCTGCTGTCTGGGCTCAGTGAACAGGCCTGAACAAGGTATGCGCAAAGGTACTGAGCATGTACATGCAGTTTTGCGACAATGAAATAAAAAAAAATTATAGCAGGATTGTATTTTGCATTTTCGAGCAATTAAAAAAAAAATAATTTCGAACGATTACAGTACTCTCAATATAACAAATTAATCATTCTTGCAATTGTCCTCCGATAGAAAAGAAAGAAAATAAAACAAAAAGTTATGTGGCGATGGCCAAGTCTTCAGGAGTCGGACTTATGACCCTAACTTAATGAGCCCCTTACCGACTTCCATATAGAACTCTTCTGGGACTCGGTACCCGGCCCACCACACCTCCTTCCCTGTCCATCCATGTAACTCGAAAGTCAGGCACCATAAAGGGAGGAAACGAGGTGGCACCCTAAGCCTTGCTGCCGAGTCAGCAAAAGAACCCCGTACCTATACGCAGACGCCAACCTGGACTTCGCAGACAGTCCCAACTTGTGAGTCAGCTTACCGACCGACCGAGCTAACTGCTGTTGGTAAATGACGACGGGAAATTAACACTCTTAAATGACAGAACCGCGGGCGTCGAAAATCAAAAAGTGACACCAAGCGGGTTCGAACCCCTAACCCATGGGTCTGCTGTCAGACAGCTTAACAGCTAGGCTGCTTCAGTAAGTGTTTTTCTCTTTGCGTTTAAAACATAATCTTTATTTCCGCAGTGGGAGAGCTTCTTTGTGTTTCATAGCTGCACGAAAGACGCATCAGCTTCGCGCTATACACATGAATGCTGTTACATAACTCTTTTCTACAATCATTCTTATGTACCGAGCAGATGACCATTCAGAGTCACTACGAGCAATTAACCTTACCAAGCTCGTCCTTTTTCTGTCTCATCAATTGTTTCGCGTAGCGCGTCTTTCGGCCGGCACTGACATATCGCGCTGATTGAGTGAAATTCTAGCAAGTTTCCCTTAACTCATACTATTTATATCAAATTATTGACCCGTTTACAAATATTTACGAGGGAATGTTGTTTGTCTGACGAATTTGTCGACCATCTTTCACAATGAACTAGGAAAAATGAACTCTCCGTGGCAAACTCTTGGTGGCACATGAAACGCCCTAATTGCCCGGCCGTGGACATTCGAAGGGGGGGGGGGGGGGGCGGGGGGGGGGGGGGGGGGGGGCTGGACACCACATTATACTGGGACGCTCTTTATCAATTATGTATACTCGCGCTTACATTTTTCAAAGCTTTTGTACTTTTGTTTCTCTACTTTCCAGTGCTATTGAACACATATTAGTTGCTGGGACGTTCGGAAAATACCTCAAAATCCTCATATTTTTTTCTCATCACAAAAAAGCGGGGGATGATTCAATAGCCCATCCCCGCGGTCAAAAAGTGTGGGGTATATACCCCCACCCCACCCCAACCCGTGAATTACGGGACTGCCAAAAAGTTTTAGCACGAGATCATCATTTAAACATCTTTTTCGAGTTTGGATTCATTAAATCAGCTGTTCTGAACTTTACATGTAGAATCAAATGTAGGGTACATATTTTTATTCAGGGACGAAAATCGTTGGGCAACGACATCAGTCCCCCCGTTCCCCACCGATCGACGCCCATGGTTGGCACCGTGCTTCAGAACGACAAACTTTACTCGTACATTTTATACGTAGGGCCAACGCATACATGCTGTACAGCGTCAGTTGGTGAATTCGAAAATTCTGAGAGATCCCAAGTTAAAAAAAAAAACTTTTCTCTGCGCGTGTGGGTGTGTGTGGGTAGGCCTATGTGTGCTTTATGGCACACTGCGGTATTTTCGTAGGCCTTCCCCCAAGTTTTCGTAGGCCCCTAAATTTATCTATTATTTATGGACTTTATCCCCCAAAACTTTTTCTAGCCCCCGCCCCCCCCCCATTTTTTTTCATACACAAAAATGACAGTAGCCATTATTTAGGTGACGTCACATGCAAATTGTCTCACCCCCCCCAAAAAAAAATCGTTGTGAGAAGAGGGAATTTGTACACTATTAGGTTATACAGTGCGCATGACTAGGATTTTATCAGCGCTCCCCATGAGGCCCCCCCCCCCCTCTCCCTCCCCCCTATTGATTTTCGGAGGCCTAAGTGTCCGGAGAAAAAAAAGGTCTATATTGCAGCACGCCTCCCTGCAAACATTTCTGGATACACCATTGCTAGCCCCCTAAAATATAGGCTCCAGCACCGCGCCAGTACGCCAGACGAAAAAATTCAAAACCTATTACAAATTGTGTGTACACATCCAAATCATTTAATGTTGAAAAGAAACCATGACGCTACAATATATTTACAGTAAGTACCGTGCTAAAATAATTACGAGGAACCAAAGAAAACCCAAAAATAAAAGGACAAAATAAATTTTGAATCGTCGACAGGCAAATTAAAAGATGATTCACTGACTAACACGAAAAGAGCGCCAAAACACAAACCATACAATACATTAATTTTATAAGTCAAGTTAAAAAAAAATGCAAGGCAATTTGGTATATCTTTCAGTTTCAATGAAACGAAACACAAATGAACATAATTATTATGCTGTCTCTAACTCCTCAACTGTTTCCCACACTAAGTGAATGCAATTCTATTTTGACAGAATGTTGATGATATAAAATGCTTCGCTAAGACTTCGGCAATATCGTTTGAATTTATTTTTCTTGGGTCATTATAACAAATTTGAATGGGCAGTTTCTGCTAAGCCAATTACTTTGTTAAATCTTCATATCTCTTTCATTAATAAAAACACTAATGATACAACAAATGGTCGCGTCAGTGCAACAAGGTTGTAACTCGATTCTGCAACAAAGTCTTATCTCACGCGAATATACGCTCCGTGCAACAAGGTCGTATCTCGACGTCTTATGACTTTGCGTGTACATCTGGGTTATTTTAAGCGAGATACGACCTTTCGACAGTCTTACACTCACGTTTTATGTTCATGCCACTTTAGGACACAGGACATGTTGCATGGACGCGACAAAATGTTCAGCTTCAACAAATAAAGTATTCCCTTGAAATTGAAAGCTTCAAGAAAAAGTTAAAAATTCATCTGTTGCTTTAAGTATACAAAAATTCTGAATGCAAAGCACGGTAACAAGGAAGCCTATCTGGCTCAGATATTCAACATCATTTACTCCAAAAAAACTACTTTGTACACATCTTGGAGCCAGTTCCATTACTACAGTACAAAGAATGTATACTCTTGTCCAAGAAATCTGCCATGATGTTTCCATTCAAATGCAATCAACCTTCCTATTCCTGGATCTTACAAACATCCTCCATTGATGGTTAAATTAAAAATAACAACTTATCACTCATGTCTTCCAAGGTTAAATCGTACAGTCATTTTTTTTAACAGTGCAACAGTAGTAAAAATTTACCTTTCTCATTACATCTTCAATACCTTTAATGAAGTCAAAATGACAATTTTTAGGCTTTAAACTAATGTCACTTTATCTTTCCACACCTAGATTTAAGTGTCATGTGAATCTTTCCTCTTTGTTGCTTTCTTTTCATCAAATTGCAAATACAGTGCAACGTCGCTGTACCGAACACCGCTATACCGAACATTCGGCTATACCCAACATCATCCTTGGCTCCCAATATTTTTTTTAACAAAGTGTACCAAATACTGTTGTTGAAAAATGTCAACAGAAGAGCGATATAATTTCCCCAAGGAATAGAAGGGGTACGACACCCGTTGCTCTGGGTAGTAAGCTCAAAATCTATGTAATTACATAATTCGATAGTTGGCACATGTTTAAAGTTGTCTTTCAGTAACCAGAGCATGTTATTTATTTATTGAACACTGAACACCGGCAGCTTAAAATCACTACAATGAACGATTGCTGTTACAAACGTTTTCTGTGGATCTCGTGATGTTCGATATAGCGGCGTATATAGATTACTTCTGCTAAACAACACTACTGGATTTCATCAGGCGTTAATAGTAAACCTAGATTTCCAACCCCCCAACCCCCTCATGATTTGTCTTCAAACTTTGTATGGGCACAACTAATCTCATCTAGTGCTCCTCACTGAAGTTACAGCTCTCCCAAAATATTTCATAAAATTCAGTTGGACCTTCGCTGAATCAAACCAGCTCATCACACTCTTTTAGCCCTACCCACTTTATAATCGCCCTCCTTGTAAGCCATCCATTCTACACCTTGACTCTTTTGAGTGTCTGACTACTTGTACATGTCCTCTCTGTCGCTGCCCATCAGGTCACTACTCTCCTCCAAGGTGCTGAAGTTCAGGAAGTGGGAGGGGCGGTGGACCTCATGGTAGAACTCCTTGGGGTTGGCTAGCTGCAGATCATAGCGCATGCCAGGGTCGTGGCGTACACCTGGGGAAAAACAAAAAACATATTGAGAAAACCATTCAATGTTGGGAAACAAACTAGGAGACTTTTTTTTCATTGAGCTTCTAAGTGTATAAAACTTGCTCATCACATGAAATAGATACTTCTGAGTGTATGCAATGTGCTAAACTCATTAAATATTTACTTTGCAGTAAGAGATAACAAGCTAATATTGTATATTGTGCCTCGTTGGTGGTTTTTTTTTTCAAAAGTGTCTGTGTTTTCTATCTTTTGTATGTACAGGTTCTAAAGCCCAAGTCACACATTCACGGTTCGGAGCTACGAATCTCCATGGTTTGAAATTCACGATAAACCGTGGGAGTACCGTTTTCATCCTTAGTACCTCCGTGGTTAGCCGTCATCTTCCTTGGGTATTCGTGGAGGGGCTACGGAAGTTTTAAACTGTTCATAACTTCCGTGGTGAACCGTCATGAACATTAATTCGTAGTGCAACCATGGGACATCCGAAGGACAACCTTATTTATTCTTAGTATTATTTGTGGCTATTCGTGCATATTCTTGGAGATTCGTAGCTCATTCGTGGTAGAAATCTCTACGAATTCGCTACAAATGTCCTACGGATATGCCCGGATGTGCTAGGGTTCTGCTAAGGTTGTACTACGAATATCAACGCTTAATTTGTAGGAGAACCTTGGTCATCCGTGACCCAATCGCAGACAACTGTGGCGTTAACGTCATTACTCTTAGTAATACCATCGATATTCTTCACCAATCTGCCTATATTCTTGACAAACCGTGGTGTATTCGTAGAGAAACCGTAGGACTGTCGTGGCTATCCGTCCTGAAACCCTAGTGCATATTTAGAAAATCGCTTTCTCCACGAAATTTTGACGGTTCATCATGATCGATTGATTCTTGGTAAACTGTGGATATTCGTAGCTCCAACCAAGAATCTGTGACTTGGGCTTTAAGCTTTCTTAGATTCTACGATCACTTTTATTCTTGAAGCTCTTGATTACATCCAGGGAGGTTTAATTTCAGGAATTGGCAACTATCTGTTGGGTCAAACATATACACTTCATACAATGTATTGTATTCGATGCCTCTCCTATGTGTGATGCACCCATATACTGAGGCAAGCAGCAGCCACTCTTTAAGTGTTGCTTAAATAGTTTAGCATTTATGAGGTGCATTAAAGGGACACTACGTCCCGGAACAGCCCAATTGGGTTACAAAATACGCTTTGAACAAAATGATTTCAATCAGAAAGAACATTTTAAAGTAGGATATAAACATCCACACAACTATCCTTTAAAAACTGGGCAACCCAGAAAAGTCAAGCTGTTTGCGTGCTAGCTGTGATCTCATCCATAAAGTGTTTGCCTTTTGCGGACATGTAAGAAACCACATTTTGTGCATTGGTGATTGTCACCGATATTAGCGAGCACGGTGCTGTGTACAGACACATACAACATGTAACAACAGGAAAAATGTATTCGTACTCCCTCGTGTCCAATGTAAACATACAGGCTTTTTTCGCCTTTTCTCGGGAATGGTAAGACATTAGGTTTGTTTCCTTTCAACCAGATGTTTGAAATAGGATAAGTAAACAATCCATAAAAAAAACTTTTTCGAGGGATTTCAGGACCAAGTGCCCCTTTAAAGTTTCACTAACCAAATGCAACATGCTTCCCATCCTTGACACGGATCCCAATGGACCCTTTGCATTCGGCAGCCATCTTGGAGGTTTTTGTTGTTTTGTTCACTTACAATGAATGCACAAGAGGTCTACGCATGCATATTCTCGTGGAACAGAAAGACGCACCACAAACATGGCTGTAGTGCTTCGATCTATAAATGCGTCAACAACTTACCCATGAAGTTGTAGTTCCAGGAGCCCTGTGCTGGCACCATGAAGAAGCCCAGGAAGCGATCAGACAGCAGCATCTGCACCCTCTCATAGTGGGAGGGCAGGTAACCTTTAGGGTTGTTACCCTTGTCGGTATTGGAGCGTCCCCACTCGTAGCCGCTAGGGGTCAGCTTGTAAGCAGTCAGGGAACAGGAACCAGGGGTAAAGCTGAAGAGAAAAGATAAATATTTCCAAAAAAATTTAATAGTGGAACCTCTATCACCCACAATAGCACTCCGCACTAATGACGTCAATTTTGCTCCGCGCCGTATGCCCGTATACCTCGGATGTCAGACAAACTTTCGAACAATCACGCGCGCAAATGTATGCACATCTGGCCGCATATATTTGCATGGAAACGGTGTTGCAAGCGTGCGCGGAATCTTCACACGAGAAGTTCGTACAGCATGCTTGTCTGAGATCCGGGCACTTGCTTCTATTTTTAACATAAGTGCGGAGTGCTATTGATAATACAACGACAGGATCAATGAACACTATAAATTGATGACACCAAAGATACATATTTCAATTCGACGCAGTAACGTTTATTTACAATTCACAATTAACATACATTAACCCTAACCCTGCCAGGCGCAACACCGTCCTAATCAGGTGGAAAAGAACTGGTGCACTTTGATGCATTCAGCTACCAACACCAGTGCATGAATGACCAGCTCTGAGACAGTGCGAGCTAAGTCCCATTGAATAATGCCTCAGTTGTATCCTGCTGGGTGCGGTGACCAGGGACTCTGAGGCAGTGTGGCCTTGAGACTTTTCCCCTGATGGATCTTGCTACATTTGGCAGGTTTGTCACTTTATAGTCAAGTGTTGCATGTTGCTACGTTTGGCAGGGTTCTTAGCAAACATGCCCTGGAGGGTTAGGGTTAATTTGCATAATTGAATAATATAAATTACTAATTAACAAAATGAAACAAAGGTAAAATGACGAATTGGCAGCATGAACCTATTAGCACAGCTTGAGTTGGGAATACTGTATAGCTTAGACAATATGGACAAGACAGGAAAAAAATAGACAGAGACAAGGACCAACCAGGACCAACGTCTGACGAAAGCAATGATTAATACGGACTGCCAGAACCTTTTTTGCCAGGAACCTTCCTGGATCCTCTGATATCCTCGAAGAGCGGAGGATAACAACGGCAAAGAGTGTTTGTGTCTTTCTCCTTGAAGTTAAGAAATAGAGACAATAATGGTGGCAAAATCCTCCAAAACTTCTTGGTACGATTTTGAAGGATATGGGAGGTGTTAGGGTTAACAGCTGATGCTGATGCTGAAACTTGTTTATGTTCTTGGTTTCTGGGAGTCAGGTTGGAGCTGTGCAACGAATCCAAAATCCCTGACGAATATTGGGTATTCCCTCTGTTCCTGATTCCGTGGGTTTCCTTAAAATATTTTACTTGGGGTATTCCTCCAATAAATCAGCACATTTCTTCATCTTTGTCTCTATAATGATGAGTCCATCACAAGCCCCTGCAAGTCCATCACAAGTCCCCAGTCCCCATTCAACTCACAAGCTACTCAAATCAGCTTTGACAAAGGCATTCCTCTGTTCATCCACTGTTACTTGTAAGTTGAATTGTGACTGGAACTGTGACTTACTTGTGATTGTGGGGGGCTGTGGTTATGGTGTTCGACTTGTGTGCCTTGGTACACGGGTTCGAATCGTGACAGGGAACATGGTCCCTTTACCATTATTGCTTCGTCCTTCAGATGGAACATAAAGCTGAAGGTCCGTGTAATGCATGTTTAAGAATCCAGTTACATCGCTAAGAGGAGGGGTTTGCCCCGGTGTTTCTGGCAGTGGCTGCAATATGCGCCACAGCACCTTATAAAGGTGCTACATAATGGGTCTCATATTTCTCATAAACTTCATTTTCCTGTCTTTAAAAAATAGACATAATTACCAGCTTCTTGAGTACCTAATTGTTGGTAGATACATGCACTATATAAGACTCCTGCATTGTTTACTTGTGATGGACCCGACTACAGTCTTGAATAATTTTTTTTGTCAGGCTTTTGAGCTACAGTGCATTGGATTCTTGATATCATTAACAGAAATGAATAACAAAATTACCTGCATGTAATGACGATTGTTTTCTCTCCATCCCATGTGGGGTTATCAGCCATGATCTTGGCATGGGTGGTGACGTCTTGAGGAGACAGCTGGGGTTGCTCATTGGGTTGGGTGTGCACCCAGCCTAAGGGCTCCATCTCCTACAAGAATGACAAAAAGTAACATCAGGACTGGGTGGCTTTGGGGTGGGATAAGGTGTTGTTTACGTCCCTACAGGAGACAGCTGGGGTGGGCATTGGGTTGCTTGTGCATCTAGCCCAAGGTTTTACTAAAATAGGTCTCTCTTATCACGTCACTTCTTACAGATTGCCATATGCATCGGCATTTTGGGCATCATATTTTCGTGACGTGCATCCGCTGTGCCGTATTTCGAAGAAATTTCAAGCAATATGCGCGCGTGTTTAGAACATTTTGCACATTGCGCGCACACACACACCTGATGGCGTTGAACACGCAGTTGTAATTTTCCTACGAAGATGGCGTCTTATGAGAGAACTGTAAGAACTGACAATATCAAGACTGGGTGGAGTTAGGGTGTGGCTAGGCGGTGGCCTTAGCTTTGAAAATTGAATTGAATTTTGTAAGGTCAACCACTCTAGTTACGTGATAACTCTGGCCATAACCGCAAAAAATTTGCTTCACGCTAAACTTGGTATTAAGAATGAACCAGTCTTAATCTCAAAAAGTGTATCTTTGTTTTGTTTTTCATGAGATATGTAACTTGAAAACATCCTGATACTTTGAATTTGTAGACATTTTGAACATTTTGGTCAAATCAACTTGCTTTTTTTTATACCTACACATGGGATTAACTTAATCTAAATGCATATTGAACGTTATCCAAAACTAAGATGCTTCAAAAATTAAGACAAACTTACAAAGTAATGCAATAATAATAACAAGAACTGACCTTCAGGAACTCATGGTCCGGCAGCTGATTGGGTAGATGGACGGTCTGGTGGGTACCCCATTGAGGAACCATGACGATGCATCTGATCTCCTTGACTTGGGGGTTGTCTGGAGGGCTGACACCATACAGATAGCCAGAGATCTGTGCAAGCAGGGTGGAGCAGTTTAATTTTACTTTTTGAAGTTGACAAGTTGCTGATATAGAGGGTTGCTTCCTGTAATCACTTCTTCAACATACTCAATGTAAAAAAACAATGTACTGTGTAAAATGTATGTCATTCTTATAGAATTTTGAAATAAAGAAGACCATGTTGACCATGTTTTGGGTTAACATTAAGATGTCTTATTTGAATAATATGTGTTTGGCTGCTCATACATCAACTATACACCAGTGAAAGACTGTTTCCGTTCGTTCTAATGGTGTAGTTTATTCAGAGTGTTACCATTACAAAAAAATCAAGAAAAGTGCTTCAGAAGTATCCACGCACAATTTGAGGTATGGAGTGCCATTTGGTCATGTGGTGAAATGGCTTGAAGTTTGATAACTGGGACCTGATCAACAAACAGGCATAACTTTATCACTTTTGCACATATGACCTCGATTTTTACATCATGTAAAAAGTTCAATAAACACACTTCACAAACAGCACCTTTGATTTTAGTCACTCCTTGGCAGTTAAAATATGGGTTGCAAAAAAAAAAAAAGTGACTTTTCAACCGATGATCCATTTCTCACATTCTCTAGTGATTTCCACATGACTGAGCAAACAATTTGGTTCTGGGGAGAGCCCAGTCAACAAACCATGTGGTAGGGAAAATGGTTGATCAATTCTGTGCCGAGAACATTCCACAGTGTTGTGGTACTCGTACACGGTACTCGTACTCGAGTTCTCGTACTACTTGTACTCGGAAGTCATCGTCCTCGTACTCAACATGTCGCAATTGTACTCGATCATCAAAGTACTCGTACTCAAATAGCAGTACTCAGAAAAAAAAATGGCATAGCTTACTACGGCCTTATTTTATTATAGATATTTTCAGTTAGAAATGGTTGATTGCCTTGCAGGGAAATCAAACTTTCCTGAGTTTTCTCTGTGCACGTCCGGACAAACACACAGGGGTGTGAGTGACCACTGATAAAAATAGCTGAAAACAGCTGGAAAAGGTGTTAAAAAAAATGAATTTTGGAGATCTCCTATACTTTATTACACAGCAAGAGAGGGAAAAAGCTGAAAAAAAAAGCTGAAGATCCAAAACCAAAAAAGCTGAAATCAGCTTTAAAGCTGAGATTTCACACTTCTGAACACATTTAACAGCGATCTGTAAGTGGGTCTGTATACTGGTCTGACTCACAATTACACACAATGAACCATTTGCCGTATGGCCGTATTCGGAAAATAAAAGTAACTATACTCGTACTCAGAATACAAGTACTTGTACTCGTACTTGGAAGTACAAGGACTCGCACTCCGAGACTTGTACCTATAATCGGAAGAACTTGTACTCGTACTTGGTAACCTAAGTACTCGGCAGTACTCCGTACTCGACTACAACACTGGCTTAGCAATTATCGCTATGAAACCGGTCCCTGTTGTCAGGCATCTTACTCTCACCTGAGCCCGGAGATCAGAGATTGTGATGAACTTCTTGAGGACATTCTTGGGCAGGATGTACGTAAAGCCCGTCTCCTTGATGTCATCTGAAGACACGTAGATGTGGTTGGTGCGAAGATGGAGATTGGTGGCCGAGATGGCACGGACCCGCCACTCGGTCTTAGAGGAGAAGGTGGCCGTCTCGTAGTTGCTGGTGGTGGAGGTGATTATCTCATCGCCTGTGGATGGGATTAGACAGGATTAGATAAGATCAAAGACGTGGATGGGATTAGTGACATATTGGTGGCTGAGACGGCACGGACCCGCCACTAGGTCTTAGAGGAGAAGGTGGCTGTCTCGTAGTTGCTGGCGGTGGAGGTGATTATCTCACCGCCTGTGAATGGGATTAGACAGGATTAGATAAGATCAGAGGCGCGGATGGGATTAGTGACAGATACGTTGTAACAAAGGATACAGCTGAATTACCACAAATGATCGATAATTGATAAAATGATGAATTGTGAAAACCCTTCACATGCTGAAAAGTTTGCAATTCTTATTTAGAATTTTTAATATGTAAGAACTTTGCTGATTTTTTAACTGTATTTATCGAGATATTCATATAGCAAAATACACAAAGATATGTTGTCAGACATGAACAAACGTCCCCTTGTAGTCTACTCCCAAACAACATTTCAAATTTTACTAAGGGATAGGCGGTTTTTCACAACCACGTCACTCATGGTGGAGCACCGTGGCCTCATGGTCTGGAGCATTGAATTCGTGGTCTGCGGGTAATTCTGCAGGTTGTGGGTTTGAGTCCAGCCTGGGGTTATGGTGCGTGTGCCCTTGAGCAAGGCCCTTTGTCACTCATTGCTTCTCCCCACCCAGGAGTAGATGGGTACCTGTGAGGGCAGAGTTGGCTACTGTGAGAGGTTGATTATGGCCAAGAGTGTCAAAATGGCTGCCTACCGACCGTGTTTGCTTTACTCTAAACACTATCCCTTCCAGAAATTACATGGCACAATCACGTGACTCATGCATGAACATGAAATTGTTGGCCCGCAGCTTTCGAGATCCAATCAAGCTTGTTTTAAATGAAGGGGCTGGATGATTTTTCTTCTTACCATGTTTGTTGACAGTCTTGGTGGTGGTAGCGGTCAGCTGTGACTGTTCCTTGGTCTGCTTCTCTATCTCGGCAATCTGCTGACGCTGCTGGGAGGGGGCAGATATCTCCATGCCCAGGATGATGTCTCTGATCTCAGACTGGGTCAGGGAGGCCACGTTCACACTGAAGAGAGAAGCAGAGGAGGAGGAGTGAGAGGGTCAGCGAGTGTGAAAGCAAGTACTGGGGAGCTAGGAGCAGGGTTCCCACAGAAAACTTAAAGAGGTTGTGGAATGCTCGAAGACATTTCCGTCATTTTTTGGGTATATGTAGCCTAAGGTGTGATAAAAAAAAATCGACTATTGGTTCTGTCATGAAATGAGTACAAAGGGTACTTTTGAGAGCTATTTTTCAGGTCCTGTTTCGACCCGAACGTGCAATTTGTGTAAAAGTCGTCGTTGCGGGCAGCAAACAAAACACAGTAAATCGTGACGTAATAGACAGGACTCGTTTATGCTACTCTGCATCGGGAGTCCTGTTTATTACGTCACGATTTACTGTGTTTTGTTTGCTGCCCGCAACAACAACTTTTACACAAATTGCACGTTCGGGTCGAAACAGGCATGACAGGACTTGAAAAACAGCTCTCAAAAGTACCCTTTGTACTCATTTTATGACAGAAACAATAGTCGTTTTTTATTTCATCACACCTTAGGCTACATATACCCGAAAAATGACGGAAATGTCTTCGAGCATTCCACAACCTCTTTAACATGACATACGAGGTTGGGCCATAAGTAAAACACAAGACTTGCTAGGACTTGCGACTACAAAACTAGTCTCTACATACTTGTTCTTCTTTCCGTAGTCAGCCAGGATGAGATCTTTCAGTGTGACTTCCACCTTGATCCATTCCTCGTCGGTCAGCGTAGGCCAGATGTGATGAGGCTCTGTGATGGTGGTCTTGTCGGGTTTCAGGATCACCTTGGTGCGGTCGTTGTTGACGTGCAGGGCACGCAGGATCAGGATCAGACGAGAGAAAGCCTGGAGAAAAGCAATCAAAAGAATCAATAAAAAAAACACTGGAGGAAACTGACTGTAAACTAAAATCTAAACAGTGAATTGAATTGAATTAAATAATGGAATAAATGTGTGCTTGGCCGGTTTTAAACACAATGTTGAAGACCGGTTGGAGTCTGGATGCTGATAATTACCCGCGCCGGTCAAAAAATCAAAACTTTTCAGTCCAAAAGTCAGAACAAGTCAAAAATTTGAATTTTCCACCCATTATATTCAACAATTTTACTTCATGTTTTTCTGGACACCCCTCTAGCTATATTATGGCATGTCCAGTCTCGCGTGTCATGGTAAACAACTCCTTATATGGAGATTTGTGCGTGCTGCACAATGTGGCACAGAACGCAGCTGTGCTGATGTATTGTGAATTTAGGACTATGAAATACTGACTCACTGGTAGTACTGCGCATGCCTACGTGAGGATTGTGAACGTTCAACCACTAAAACGTTAAAAGGCACCCAATGTCACAGGAGTCCACATTTCATGTCATGCTGGAAAAAATGTTTATGACTAGCCAGCCATGTCTTTATCAGCCATTTAAAACCGGTCACATGACGGGCTCTCGACCAATAGGAACAGGTAAACTGTCTTAGGTATTTAGGAATGGTTTATTAAGCCACAAATCGTGGCCCGAAGGCCAAATTAGTTGTAGTTCACAAAATTTTTAATTAGAAATATATTAAGTACAAAATTACATTAAAAACGTTAACAACAAAATGTAAAACCAAAGCTCTCTCCAAAATTGTTATTATTGGAATTCAAGGGGTTTATTTTAGGGTCCAGATCAGATATCATAAACCTGTACATGTATATGCCATGTGACCAGGGATCTCCAAAGTATATGAAGTAATGATGCAAGAAAGATTGACTGGAGGCATAAGTAAGGAAAAAATGAAGTTTCCTTGTTGAAACAGCGCTTTCCACACGCCACTGCCTTATGCTATACACCATGGTAAAATGCACAATTGACAATTCACATTATGCTTAAAATGAGATTTACTGTTAATTGTGATTGCACCTATCATGTTAAAAGGGGTTACTTTATCTCAATTCTGCAAGCCAGCAATTCGCTGCGGTGATTAACACCTCCTAGCAGGCACAACGTAAACTCAGAAGCATGAAGGCAGAGTAAATTTAGGTAAGAGTTCACTACATGATGTTTCTTATAAATCTCAAAAGGCCACTGAAGCTTATAATTTGTTCAGTTCATGATTTGTGCTAGAAGTTCTTTGTTTTGAAAATGGTCACTGCTTTCCCTTAGGTTTTAACAGATCAACGTGTTTAAGTCAATGCTCTACGTACCGTGTACGATGAGATGGTCTTGAGCCAATCATCATAGAGATTGAAGAGAACCATCTGAGGCTCAGTGGCCTTCAGGATCAGGTCCCCAAACTTCTCTACCTTCAGGCAGGCCTGGAAGGGCAGCTGCAGCTCGCTGCCTTTGATGACGATGTTGGGAAAGTCTAGCAAGTGAACCTAGGAGAAAAAGGGGACGGGAGAGAATGTATTAACAGACATACTAGCAGACTTGATATCTACATGGGGCCAGCGGTCTCACTAGGCATACTAGACGTTGGTGCTACCTCCAAGCTGAACTAGAAACATTGGGACATCACCCACCCTCCCAAGGCTGAAAAATAGAGCATCACCATGTATCATTTGGAAAATAACAATCATTCTCTCCACCCTTGACAATTTTTACATCCATTTTTGAAATTAATCCCATCCTGAATAAAGATCATGCCGAAAATGTTGACAATGGGAATCTAAACGCAATCTCATGCTGTTGCTTAATATCCAACTCCGTACCATCATGACTCTGCCCTTAGGGTACAAGGACATAAATTCTGCTATAAACATAAATTTCTTTACAAGCAAAGCATGCTGAGTTGCACGATATATACGCACACGCGCCAAGACCAAATTCCTTTACACCTGTGAGTTACATACATTTTGAAACACTTAGATTATGAACCACTCATCATTTATTGTATGTAGAGCCATGATATTGCACCACAAGTGATATCTATCCACACTCTTTTGAGTATGTTGGTCACTTTAGATTATTGATGTAACATGACAGTGGTAACATGTACAGTGGAACACCGCTATACTGAATACAGCTATGCCGAACATTCGCCTATACCGAACATCATCCTTGGCTCCCGATTTTTGTGTACAAAACGTAACGAACATTGTTGTTGAAAAATGTCAACAGAAGAGCGACAAGTGGCTGTTATTTCCCCAAGGAATAGAAAGGGAAAGCCACCCATTGCTGTAGGTAGTAAGCTCAAAAACTGGGTTATTACATAATTCAATAGTGGGCACATATTCAAAATCGTCTGTCAGTAACTACCAGGCATGCAGGGTGAAAGTATGAAGGGCACTATTTATTTAAAAGTGAGTACCAGAGCACCAGCAGCTTAAATTCACTATACCGAACGATTGCTATTAGGAACAATTAATGTGCGCCCTGCGATGTTCGTTATAGCGGCGTTTCTCTGTACTCAGAGCCTCACCCATCATAATCCTAACCGAGGGTTGTGGAAAGAGGCTAGGTATCAGGTAATGTAACTACCTTTCAAGCAATCCATGATGCCATTTCTGGTAACAATGATCTGCTTGCGGTTTTCTACAACAGGCAGAGGCAATATCCAGGTCATGTCAGATTGTAAGAGTTGTGATAGGGTTGGGGAATAGGCGAGGGCTGATAATAGGCTACAGAGATGAGGGAAAATGCCAAGCCTACCTCCAGCGGGTCCAACATGCCCTTCCTGGTCACAATGATCTGTTTGGGCTGCTCCTCTACTGGCAGTGATCGGATCAAGGCTGCTACTTCCTCGGCTGTCTTCCACTTGGCCAGCTGACCCAGACGTTTCTGGCCGGCCCAGACCGAGGTGTGGATGATCTTCAGGAAGAGTTGACCGGTGCGAGGGTTGAAGATGAAGATGGCTCCGTTGATGGGCTTGGTGGTCAGGTTGCCTTCAAAGGTCTGTGAGAGTCAAGAGGCAACAATTGAGTTTATAATTCTTGCTGAAATGGAAGGTTCGTCAATCTAATTTCTACTCTCTGGCAGTCACTTCGGCAATCAAGAGTAAGTGAAGCCAAAAACCTTCCCCGGAGCCATCGTGTCATCAATCCGTGTCACATTTCTCTTTTTATATTGTCCCAGCCACGTGGTACCCATGCCTGAGGTCACCTATCACTACATCCTAGTATGGACCATCCAACAGAGGGGGTGTCACTTGGCTGACCCTAGTGGATAGGTTAAAATTGGCGGGAAGACCTAGTGTGCTTGTACACATTTACATAGGCTTGTATACGATTGCACTTTTCACATAGGGATTGCATGGATAACCCTGCTGACCAAAATGGAACAGTTTTGACATTAACAGGGCAAGTCTGTGGTTTTAATGGCTGTTTGGGGTCTGAAGGATACCAGGGGTGAATGGTCTGGGTTTGAGGGCCGGGTGGCTCATATTACATAGTGGTAGAAAAGCATTCAACGCAACAGTCAGATATAGGTAGATTAAGGGGCAGCTCCAGGGGTGAGATTGACAAATCCACGAATTTACAGCACAGAATCATCACATACTCACAAAAGAGGTTCATTTCAGTTGAGGGTCACCAAGGGCCCCCAGAGCAATGTAGGGTCTATGGTATTGGTATGTGTAAATTTGCCTGAAGGCACCAATACTAATTTCTTTTCTTCTGAATAACCTTCATAGATAACAGCAAGGTAAGTTTGCGGTGGCACCATGTGAAATTAATCTCTTTTGAGAGTATATGTCGTGGTGTTGAGAAGAACCGGTTTTTAACTCAACGTTTCGGACGGCATGCTCTGTCCGTCGTCGGGAGACTGAGGGGGTTCCAACTGGAAGTGAAGTATTTGTAGACACGAGGAAGCGTTCATCCCAGCTTTCACATCTCCGCGTTTCAATAAATTTGTTTGATAATTGCTACATATTCTTAAGATTTTCTTTAATTTGGGTCTAGATCATTCTGACTCACCCTGTACAATAAAAGAAGGTAACAAATGATTACAGTGTGACTATTTTCATGTGAATTGGAAGAGACATACCTTGTGAATGGTGACTCTGTAGACATTGGTGTCATCCACAAACCAGATGATCTGATTAGAGAACAGCTCGCCGTAGTTCTGTGAGGATAGGTAAGGCTCGGTAGGCTCTGAGGAGTACAGCTGTAGACCCTTACGGATGCGTTCCCGCAGCACGTACAGGGCAGGGTTGGCCTTCATGATCTTAGCCATGGCTTGCTGGATCAGAGGCTTGCTGCCCGGGAACCAGTTTCCAAAGGCACTGGAAACAAAAATAATAAATAAACCAAAAACTAAAACAAAGCTAAACGGAACGGCAAACAAATCTCAATCCTTTTTTTTTTTTGTCAGAGGAAAAGCCATCCAGGAAAATGACTAACTACACAAACACCATTAGAAATAATACTGGAAGTATTACGATCCCCCTGGCATGCTGGCAGTATTTATAGTCAGTTAGTTACCACACTTTTCAGTTTACCTAACCAAAATCAACAATGACCTCATTTGACCCCTAGATGACCACTGACCTCAACTGTCTCAGGTCATCGGAAGTCTCCCTACCCAAAGATTATTGTCACCAAGTTTGGTTGAGAGTAAAGTCTGACTTTTCATAGGACAGCACTAAACAGTTTACCTAACCAAAATGAAACATACACACACCCTAGCACGTTTGTTTATGGTGTAATCGAGGATTTTCTATCGTTCCTCTTCCCTTTTCCTTTGTTTATACTCTTTTGCAACAGCTCTCATTGGTTTTGTACACATTTTCTAATCGAGGTCGTCCTCGATTTGGTTCCTGTCCTCAATTTATCGATCAATGTTGCACGTGTGTGTCCTCGATTTACACCATAAACACAGACATGTTTACGTTACATACGTAGTGTGGACATTCCTTTCTTTTCGTGAAGTTCAGATAAACCTGTGAACAAAATCGTTTTATTCACACTGTGAAATTTCTTTCAACCCAAATTTTTTTTCAATTTTTTTTTTCATTCCCTTTAGTGTTCCCCTCATTTTGCCACAGATAAACCTAACCCAAAAATGCCTCTAAACCTGTTTGCCGGAGAGAGGGAAACACTGTGTCAATGTGTGGATGGGGCAAGTGCACACAATGTCGCTGCTACCTGGTTTATGTGGACATCTTTTGTCTGCAAGTCAACCCAGTGAATGTAATACTTGTACGCACATACCGTCACCGTTTTCACGAAGAGCCACATATGTGGATTTTGAAGAAAAGGCGTTTTCGAGATAATCACAAAAGAAGTTTCTCATATTTTAAAACTGCAAAAAATACCACTTTGCAACAACTTTGTGCAGCAAGAAAATCATCACACGATTCTACGAGAGCTGAAGTTTTACATGAACCCGGTAATAAGACTTGATACAGCAGTTAATTAGCGAAAATTAATTAATAAAGATATGTGGCTCTTCGTGAAAACGCAAATTCAGGTTTCCGAGATATTGGCCCTTTCTGTTCAACGTGTATTTCCATAGGCGCGCGTGAGCGCGCGCGCGCAGCTGAAATGTAACAAAGATATGTGGCTCTTCGTGAAAACGCAAATCTCATTTTCTCTACTTTTACGTATTTCCGTGCAATGGGTTTTGTACGCGTTCAAAGGGCCAAAGTGTATGTGGCTCTTCGTGAAAACGCAAAATGCATCTATCGAGATTTTTGTCCCTTGCAACATTAATGTAACTTAGAAATTAATGATGTTTTGCTTTCAGAAACACGTCAAAATGGTTAAGTACATTGTTTCAATGCCAAATAATGAAAAAAATGACATATGTGGCTCTTCGTGAAAACGGTGACGATACACACACACAGAAGGAATACACTATCGCAATATCCCCCTATCTGGCTTAAAAGCCACGGGAATAAAAACTGTTATGCAACAAACAAAGTGCCCGTACCTGTGGAGATTGTAAGCCAAGTCAATGGCCAGAAGCACCCCAGTAGGTGAGGGGTAGATACTCATGTTATCCGTGGTGTAGTCCAGAAACTTGGCTCTAGAGTAACGCTCAATGTCATGGGAGTCATAGTCACCCCATCGTAGCTGGATGTCCAGCCAGTACTTCTGGGTGGTGCTGCTGTCCATAGTGTCCCTGGTAGGCAAGAAATTTCAATCGTTATTAAAGGTATAAAAGTCCATCATTTGTAATTTGTGCATTTTGTTTGTTTGAAGCAACAAAAGTGCTCAATATCTGAAGAAGGATGCTGAGCAACTAACCTGATGAAGTTTCAGCTGAGCTTCAGCTGCATTTTTCCAGAAAAACAACATTCTAGGATCTCGATTTCAAATCAAAAGATGCTGAATCATGTTTTGAACTGGGCCTGAATTCAGCGTCCTACGCGATGTCGCGCACTGATCCGACGAATTATAGCAACCGCTCGCATGTGCGTCATGCTAATGCTTGCGCACGCTTCACCGAATAGCAAAACGAACTACTAATTTCAATTTCATGGGAAAGGCCTTCTTTTGTTGATTTCTTCAAAATGACAGCTTGCCAGAAAGAATCATTTCACAGGAAGTTTAGTCCCCTTGCTATCTTTCAACCAAGTCTGTTTTTCAACAATAACTACGTCAGTTACTTTTTGGATAACTGCAAATGATGGACTTTGGCTTTAACAGAATAAGAATTTGAACTAAACAGAAACACTTCCAAGTCCACATCACCCTAGTCTGGTTCACTGTCCCCACTGTCATTCGCACTTCAAATATGGGGACAGGTAGCTAGCAGTGAATATCGAATACCTTAGGTTCTCCTCCTAATGTATGCAAATTATATGCGGGACGTGCGTAGGTCTGAAGCCCGCCTCCTGAATTCAAATTCACAACGGTAATGTTTGGGCGGAACCAGCCTGTTGCAAAATGGTAATAGGCCACGAATGTGAAATGTCTGTGGTGATCAGCTTCGATTTTCCCCGAGTTCTTAAGTGTCTCTAACAACAACCAATAAAGACAGGGGCATTACTGTTCAGTATTGGAAACCTATGCAGCTGAAATGCTTGAAAGTTGCCTTTATGGAGAGACTTGCGTTTTAGCATACTTTCTGTGGTAAGACAGATTTTGGTATCTTTTTCCAAAAGATACCAATATTAACAAATTTGGCTCACTGGTTAGGGATATAGGATTATTTTTAAAAAAAAGGTGGGCCGTAGCGCAAAAACCGTTGGTCTGACAGGGCAAAACTTCAAAATTTCAGCTTTTTCAGCCAAAATGACCCCATAAACCAAAAATAAACCAATATGAATGGGGGTCGGGTTTAAAATTCCATTTTTTGGGGTAATTTGACATGGAATGACCCAACTGCCTTTTAACAATCTTTGTTTATCCGATCCAAACTCTGTCGAACTCTCTCCAACTGATACTTTTCATTCCTGTTTCTGATTTCAAGGCATGTTAAGATGAACCTACTTGCTATCAGCTAGGAGTGAGGGCCGTGAGACATTCCACTTGTAGGAGGCAAAGAGCAGGATATCAGCGCAGGAGCTGTTCATCTTGTAAGACTTCCTGGGATGGATGGTTTCCTTCTGTACTGTCTCAATCTCCAGGGCATCCAGCTCCTGGTCAAATACCTGTTGGTGTTTACATCAAGAGATGACGACACGATATAAGCAAACTTATGATTTTTTTTTACAATCTTTTTCGGTTCATTGGAAACTATTTTTGGGAACTTATTAACCCTTTCATTACGAGTATTATGCTGCAGCCATGACAAAATGAACATTGCTGTGCCAGAACAACATCCAAGGCCTCTCGATGTGCCTGATATTTCCTAGTAAAAAAACTACAACTGAATAGACCATACTGCAGACTATACACAAAAAGGTACTAATTTTTTCTAGGTTATTTTTCTTTCTTTTTTGTAAGGAAGATAGGACCCATGATGTGCAAGGGCGTAACCAATTTTCTCAATAATTGTAAGTTTGGGTATAGAAAGCATATTCAAGTATTATATTATTATTATTATTTATTCGACCCAAAGAACATGAAATTAGAGAGTGAAATTAAAATGGAACACACACAAAAATACACACTCAAAACGATTGAACAAATAGAACCAGAAAACAAAACAAGCTTACAATAATTTTCCCTAACCCTGCTGAATCCAACAGGATCCAACTATATCATACACCCGTTGGAGCCTGTTGGATTGAGCAGTAAACCCCTTGTACAAATGTATATGTACATATTCAGAGTCGGATTCTGTTGGGTACAGATACGGTAAATAACGCCAAGTTGGACTCTGTTGGATCCAGCAGACAACGAAAAATTAGGCACAGTTGGATTTTGTTGGATTGGGCGGGGCCCAATTTCACGGCACTGCTTAACAGTTAGCAAAAAAGTTGTGTTTATCATAGCAGAAAATTTTGGTAACCTTAAGCACTATTTCATGGCATGGATGTGCTAACGGTTGCGTGCGCATGGAGATTTCTATTGTTACGTCACTAAGTTAAAGAGGTTGTGGAATGCTCGAAGACATTTCCGTCATTTTTCTGGTATATGTAGCCTAAGGTGTGATGAAATAAAAACGACTATTGTTTCTGTCATAAAATGAGTACAAAAGGTACTTTTGAGAGCTGTTTTTCAAGTCCTGTCATGCCTGTTTCGACCCGAATGTGCAAATTGTGTAAAAGTCGTCGTTGCGGGCAGCAAACAAAACACAGTAAATCGTGACGTAATAAACAGGACTCCCGATGCAGAGTAGCATAAACGAGTCCTGTTTATTACGTCACGATTTACTGTGTTTTGTTTGCTGCCCGCAACGACGACTTTTACACAAATTGCACGTTCTGGTGGAAACAGGACCTGAAAAACAGCTCTCAAAAGTACCTTTTGTACTCATTTCATGACAGACACAATAGTCGTTTTTATTTCATCACACCTTAGGCTACATATACCCCAAAAATGACGGAAATGTCTTCGAGCATTCCACAACCTCTTTAAGCACATTTTTCGTCTAAAGTAAGCGTGCCAGTGCCTTTTGCTGTGCTTACGCTTACAGTCTCCATGAAATAGGCGGAGGCTCTGTTAGCAGAAAATCGAGTGCTCAGCAGCGCCAGGAAATTGGGCCCTGGAAGTAACTGCTGGACTCTGTTGGATTTAGCTGGGTAGTCCTGAAAAACCCTTAGGGGGTTAGGGTTGACAGGATGGGAGCCATAAACAAGTACAAGTAGAAGAACACGTGCTGAACTGGTTCTCAATAAATCTACCACAAGCGAAATAGGTTCCACTTGGAAAGGGAAATACCACATTTTTGATAAGCCCCTTTAAAAAACATCCAATGTGGTTGGGATGTTACAACTTCATGAACAGCACAGACAGAAATCCATACGTACCTGACACAAGTCCATGACCACACTCTCGTGAATCTTCTGCCACAAGTGAGCCCTGAAGATCTGGATGAGTGAGATCTTGAGGGTAGGGATCTTGCCGTGCATGAAGATGCCTGTCAGATCCAGCTGCACCTGGAAACCTACATACACCTGGGGAGAGGAGAGGGCAACATTCAACAAGGTTAGAAGTTAGAAGAACTAGCTGACTCAGATTGGTGAGTTTGGGAATTTCAGTATGGGAATTTAAGATATATGTGAATGTGAATGAATTCTTTGTGACCTTTTCCCCTCAATTCGTCGTTTTCACAAAGGGATGGGCATGTAAGAAATGTCGGGGTTTTTTTTCGATTTCAATTTTTTTTTTTCTCACTATTTTTCTTAAAACATCATGCTTAACCATTCTGACATGTTTCCGTAAGCAAAACATCATTAGTTTCCAAATTACATGAATGTTGCCAGGGGCAGGCATCTCGATAATTGCATTTTGCGTTTTCACGAAGAGACGCGAACATGCCTGCCCCTTGATCACGTACAAAACGTATTGCACGGAAAGGCCTAAAAGTAAGTCAACTGAGATTTTTGTTTTTCACGAAGGGACAGACATCTTTGTTACATTCTCGGCTGCGCGCGCGTTAACATGCGTGACCCTTCCCTATGGGAAACACATTGAACGGAAAGGGCATAAATGTAGAAAAACTTGGAGTTTCATTTTCACGAAGGCACAGGCATCTACACTAATTGATTTTGGCTAATTAACCACTGTGTTCATTCTAATTACTGGGTTCACATAAAAGTTTACCTTTCAAAGAATCATGTGAAGGTTTCCTTACTGCACAGTTTTTGCAGTTTTAAAATAGGAGAAACTTCTTTTGCAATTCTCTCGAAAACGTTTTTTTCTTCAAAAATTCACAATACCGTCCCTACGAGAAAACGGCGACGAATTTAAACGTGTTGCACACTTTAATACGTGGTAACTGAATCTCAATCTACAAACAAAGCTTTCAAGGTACAAACTCAGAAATAGGGGCAGAACATCCTTTCCAAGTTATTGTGCTGATTTTTAGTTTGTTTTTACAACGTCTCCTAATTGCGGTTGTTAATCTAAAATATTAGGAAAGCTAACATCACTATGGGTTCCATGCACAATGGTTACAAAGGAAGAGTTGCGGGAGACCACTGGGTGGGATTCTTGAATTCATTGCCAGCGATGCCTGACGCTAACGTGAAGATGCTATGGGTTTGTGCACATGCAGAATTACTATGCACGCCTAAAGTTAACTTGAGATAAATTCGTTATCGCTCTCAATCGAGGTGCACGGAAAAGGTAGCGTGTCTTGTGCCCACATACCTTCGGCTTCTGAGGTATGTGGGACACAGACACTACAGTACTCCATGTTCCATTCGCACTCGCATGATAACTACCAGTGTTGAAGTCGAGTCCATCACAAGTCCTTTCACAAGTAACAGGATGAACAATGACAAAGGAATGCTTTTGTCACAGTTCATTTGAATGGCTAGTGACTTGACTTGGAACTGAAGGACTTGTGATGGACTTGTGATGGACTTGTGATGGACTTGTGCTTGACTTGTGCTTGACTTGTGATGGACTTGTGATGGACTTGTGATGGACTTGTGATGGACTTGTGATGGACTTGTGATGGACTTGTGATGGACTTGTGATGGACTTGTGATGGACTTGTGATGGACTTGTGATAGACTTGTGATGGACTTGTGATGGACTTGTGATGGACATGTGATGGACTTGTGATGGACTTGTGATGGACTTGGGATGGACTTGTGATGGACTTGTGATGGACATGTGATGGACTTGTGATGGACTTGAAGGGACTTGTGATGACTGGACTACAACACTGATATTACTAAACAGGATGGGAAGACTAATCTGAGTGATAGAAATGCTCAGATTACAATTTCACGGCGCTGCTAAGCACCAAAATGTGCGTAGCACAAAAATAGTCAGGCTTATAAAAGCAGATTACCAGCCAAAACTCCACGTGATGTATATTGCTCATGATTAGCATCCAGCTGTTGTTTGCTTAGCATGAAAATCATATGGAGTTTTGGCTGGTAACCTGCTTTTATAAGCCAGACTTTTTGTGCTAAGCAAATTTGTGTGCTTAACAGCGCTGTGAAATTGGGCCCTGTTTTCTCCACATGATCTGTAACTTTTTCTTCTGGAGTTGTTACAATAGCCGCGCATTGTAACTTGTGAAAATAAGTAAAGTAAAAGTAAGTGAAGTCTGTCCCGAGCCAATGTGGCTCATCAGGCCGGCGTTTATCTCCGGTTTCAGTAGCATGAAACGACTGAGAATATTTCTACTCCCCCTGGATGGGATGCTAGTCCGTCGCAGGTTACTCCCCAGCTAATGCCGGTACCCATTTATACTCCTGGGTGGAGAGGGGCAAGTGGGGGTGAAGTGCCTTGCCCAAGGACACAATATATGACCAGCGGCTGGATTCGAACCCCGGACCCTCTGATCATGAGTCACGAACCCTAACCACTAGGCCACACACTCCCCAAAATACTTGTGAAAATACACGATATTAATTGTGTTATTATTAGTATTATAGAGATGCTGAGATTTGGCGTCTTGTCGGTGCCAGGTTTTCAAACTCACATTAGCTCTGTTGATGGTCGGTGACCACCAGAGTGTGAAACGACGGTTAGGGATCTGGTTCAGACCGGATCGCTGGGCATTGGTCAGCTTCTTGTACTTCATGGACTCCTCAAAACCACTGGCCTTCTCCCTGTGGACAAGAATATTGGTCAATGAAGTAATGCTAGGATAGTGTGTTGGTCACATGAATGGGTATAATAATAATAATAATTTGTGAGGCTAATCATCCTTACTCGCAGCTGGTATACTGAATTGCAAAGGATGCGGCTACAACGTGGTCGGGCCGCTGGCACGTAAAGGCGCCTATAGCTGCTGGCCACATCAACCCATATACGGACAACCCATATACAACGGAGCACAGCCTGAGATCGAAAGTGTTTGATTTTTCCGGAGGGAGGAAAACCAGAGGGTCCGGAGAAAAACCCTCAAGGCACAGGAGAAAACCAACGCACAACTCTACTCACATGTGATCCGTGGCCAGGATTTGAACCGTGGTCACCTTGGTGAGAGGCAAGCGCTTTACGCACAAGCCACCCATGCCACCCAAATCAAGGGTATCAAGGGTGAATAATGTCTCTCTCAAAGACCGCCATCTCTGTAGGAGAACTGCAACTGCGTATTTTACGCAATCAAGCACGCACTGCAGTGTTGAAAGTGTTCCAAACATGCGCGCTTGTTGCTCGGAATGCGTTCAAAATACGACACAGCCGATGCGTGTTATGCAAGTTCACGCTCAAAATGCCGATGCACGTGGCTGGTCTGTGGGAAATAACGTTATTTGAGAGAGACCTATAGGGATACCAACCCCACACAACCTAAAGCCTCCAAAATCCTGGAACTGGTTTTGCAGTAGTTTGACAAACTGTGACTGAACAAACACCGAAGCTATTACTTTAATTGGGACTTGATGACCCCATTTTGTTTGGTACAATGAATGTGTCATTGGTTTACTTCATAGTCACAGTAAATGGGCTTTCAGGCTGAAAAACACAGCGAGCGGGGATACTCTATCTTATTTTTGTAGCCTGAAGTAAAACCAAGTGACATTTAAAAAACAAAAACAAAATAGCAACTCCAACTAAAAGAGGTATTTCAACAGTTACTACAAGGATTGTTTCAGAATTCATATCTAAATTAAGGTCAAAAAAAAAAAATAGTCGGTCTCTGGTCAGACCGAAGTTCCGGAATTGATGCGGCGACGCATTTTTTTATATTTTTTTGGTGGCTTTTTTTTTTTAAAGCTTGAATTGTACAGACAAGGTGGGTACTATTTTGCTTTTTTGTGTCCTCATTATACATTGGTGTCCTCCATAATTTGCCGTGGTGCCCTTTATCATTTGCCTTGGTGCAATTTCCCCATTCCTTGGTGCTCCTTGGTACAAAAATTTGAGGTGTGGCAATAGAGGGCGCTGTTGTAGCTTCCGTGTTAATTTGAAGAAAAAACAAAGGTTGACGCGCATGATTAAAATCGACGCGCGCGCTGACCAGAGAGCGAGTATTTTTTTTTTATTGGCCTAACCAGTTCACACCAGATGACATGCATACACATAAAGGTTCTGTGGTATTTGGAACGGATGACAGATAAACACGAAAGGAGCGAGGCCAGAAATATCTATCAGCGACCCTCTCGCAGCGAGCGATGCCTGAAATATGAGCGTGCTGCCCAAAGGTGATGGCTTCAACCTGCCTGACTTGAGGTCGAATGAAAAATAATTCACTGCTCGTTCTGTTCTTGTCAAAATAATCCTGGCGTGAACTCGTTAAAGAGGTTGTGGAATGCTCGAAGACATTTCCGTAATTGTACTCATTTCATGACAGAAACAATAGTCGTTTTTATTTCATCACACCTTAGGCTACATATACCCAAAAAATGACGGAAATGTCTTCGAGCATTCCACAACCTCTTTAAAGGACATTGTAAAATGATTATAGGCGATACTGATGGATAGCTTGACACAGTCACTGTTTCCATCCTTGAAACTTTGGGCAATCAATTTTGTTTTGCCATAGTTGCAAATTCAATCTCCTACATCCAGAGCCGGCAATTTTAAAGAGTTGTCTCACCAGAAGAGACCTTCCCAGGTCGGGAAGTAGGTTCCCTTGAACAGCGTGTGTTCCAGGATTCCCTCTACTCCGCCCAGCGCCTGGATCATGTCTGTCCGGTAGTTGTTGAGATTCCACAGCTTGCCGTCGTGGCGTTGGTGGGTCCACCAGAAGGGGTTTTGCTTCAGGACCTGCACAAAGGAGGGAACGGTTGAATGGGGTGACAATTAGCTCTGCAAGGAAACATCCAGGGGAGAGTTGGTCTTAACCCCGACCTCCTAGGCCCTTTTTGGCTAGGAACCATCCTCAATCCTACAAAATTGAATTTGTTCAGTGGAGGGGTGACCATTGCCTCAATCCTTCAAAATCCTCCAGCAATCACTGGTAATGGGTTGAGGCAGTACCGATGACATTCAGAAGCAGTGCGGATGATATCGAGCATACTGCAGAGCTCTAGTATGCATGGCTGAACATGAACAGTGCAGGGTACAGCCTACAAACTCAACACAATGCATCCTCCAAAATCAATCCTGGAGGATTTTGAAGGATTGAGGGTTAGAGTTAATAGTCAGAAGCAGCTCGATTTCTATCAAGAAAGTTTCCAAAATTGAATAGCAACATTTTGAAAATCAATTTTTTTTTTTAAGTTACTACTTCATTTTACAGTGTACTTTTTATGTTCACTTTCACCCTCTGAAAATGTGGGTGTCAAACTGTACTTCAGCTGAATACTGCATTCCCACATTTCTAGCAATCATCAAAAATTGGAAAGTAGACACCTTTTTTTCTTCTGTACAACAAACCCAACCCCAGAATTGGGTAATAGTTTAATAAAACTTTCTGAAATTTACACAAGCAAGCATTTTTTTTATGTTTAACTGCACACTTAACATTACTTATGCTTTGAGCTATAATTTGCACATACAGACTTCTGCAACTCAAAATCTCTTAGAACTTTGCGAGACAGACCTGGTATTGCTTGAAGTCTGTGCGGACTCTCCAGCCCTTATCATAGGCCAGGGTGTGTCGGTCCTTCTGGAACAGTGTGTTGATGCGAGGTATGCCACGGTCCCAGGAATCCTCTAGATCCTCCAGAGTCAGACGTCTAAATAAAAAAAGACAGGAATAAAGTGGAAACATTCTCAATGAAGTATTGTTGTTTGGCTTGTGTTTGTTGTAAGAGTAAATGTAATCTCTGTGAAACTTTGTCGTATTAGTCAGAGATACGTGTCCGAAATCTGGGCCGGGCCACAGTTACATATGTACATGTGCATGTCCATGTACATATGTGTACATGTACAATACACCTCATGCCCAATTTCCGAACACCGACCCTTGTTTTATTTATTTATTTATTTATTTATTTATTTATTATCCACATCCAACAGCAGAACAAACTGCCAATTACAGGACTGGTTAAAAAATATTAAACAATTATTAAAAAAACACAAAAAACACAAAAAAAATAACAGTTTTACGATGAGAAAAATATTCAATGTTTTCATAAAATTAAAAAGCCTGAATTATGGTTAGAGTAACAGACTCATCAACAAAGAAGTTAACTTCTTACTAGAGAAAGTGGAGGAAAAAATCCGAAAGACAAGGGCCCCATTCATGGCACCATTCATGACACCATTCAATCATGTCCATGATTCAACCATACAGGGTGAGTCAAAAAAAGCGAAACCTAAATGTCGGGACCAATGTTTAAGTGAAGTTCTGCATGTAGCACTTTCAAAATCTAGGATCTGAAAGCCCAATTCATAAGCTTTCTTTTAGTACACGTATCATTCAAATCACTCATGTACTTTTCAAGTTACGGAATGTTAAACACAACCACCGTTTTAAAGTTCTGTCCACGGATCACTAAAAAGGTGTGCGTTCTTTCAGCAAAACAAAAACAATTCACACACATCCCTGTGTGATTTGGTTTGGTTTTGCTGAGAGAGCATTTACCTTTTTAAAACGGTGGTTGTGTTTAAAATTCCGTAACTTGAAAAGTACATGAGTGATTTGGATGATCTTGTACTAAAAGAAAGCTTATGAATTGGGCTTTCATATCCTACATTTTGAAAGTGATTTGAATGATTCTTGTACTAAAAGAAAGCTTATGAATTGGGCTTTCATATCCTAGATTTTGAAAGTGCAACATGCAGAATTCACTAAAACAATAGTCCCGACATTTGGGTTTCGCTTTTTTGGACTCACCCTGTATATTTTTTTTGGGAAACTTAGGGGACCCGTTTTTCTGGTCGATTTTCCTGGGACAGACCCACTGACCGACCACCCGACAAAGTGACATTTAGAAGCTTCTATTGTTTCTGGCAAAGATCAAATTGAATTGGAGGGTGTAGTGGGGCAAGGGTTGAGTCATTCAACTCAAAATGTCATGCAGCTGTAAATACCAGGACCAATCTGAATATTTCATTTCATTTACCTGTTTTGTGCATTAGCCTCCTGTCTCTTCAGCGCATACTCGGCCCAGACTCTCTGTGAGTCAATGAACTCACTCTCCCAGGGCTGGATGTAGCGGTACAAGTTGGGAATCAACTGGTCTTCATCGTGGCTCATACCAGAACGGAAGTGAGTGATGCCGACGTCTGTCTGCTTGGACCACCTGGGAAAAGAAGTCACAAACTTGTGAAAGTCTCTGTTTGTACTGATCAAAATAACTGATCAAGGTCTTTGGCCGTGCATACATTTAGGCTTAGATTATGCTTGAAATCCTCCGCACTGCTCCAGGATGTCACTGGCTCTGCCTCAACATTTTGACAGTGATTGCTGGAGGATTTGGCAGGATTGAGGCAGTGGTCATCCCTCCAAGGACCACATTCAAGAAATAGCAGGGGATTTTGAAAGATTGCGACTGTTCGCAACTTTTACATGGCGGCATTTGAGGATTTTAAAAGATTCAGGTTGCATCCCAGCAAAAATGCCTAGGGAGCTAGGGTTAAAGCAACACATCTCAGCTTTGCAAGCTTCATACAAATTAGGCCCAGGGCCCATTTTCACGGCGCTGCTAAGCACACACATTTGCCTAGCACAAAAAAGTCTGGCTTATAAGAGCAGCTTAACAACCAAAACTCCATATATTGTATATTCGCTCTTTTCACGCTCCGCCACAGGCATGCAGAGCCTCGATCTGGCAACTGTACACAATGAAAATAGCCGGTTCAGTGATCTGAACCCCGACACGGGAATCACTGAACCGGCTGTATTTATTGTGTAAAGTTGCCATATCGAGGCTGGTGCATGCCTATGGCGGAAGCGTGAAAAGAGCGAATTGCTCATGATTACTATTCATCTGTTGTTTGCTTAGCATGAAAATCACATGGAGTTTTGGCTGGTAACCTGCTTTTATAAGCCAGACTTTTTTTGTGCTAAGCAAATTTGTGTGCTTAGCAGCGCCGTGAAATTGGCCCAAGATCTCACCTCAGGTCAGACTGTGGTATGAGCACGTGTCCCATAGACAGCATGCCCAACCCACCCAGCTCCTTGGGTGTATAGAAGACGACCGGTGGGAAGCGACTAGGCATCTTAGAGTTCAGGCCAATCTTGATACGTGTCTGGATCTTGTTCTCGCATTTGACCAGCAGATCTAGGAGCTCCTGTGTGTTGACTACTGCCTCACGGTAGTAGGTCATCAGGCCGATTAACGCTGTGTTCCACTTGTTGACAATCTACAAGGAGGGAGCATTTGCAAGGTTTTAGATCGTGATACGATGTAGTATTTATTTTCATGGATCAATGATTATGAATGAGCTAGTTGGTTCATAGTTGTAAAGAGCTTGCAAGTTGCTAATAGCTCAGGTAATTTATCAAGTTAGTCTTTGCTATGGAACCATGGAAGGACTTTGTTTTTATAGTAGACCTATTCACAAGAACCAGTGGAGAAACCATTGTGTAAGCTCACTGCTTCAAGTGTGTGCGGAGTTGTGGGCAAACATCTCAACATTACGTGAATTACCCATTAGAACCAGACCCGAGTTTGCCAATGACAAACTCGGGTCTGAACTCACCGGTTTGGGACGGAGCAGTTTTTAACACGACCTTCCATCTGACCAAATGGTAGCCCTAACAGTCCCGAGTCCACCAATTTGAATAGGATTGTGCACATCCCCTAGGGAGTTGGGGTTTACGAGGTATGGACAGGTGGTTTATGGCACCACTGCCTGTGAGTTTACTGACCAAAAATATCTACACAAATGTACTAGGTTGTTGTTTATACTGTAAAGTAATGGAAATAGTGTCAAAAGTTATTAAGCAAGCAACTTTGAATCGTAAAAATAGACCAAACATATCTCGAGAAAGGAAATAAGGATCAGTCAGACTTTCTCTAATTCTACCTCCATGTTTCATGCTTTTCATGCCAAATGGCCTATGCATATGATGTGATTGATAGGGCAATTACCACAGCTAATGGTCACTGACCCTGGGGACCCTACAGCTGGTAAGGGTCACGGTAGTGAAACTGGTGAGAAGAATCCAGAGTTTTTGGCTAAAGGGAGTTTCACGTAATGATTTAAGATGAGATTTGAAAGTTTGCATGGTGAAAAGGCAATAAGATAAAGTGTTTGCGGTAGCACCATGTGGTGAATCTCTTTTGTGAGTATGTGTGGTTCTGAAAAGAACCGGAGGGAACTCAACGTTTTGGACAGTATTCTTCATCAGGAGACTGTCGTCAGGAGACATCAGGAGTCTCCTGATGATGGGCAGAGCATACTGTCCAAAATGTTGAGTTCTCCGGTACTTTTTAGAACCACGCATACTCACAAAAGAGATTTACCACACGGTGCTACCGCAAACAATATATCTTATCTCATTTTAAATTAAATATGCACAAATCTGCCATTAAAAAAAATCAGTAACGTCCAGGCGCCCTCCTGCACAGGCACTCAAATGTCACTAAAAACCCTAACCCTGCTGAATCCAACAGGATCCAACTATGTCACATACCCGATGGAGCCTGTTGGATTGAGCAGTTAACCCCTTGTGTACATTCCTCATGCAAATGCTGGATTGAGCAGGCAACTGAACTGCATTATAATGCCATGCTGGAATCCGTTGGATTCAGCAGACAACTGAAAATGAGGCACAGTGGATTGAGCAGGAAAGTCCGGTTGGACTCTGTTGCATTAAGCATGGTAGTCCTGAGGAAGTACTAGGGGGTTAGGTTTAAAGCTTTTAAAATTGTCTTAGGGTGTTGTTATGTACTGACTCTCCTCAATCCAAGTACTTTAGCACCTGTTTATCTTCAATTTGTATAGATATATTGCAAAAAAATGGCAAACTCAAGACTTTCAAAAGTTTGAGTGTTTTAATGTCCTTGTGGAACAGTTTTTTTCCACAAATCGGAATAGTTTTATGAGTTTTTATAAAAAAAAATTTTTATAAAAGTTTCACAAAAGAATGGCAAACTCAAAAGAATTTCAAAAAGTTTGAGTGTTTGAATGTCCTTGTGGAATTTTTTTTTCCAAAAATCAGAATGGTTTTGTGAGTTTCTCTCGGACTGACACCTACCTTGGTGAAGGTCGTTGAGCCGGATGCCATGAGGATCTGTCGGACTCTGTTGTGGAATCGCTGCATGGACTCCTCATCTACTCTCAGGAAACACTGGGCTGTACGCTCCTTAGTCACCTAAGATGCAAAGCATAGAGAATGAAATATCAGCACCGACGGAGCCATTTGATGGATGTTTAAAGCTACAGTCCATCATTTGCACCTATCCAAAAAGTAACTGACGTAATTACTGTTGAACAGCATACTTGGTTTAAATATAGTAATGAGACCAAACTCCCTGTGAAATTATTCTTTCTGGCAAGCTGTCTTTTTGAAGTGAACAATGAAAGAAGGCCATTCCAATGATGTGTCTAAAGAGCATTCTTGGAAATGTCCGTTAGTAGTTCGATTTTTTTTTTAAATTTCGGCGAAGCGCGCACAAGCGTTGACTGGACGCACACGCGTGCGGTTGCTATATATCGTTGGTTAAGTGTGCGACATTGCGCTGCTGCAATCAGCTGAATGAGAACGTGTCCCGAACGCTGAATTCGGCACAATTCAAAACATGATTCAGCAAGTTTTGATTTGAAATCGAGATCATAGAATGTCGTTTTTCTTGAAATATAAAGGTGGAGCTGAGCTTACACTTCATTAGGTTGGTTGTTCAGCACCCTTCTTAAAATTTTGAGCACTTTTGTTGCTTCAAACGAACATAATTCACAAATTACAAATGATGAACTCTACCTTTAACTAACAGTGAAAATACATACCTCATTCTGCAGGTTCCAGATGCCGTCTTTGTGGGTGAACTCATCCGACGTCGTCCGACACTTTGGCAGGATCCGGCACTCAAAGCCGGACATGTTGAAGAGCAAGTTAGGGTTGTCCTTACTGTAGGCGGAGACAAAGCTAGCCTCCCACTGGAAGGTGGTGATGGAGCGCGGCAGACGGTTCTTCATGTCCCAGAAGACGGCACGGCCACTGAGAAGGGAAAAGGGAAAGGTAAAGTGAGAGCCTGTCATTCACAAAACAGGCCAGAGACTGGGGTTGGGGAAAGATGCAAAGCTAGCTTCCCACTGGAAGATGGTGATGAAGCAGGGCCGGGGGGTTTATCATGTCCCCAAAGACAGCATGGACAATGAAGTGGTAAGGGAGGGAGTGATGAGATTAACATGAAACTGGCATAGATTTGGGAGTTGGGTGGCTTTCGTTTTGGGAAAGATACAAGGCCAGCTTCCCCTTGGAAGGTGGTGATGAAGCAGGGTCGGGGGAGAGGGTTCATCATGTCCCCAAAGACAGCATGGACACTGAAGTGGTAGGGGAGGGAGTGATGAGAGAGTATCATGAAACTGGGATAGATTTTGGAGTTGGGTGGCTTTCCTTTTGGGAAAGATACCGGGCCAGCTTCCCCATGAAAGGTGGTGAAGATGCAGGGTCGGGGGGGGGGGGGGGGGGTGTTCAATCTTGTCCCCAAAGACAGCTTGGACAATGAAGTGGTAAGGGAAGGAGCGATCAGAGAGTATCATGAAACGGGGATAGATTTTGGAGTTTGGTGGCTTTTGTTTGGGAAAGTTACAAGGCCAGCTTCCCCAAGGTGGTGAAGATGCAGGGTCGGGGGGGGGGGGGGGGGTGTTCATCATGTCCCCAAAGACAGCACAGCCACTGAAGTGGCAAGGGAGAGAGTGATGAGAGAGTATCATGAAACTGGGATAGATTTTGGAGTTTGGTGGTTTTCGTTTAGGGAAAGTTACAAGGCCAGCTTCCCCGCGGAAGGTAGTGAAGATGCAGGGTCGCGGGGTGTGGAGGGGGGGGGGGTGTCATCATGTCCCCAAAGACTGCACAGCCACTGAAGTGGTAGGGGAGGGAGTGATGAGAGAGTATCATAAAAAATGGAATAGATTTTGGAGTTGAGTTGCTTTCATTTTGGGAAGGATGCAAAGGAATACCCCTCACAGAGAGGTGACAATTATCCTAACTCCACTGAGTCATGTAAGTTTGCAACTTCACGGGTCATGAAAATTCAAATTACCATCCTTGAAGACTGATTGTCCTAGTCCTCATTTACACATACATCCCGACCACACAGCCGGTTTGGGCATTTGAATTATGTGGGCCTGATGTCAAAGGTCAAACTGGCAATGATGCACTGTCCGATCTCTGACTCAGATGTTGGCAATTCTTTCACCCTAGAATATGATTGACTGAGCTCTCTCAATATTCAAAGTATTTGTTTTTGCAGCTATGACTTTTTGTTCTAATCCATCGTTTTGTTGTTCTATTTTGGTACTCATGGGATTTGTTTATGGCCACTCACAGGTTGACATCATGCTTCATGAGTCTCATCTTAACGTCTCTAGACCAGAATTTCTTGTTATTGTAACCCATAATTTTCTCTATTTTGGTACTTATGGAATTTGTTTTGACCACTCACAGGTTGACATCGTGCTTCATGAGTCTCATCCTAGCGTCTCTAGGCCAGCATTTCTTGTTATTGTAACCCATAATGTTCTCTATTTTGGTACTCATGGGATTTGTTTATGGGCACTCACAGGTTGACATCATGCTTCATGAGTCTCATCCTAGCATCTCTTGGCCAGCATTTCCTGTTATTGTAACCCACAATGTTCTCTATTTTGGCACTTATGAGATTTGTTTATGGCCACTCACAGGTTGACATCGTGCTTCATGAGTCTCATCCTAGCATCTCTAGGCCAGCATTTCCTGTTATTGTAACCCATATTGATCTCTATTTTGGTACTCATGGGATTTGTTTATGGCCACTCACAGGTTGACATCGTGCTTAATGAGTCTCAACCTAGCGTCTCTAGGCCAGCATTTCCTGTTATTGTAACCCACAATGTTCTCTATTTTGGTACTTATGGGATTTGTTTATGGCCACTCACAGGTTGACATCGTGCTTCATGAGTCTCATCCTAGCGTCTCTAGGCCAGCATTTCCTGTTATTGTAACCCATAATGTTCTCTATTTTGGTACTTATGGGATTTGTTTATGGCCACTCACAGGTTGACATCATGCTTCATGAGTCTCATCCTAGCATCTCTAAGCCAGCATTTCCTGTTATTGTAACCCATAATGTTCTCTATTTTGGTACTTATGGGATTTGTTTATGGCCACTCACAGGTTGACATCGTGCTTCATGAGTCTCATCCTAGCATCTCTAGGCCAGCATTTCTTATTATTGTAACCCATAATGTTCTCTATTTTGGTACTTATGGGATTTGTTTATGGCCACTCACAGGTTGACATCATGCTTCATAAGTCTCATCCTAGCGTCTCTAGGCCAGCATTTCTTGTTATTGTAACCCACAATGTTCTCTATTTTGGTACTTATGGGATTTGTTTATGGCCACTCACAGGTTGACATCGTGCTTCATAAGTCTCATCCTAGCATCTCTAGGCCAGCATTTCTTGTTATTGTAACCCACAATGCTCTCTATTTTGGTACTTATGGGATTTGTTTATGGCCACTCACAGGTTGACATCGTGCTTCATGAGTCTCATCCTAGCATCTCTAGGCCAGCATTTCTTGTTATTGTAACCCACAATGTTCTCATTGTTAGGATCCGGATGCTCCGTCAGGTACCGCTGGATCAGATCACGAGCCTCCTCAGCAGTGAATCTATAACAAAGCAACAATAATCAGGACAAAATGCTAAGGATATGCTAAATATCTCACTGTGTATGCTAAATATCTCACTGTGTAACACTGAGCCCTGTAACTTAAAAATATACGCTCAGGGAATTTCGAACACTGTTTGGTGTATACACACGAGAATGTGACAGCTGGTTTTGAAATTGTTACACATGTTTGTAAACAATGATGTAAATTCAATAAGCCATTTGCGAGTAACCTATACCCTTTGGGATTTACATTTGAAAAACGTCTGGTACAATGACTTGCTCAGAATGCTTGGCACAATTTAACTGTGAATTCTCCAGGCCAAAGACACTGTTGCTAATCACATGATTCAGGGCAAGCTCTTGCATAGTTACGTAAGAGACGCTCAGCACCAATACATCGTTCACAATGGGTGAGAATGGCACAAAGACACCAGACCATGCCGGAGCTGGGGGTTGCTAGCATAAGGCTTGCCCCGAATCACGTGATACAGTAACAGTCTCTTTGGTCGGGAGAATGCTAGGTTAAAACGTGCAAAGCATTGTATTAAGTCAGCGTTCCAGATTTTATTCAAATTTAACACGCAAATGGCTTATTGCAAATATGTTCTTATACAAAAAATAAACAAAACATTTTAAATGGCCCCTGTATAAGGAAAGAAGAGTCTTCATTGATTCGTGTCTGAATGCAGATATGCTTAAAGGGAATATACAACATTTGCAAACATAAAAAACATAACCAAATTATTATGAAATACGTTACTGGACTGTTAGTGAATGACAGTCTAAAAGCATGGCACCTGGTGTGCTGTCATTTTCAAGAAAAGTGGTATTTTGTATCAATTTCCAACGCTAGTCGACTGATCATCGTTAGAAAGAAACTGGCTTATTTTCAAATACTGCCCCCAAAATTACCATATTTAGTTTGTCTGAATTTTGTTTGCTGTCGATTACACACCTATGAACGGGTACAAGCCTTAAGTTCTAGACTGAGTCCCGGACCTTACAATTCCCTGACGTCTATGTATATATTGCTCCATTTCAATTTAAGTGGGGTCAGGGAACCAGACTACAAGATTATGATTGTGTTTTTCCAGCCTCTACGAACGCAAAACTTCAAACAAGTCAGTGTAACAACATTTGCTATAAAATACTAATCCCCCAAATCCAACCATTTCTGAAAATTACAGAAAAAGCAAATGTTGTATATTCTCTTTAATAGTACACCAAGTTTTGTGAAATTAATTTTGAACCCTAAAAGACCTAACTGAATTTTAGTGGTCACAATCTAACACTTCACCAATCACACAAAGAAATATGAAAAATTGAATAATGAAAAATGTATCAGGTTGTTTCCAGGATGGCAAGTCACTGTGATCAGACACAGCCATCCAACGATGCAAAGCACTGACATGATTACTGTAGCATTGACTACACGAACAGACCAAGTCATGTACAGGACAAGGCTGCAGATACCATACAATGCATATAAACATGATCAACAAGTAGATACCTCAGTTTAACCCTAAAAAAAAACCAAATTGTATGACAGAAATTTTGAATTGGGAAGATTTTTTTTTCTTGTTTTTTTTCGGTTGTTCGATTATTTGGGGTGGTTGGGGGGGGGAGGGAGGTGGTTTGACAATTTAGCAAAATGCTCCATCAGTACTTTTGGTGATGGTACAGTGTGCAATGGACTACATAAATGACTTCTTTCTTTGTCAGTTCATAAACTCTCTAGCATCTTTTACTAGGAACTGGACCAATTCCATCAAAATCTATCAATCACTGTGCGTCCAATACAAAACTGTACATGACATAATGGAATCCACCACTGACGCACTGGTTGACATTCATGGACTTGCTACACATGGCTTTTATCACAATAGCAGTACAGGAGGCTAGGCAAAATCAATCGGATACCCCTAGCACTGCTTCAGGCCATTAAGCCCAAGTCTATCATACTCCGTCAATATTTAGTCACACCAGGCCTTCTGGACCAAGTCCCCCAAAATCCACCAAAATGGGGGGATGGATTTTGACTGAGTTGGGGTGGTTAGGGTTAAATTATGCGGTATTTTCTACACCTTTTTAACTCCAACTCCCTACTGTCTTTTACTAAGTACTGGACCAAGTCTGCCAAAATCCATCACTGATCCTGCTGCACAGAATGCTTCAGGACCAAATCCGCTGAAATCCACCACAAGACCACCACTGCTATAGGAGGATTTTAATGGAATTGGTACTCATGGCTTGTCTGCCAAAATGCCCCCAAAGGGGGATGGATTTTGATGGAGTTGGAGCGGTTAGGGTTAATCAATACCAATTTCTGTGATGGTCAATCATAATACTATAAAAGCATGAAATACACTCTCTGTACCCACAATGATTTTATTTTCATCTTGAAATTTGACACTCCTGTTCAAATACCAGGCACATGGTGGTAAGAAAAAATTACTTTCACCTTCTCCATTAGTCTCACATGTTATAGAAATGACAAACAGAATGATAAAGGAGACAAATCTTACAACATTTTGACAATAAGGCTTGAGTTCTACTTTCGCATGTCATTTTCCCATTTACAAGAACAATTTGATTTTGGATATAACTGAGTTGGTTTTTACCTGAAGAAAATGTGAACCCTGTCGATGTATCTGGAATAGAGTCGGATTGGATGGCTTGTTTCCGTGGCAACATCCTGCGAGATTAATAAAAAAAAATTGCTAAGCCATATTCACAATTGTTTCCTGTACAACACCTTTAGGATTTTGCACAATGAATAAATTGATAGAAGGTAATAGTTTAAAAGTTCGTAAAGTCAATATTTTTATGAGTTTACCAGTTTTTTTACTTTTTTGTCCCAACCAAGTGGGAAAATGTTCTAGCGATTATGGCGAAGTTCGGGACATTAGTCGACTAGTGGTTGATTTGTGACGTACCTTACGCCTGCGCACTGATAGCAACGTGCGAACGTCTCTAGTCAAACGCTGGTCAAAATGTCATCGCAAAACTTTTGGATCCTGGCTCCCTGCTGTAGGTTATGAATGCGTGCGGCTATTGGTTACCAGTGATGCAACCAGCCCCAGTAAGTTGGTTCCATATAGTCGACTAGCGTAGACAACCATAGTCGACTAGACAGAGTTCGGGCTAACTTCAGTCCAACTATGGTTAACCAATGATCAACAATAGTTCTTGCGCGAACTTGCCCTATGCTGCAGCCACACAAAAATTCTAAATTTACCTCAAACATTAAGTCTTTTATTTTTGTCTAAATCTATCCCAAACATTGTTACTTTTTATCACATATCCACAAACCTGGAACTGCAAGAAATCGTTCGGCATCTGCGGGGGTCCGACCATTTCACTAGCCCTGTGCAGACCCAATGCCAGAAGGTCGAGTACCAGACCATAGTACTGCACAATGAAGGAGGCAAACTGCAGACCTCTGATGATGCCATAGGAATTGGTGTGGTTCATGTCCTATCAAAGAAAAACACACATGCACATATGGACATCTTAATATCTATGTACATCTTACTATATGCAGGTATAATGTTGGTGAAAATATTGTAAGAATTCCTTTTATTTTCATTGTCATGAGATTTGAAAACAAATGTGGTATGACCATAGAGCTATATTAAATTACTAGAGTGCTGACTCATGTACAAAGTGATGCCTGATGGGTTCATTTATCTGCATTTATATTCTATGCAGGTGTGTTATTAAAGCCGATACGCCCAAAATTGAACACACGATCAGCAACTGTGCATTTCATTTTGCTCTACGCAAACAGCACAATGCGTGCGCGAATCTGCTATAGATGATTTTTTGCAGCAACGTTTTTTAACCATCATGGCATGCCAGGGGTGTGAGTGACCACTGATAAAAATAGCTGAAAACAGCTGAAAAAGGTGTAAAAAAGCTGAACTTTGGAAATCTCATATACTTTTGTACATATACTTTTGTACACAGCAAGTGAGGAAAACAATTTAAATCCAAAAAAATTTAAATCCAAAAGCTGAAATTAGCTTTAAAGCTGAGATTTCACACCCCTGGCATGCTTACGTTGTTTACGTACGTTCTACTTGCCCGTTGCATTTAGAGTACACCTTCAAAAAATTCAATTCATCTAATTTCATTGTGTTCTACAAACACGTACATGAATTCAAAATGTCTGCCCCCAGGATGGCTTCAGAACGTGTCCGCGCGCAAGAATGAGGAGTTAGCGCTATAGTGATTTTAATATAGCTCTATGGGTAGGACTTGAGTCAAGCTTCTGTTAAGGAATCTGAGTCGTATCGCAATTGTGATGACACAGCCTTGACTTGAATAAACAGCCTCAGACTTGACAATCATGACTCAGACATGATTTCTGAAATGTACATCTGATGACTTTGTGACTCGTGCTTTTGGGATGGGTCACATAGGAGAAGATATGTAATTTGTACCTTGTAGTTGATGACGACGTTGTTCTTGGCCGTCATGTAATCAGCAATGTTGTGATCAACTATAAGCCGCAGCAGTCGATTGAGGAGAGTCAGATCAATCTTCTCGTACATCTTCTCAAAGCGAGACTCCATCATGACGTTGCACTCACCCTCCGATGTGTCCCACACATCCTGTAGGTTGTTGATGCCTGACGCACAGAGAAAAATACCTCATTAACACCCGTACCAGCATCAAGTTTCTCATCTTCTGAATTTTGATGGTGTTGTGTATACAGTATTTACAATATACGATGTTGAAATTCAATGAAATAAACTTAAATTCTAGCAGGCTTGCAGGGTTCGACCTTAACTTTTATTTTCACTAGCCAGCCGGGTTACTGAAACAGACTCTTAACTAGCCCACGGGCATTTTCACTAGCCCGAATTTTTTCTTTTATAGAGTGTCTCATAAACAACAATGTGCATACATGTACAATGTGTATCCTGAGGCAATCTTGTCAGTGTTTTTAAAAAACAAATTTAATAATTTAACCCTAAACAGTTAACAAAATTAGACACGAATTGATGCAGATTTGCTTTCTGAATGTTAAGATTTATTTCTTCCTGTCCTTTCATCTTTGTCGTATCCCAATTATTTTTGACTCGCCAGCCAGGCTACTTAAGGAATAGTTTGACTAGCCTGTTGCTGTTTTGACTAGCATTTGGCTAATGGGCTACCTCTAAAGTTAAAGGGAATGTACATCATTGGCTTTTGCCGTAATTTTCAGAAATGAACTATTTGAGGGGTTAGTATAATAGATCAAATATTGTTACACTGACATTTTTGAAGTTTGGTGTTCGAAAAGGTTGGAAAAACCAAGAAAAACAAAAATGTTCAAGTAGTCTGGTTCCCTGACTCCACAAAAGATAAAATGGATCAATTTATAGATGATGGAAAATTGTAAGGCAAGGGAACCAGTCTAGCTGGCCTGCACCCGTTCATGAACATGTAACCAATAGCAAACAAAATTTGGACTGAAAAAAATGGTAAATTTGGAGCAGTAGTTGAACAATAGTTAGGTTTTTCCAACGCTGGTCGGCCGACCACCGTTGGAAATGTTTACAAAAATACCATTTTCTTGAAAATGACTTCACACCAGGTGCCATAATTTTACAAGATGCTTGAGACTGTCATTTACCAACATCCTAGTAAGGTATTTCGTAAAAACTTGGTAGTTTTATTTTTCGATGTTTGCAAATGTTGTATATTCCCTTTAAACCCTGGGCTTGTAAAGAGTGGGTAAGGAATTGCATCCATAAGATTTTTACGATTTGGGTTTCATTTTGTTTTTACTCACCCTGTATTAAACTGCTACACTGCATTTCTAAAAACACTAGATTTATCCTTGCATTGGCATTGTACTGAGTGAGGAAAAAGTGCTTTTCATGTTTAGGACCTTCCTTTCCTTGCTCTTGTACTAAAATCTGACTCAAAAATGCTGACCTTGGCACCATTTGTAGACTAGTAGCGGTGGAGGCTCAGTGTCTGCTGGCTTGATCCATGGAGGAAACAGCCTTCTCTTGTCGGCTTCATACCACAGATACTGGTCCAGGTAGGCATCGGTGATCTTCTCAAGAGGCTCTACGTCATAGACTGGGATCAGGTGGCTGTACAGATCCATGAACTCTATACCCACCTGGTAGCATTATTTAGAATAGGTTAGACTTGTACAGCAATAATTAACAAATGTGATCTGATCCCAAAACTTGCACACAAAACTCAAACCAACTGGTTCTTTTCAGAACCATGCATCTTCTTAAAAGAGATTCTGCAAGTGGTGTTACCGCGAATTGCCGCAAAAATTTATATTTCTGAACGAATCAATTGAAAAACGTGAAACAATCTGTCCACTTCGGCAAAGGCTATTATTCTGGTCAGATATCAGACATTTACTGACTATCTAACTCATCTTGCAGAAAAAAAAAATTTGAACAGTGAGTATATTCTTGCTATTTTGGCAATTCGGGCAATTCACAATGCAGTGCGCCACCAAGAGTTTGCCACGGAGAGGTCACTTTTCCCAGTGTATTGTGGGAGATGGTCGATACTTGAAATTGTTCGTTCTTGTGGTCAGTAGTTTCGTAAGCATATGATTCGAGTATTTCTTCACTCTTTTAAATACATTTTATGCCTCACAAGTCCGATGCCTCATAAGTCCTAAATTTTGGACTTATGAGGCGTCGGACTTATGAGGCGTCAGACTTATGATACGGCCCCGTTCAGTCAGATTACTTTTTTTTAGCAACATTGCCTCAGTCAATAATTATGTAATTTCTCCTCAAGGTACAGATTGGCTGCACATTTGGAAGGGGAATCCAGCATCACTGGCAAAGTTGCAATGGAAATGAGCCATCATTTTGCCCGTCTGGATCAGGATGAGGCTTACCTCTTTGAAGGCACGCTGGGTTAGGAGATGACGTTTGATACGACTGAGAGCCTCATGAGGGTTGTCATAGGCCTGCTCTATCAGACCCAATTCCTCTCGCTGGGATTGGTTCAAACGACTCTTCACACTACGAAAAAAAAACAAGGAAATGGTATCCTTACGTGGTACACTCATTAACAATTCAGAAGTTTCTAAGCCACAATTTACAATTCTGAGAGTCTCTATTAAAGACAAAAACTTTTGGAAAGATTTCCATATATGAAGTTCACTAATTTTCCTCTGTATTGACTAACAAGCCTCCAGATAGCAATTTCATTTCATCAAAGTCAATTTGAGCAGTGAGAAAATACAAGCATTTTCTAAGAAAACACTTAGAATTTTTCAGTCCAATCTCATAGGGTTTGTACACAGGGTGTTGAGTGAACTTCGTATATGGAAATCTTTCCAAACTTATTACCAAGCCAACAGAAGATTATACAGTTTGTCTTTTTGGGTAGGTCAGTCACTTAATTTCAAAGGATTGTCTGAGCAAAATCTACCTAGAATGCTTTGAGTTTATAGAATAACAGCGCAGACTTGACAGAAGACCCCCTCTAAATATATCGCGAGTTACCATGGAATTGCCCAAAGACAAAATATTTGCTTCAGACATAGCCTTATAAAATGTTACACATAAGCATAAGGATTAAAAGGGAATGGTGGACTAAATTTGATACAGCCTCGACTCCATGGGCGCGTGCACGTTCCTTGCACTAACCCCTGGCCGTGATGTACACGTAAACGATGCTGACTGGCTATCCAGAGCGTACTGAGTGGGCATTTCGCTTTGCACGTCACGTCACGTACCATCATTTTTTTTTTTTCAAAACTGCGGGATGCCTGTACGATATGGATTGTGGCAGCCTCATTTTTCGCTAAAAGAAAATTCCCTGTATCTTCGGTTGTAAGGGACAAAAGAGGTACGTGTATTTAATACAAATCCTTGCTAAATAACGTGACATCCAAACCTTATGTTTGAAAGGATTGATTCCTCAAAACCACAACTTTCAACATTTGAAAGAGGCGTCGCACGTAAAACGGATAAACTGCAGCCTTTTTATAATGTGCCATATTTTGACACAATTGAATGAGACAAATCCAGGGGTTGAGATCGCGCAAGGCATGACGGGAAACATGGCGCAGCACGATCTCGTACCCATGGGAACGAGGTTGAATTTGATATCAACCATCTGTCTTTTTCTCTATTAATTTAGTTCTGACCTGTAAGCTTCCTTGAGTCTCTCCAGAGCCAGGATCAGCAGCTTGGTGTCGTGTTTGTAGGAGAGAGGAGGGAAGGGGATGGGAGAGAATCGACGACTCTCCAACCAATGGACTGTGGTGGTGTAGATGGCTACGGCTTCCTCTGCTGTGATGTATGGACCATCCTGGAAGAGAGAAAGAAAAAAGGTCCTAGACATTAGAAACTAGAGGGGAAAGCATGTTTTGTCTTCATGGATAATAAAAACAGGTTGATTTATTGAGAGCAAGGGAGAAGATGGGAAGAATGGACGGCTACAGCTTCCTTTGCTGTGATGTACGGACCATCCTAGACAAAAGGAAAAAAGGTCCTAGACATTATAGATTAGAGGGGAAAGCATGTTTCATCTTCAAAGACAATGGTGAACAAAGTTGGAGTTAATATTGAGAGGAGGAATGGGATAGAGGATGATCGTCAGCCCTCCGACCAATAGACTGTGGTGGTGCGGATGGCTACAGTTTCCTCTGCTGTGATGTACGGACCATCCTAGAAGGCAACAGAATATCAGATCCTAGACGTTAGCGAGAGGGTAAAGCAGGTTTCATCTTCAGGGATAATAAAACAGGTTGATATACTGAAAGAAAGGGAGAAGATGGGAGAGAATAGACAGCTCTCCAACCAGTGGACTGTGGTGGTGTAGATGGCCACAGCTTCTCTACTGTGATGTATGGACCATCCTAGAAGGCAACAGAATATCAGATCCTTGGCGTTATAGATTAGAGGGGAAAGCATGTTTCATCTTCAAAGACGATGATGAACAAGGCTGGAGTTAATATTGAGAGGAGGAACGGGATAGAGGAGGATCGTCAGCCCTCCGACCAATACTGTTGTGGATGGCTTCAGTTTCCTCTGCTTGGGATGTATGGACTATCCTAAAAGGTAAAAACTGTCAAAACCTAGCCATCAAAATAATAATAGATACGGGGCAAATTTCATGTGGATGCTTAAGGCTTAGTACTAACTTGCTTATGCCTGTGCAAGCATGAAGTTCAAGTTTTCCTCTAAGGTAAGCATGATCTTCACTGCGCTTACTGCTAATGGTCTCTGTAGAGCTTAACTTTTCAGACACATTTGAATTCTTAGATTCACATGCAGACTACCGATGTAATTTCACTTGGCTACTTCAATCCAAGAATTGCTAATGCCATACGTAATAATAATTGATAATAATTGTGCTTATATAGCGCTTTCCATCATATCAACAATCTCAAAGCGCTTTACAATTATTAACCCATTCATCAGGCCATGGGACCACGCGGCAGCCGATATTAGCACTCGATCGGTCCTCTACCCTCACAGGTACCCATTCATACTCCTGGGTGGAGAGCGGCAATTGTAGTTAAGTGTCTTGCCCAAGGGCACAAACACCATGTTCCTGGCAGGGTTCGAACCCAGGCACATTCGTACATGAGTCAAACGCCATAACCACTGGACCATGGCGTTCTACAAACTCAGATGTAGGCAAACTTATGCTAAAGGGGGAGTGTCAGATTTGAGGATGCATTCAGACAACATTTAATCCAAATCTTGCTTTCCAATTCTGCTTACCTTCAGGTAGTTGTGCTGTCTCTCCTGTTCAGCCTTCAGGTACAGACGGGTCAGTCTGCCCAGGTTCTTCTTACAGACGGTCTTATCCACAGTGGCCCCGCGTCGGATACGCTCTCGGTTGTAGTGAGCCGTATTGGTCCACCAGTCTGCCTTGGACTTGACGTAGCGGAGGATCATGTTCTCAATGGGTGTGGGCAGGCCTGGGACCTGAGAAGACAGGGTAATCAATGGACTGTTATTTTAACTGATGCAGGATTTAAACCCTGGGACCCTCTAAAATCCAGCTCTTCATTAATGGACTCCATAATTTCTCCATGTCTTTGGGGAGCCAGAAACCTATCAATGCCCATAGTGATGGAAATGGCACCAAATCACTGGCAATTAGCAACATAAGCAATGCTTCCAACCTGAGAAATGGAAGATCACAATTTTACCTCATACATATTCATGATCGAGAGCCAAGTTCTCATTGGTCCATTACCCATCACGTGTCAGCCGCTAGTTTTGCTGTTTAACAAGCACGCACGCAAGGTTTCATGCTCAGGTTAAATACGCATGCCTAGTAGACTATCGCACTGGTTATCACTCGCCACACACAATATATGTACCGTAATTTTCGGAATATAAGCTGCGCAGTGTATAAGCCGCAGTACGCAAAAATCTGCAAATTAAGATTTGAAGTCGGCGTATAAGCCGCATAGGCGTATAAGCCACACCGACTGCAGCGGTTTCAATGTTGTATTTAAAGACCTCCAAATTCTAGTCAAAATGCTCTCACGCATGGTCGGCCAGCCTGCCGTACTTTTACCGCTCGGTATATTTTCGTGGGACGTGCTTTAGGTTTGTTAATGACTTTCTTAACTGATAATTCATTTCAGCAACAGATCTTTTCTAATTCCAGTACATTAAACACACTTGTAAATATCATATTCTTCAAGGCTTGGCATATAAGCCGCCCTGTGTATAAGCCGCAGTAAACATTTTCATGGGCAAATTCAACGTATAGGCCGCGGCTTATATTCCGAAATTACGGTAGTTAAACACAAGCTCATTGGTGTTTTCACGCATAGATAACATTGATCAACTTTTTTATACTCCAGGCCAAAATGACATTGATGTAATAGTATTTTCCTACCTTCCATGGAATGTTGGCTTTCCAGCAACGCCATGCCTCACTTAGATGCTGCAGGATGGTACGAGCCTTGTTCTGCTTGATACCCTCAGGCATCATGTCCAGGATGTCGTGCATCACCTAGACAACACAAGAGGACGTTACGATATCCTCTCAAGTTTGATGATTGGGTCAGAACGTTAATAAACACTAAAAAGCACATTTCAATCAGCAGCTATCTTTGCGATGTTTTATGTTACATTCATAAATACCTTCCACAGTCTGCCCATTCCTATTGGTCGGGAGCCTGTCACATGGGTGGTTTTAAACGGTTGATAAAACACTGACTGGTTTTAAACACTTTTTTCTGGCACAGCTGCGTTATGCGCCACATTGCGCAGTACAAGCCACAGGCCCGCCAATCTTCGTATAAGGAGATTATTTTGTACTATTCAGGCGAGGTACATACCACAAACATAGCTAAAAGCATGTTTCACAAAACATAAAGTAAAATTGTGGAACAAAATTGTCGGAAATTTATAATTTTTGACTTGGTTGTGACTTTCTGACCAAAAGGTAAATTTATGAATGGGAATACATGTAAATATGTGCTTGGCCGGTGTTAGACAATTACATTTAAAACCGGCTTGGGGCCTGGACACAGCTAGTGACTCTCGCTTTTGGCAGAGACCATTATCCAAGTCCAGGTCCCTACCCATTTTAAAACAAACTTGTTTAAAACCGGCCAAGCACATATTTAATCCCTTATTGAAAAACACTGAATGCATGAGGTCTACTCGGCACATCCCTGTAGAACAAAACATGGCTCCAGTGCAAAGGAGGCATAGTGCTATTCATTTGATAACAAAGGCAAAGTTTCAACAACAACAAAAAAAGATTCAAAAGACTGGAAAAGACCAATAAGTGTTAAAATCTGTCAATTCACATATGAAATTTATTTAAATAGGCAGATGCTCTCTGCTGATTTCTGGATCTGTTTTAAAACCTTGCCTTGCTTAATCCAACAAACCAATCTGGTGGCTGAAGCAATATGATGAACAACTGCTGTATCAAAAAAGTATGTATGGATCATATTGTTCCTAAAAACAAAGTTCTACTGTAGTTGTGAGATACCCAAGGTGTTTAGAATGTCTACGAATTGCAAAGGAAGGAAGAACATCTGTCTTGCAAGAACTCTACTTACCGAAGCCCTGAGCTCCAAGTCATAGTGGCTCTCCACACGCTGCTTGGTGACCGTCTTAGTCACCCCCTTGGAATGTCTTCCTTCAAACTGTCTGGACAGGAGATTGCCCAGCCATCTCTCCAGGAGCGGTGTGATGCCACGGAGGAAGAAGACCCAGACCCGCCAGCCTGGAGCCCAGAAGCCACAGCCAGGACCCTTGCCTACCGGGCCCTGGGGAATGCAAAGGAATGATGATGACAACATTAATCAGGCAAATTCCATACATTATTAACCCCCTACTGTAAACTTACTATGATGTGTACAACAATAAGCGAGTTCAGTATTCAACTGCTTATGTCCACATGTGCCAATTTTTCTTTCGGGATAAAAATTTCATTGTATGCATGCAAAAGCATAGCCGGTGTCACGGTCTCACTTCTCCGGGTGGATTCGGCGGACAGTTGAGCACATTACAGTGCACGTTACATGAGCACGATTCATGCTCATGTGTCCGCTGTGCTTACTTTTCCTCGGCTGTATTACCAAGCCTATTAATAACACAGTGAGGGACATACAAGAATGTGTTATGTAACACTTCCCCCATGGTCTTGCAAGCATTCTGATTTGTGTTCCCAGCGTCATGCATGTGTGTGTGTGTTCATGGAGGAATAATTAAGAACGAACCCCTTGGTCCGTGTTCCTTGCTCGTTCGTGGTCTATTTTGTCTTTATTTTTGCAACCATGCGGCTTAAAATAAATGTGCATTTCAAGTCTTGTTTGGTTATTGGGAGTTGTGCGCGCCACGAAAATTCTGGATTCGACTGGTACCCTGTAACTATGCATACAAATATCCTATGATGTTACGTGCACCAGTACAACCCCGAAGAACTCAGCACACAAATAAAGTTGACAAAAAATGTACACCACTGCGCAATTTTGTGCATGCGTGTTGAAGCGAAATTTCCCTTTCGGAGAAGTGAGACCGTGACACCGGGTACCAGCAAAATTGAAGAGATCATCGTGTTCTGAAGTATATCATTTTGCAAAAATACTTTGGACAGCGAAGTGTTTTTAGGTGTCTTGTGTGTCAAAACTTTGGTGTGAATGAAAGTCCCATCTCTTTTCAATTGCACGAAAAATTGCACAGAATGCAGATTCGGTTGCCAAGTCCCCCATAGCCTTGTGTGCATTTATCTGCCGCTGTTATCCAGAACAAAAATTGTCAGACTATTTTGGAATGCCGAACTCGTTTAATCAAACACATCCAGATTTGATCGTGTGAAGAGTTTTGATAAATTCTTCGCACAATCAAACCTGGAGGTGCAGAGTGTGATGAACTGTGCTGTGGGAAAAGTCATGTACAAGGGAACATGAGTCTTGAAGCACGGTGGACAACTAAACTTCTTGCCCACTAAACAAAAATAATCCCCAGCCGGTCAAACTCCCAACACTAGGGTTTGTTGGAATCTGTTGGAGTGAGTACTGCACTAGTAAACTGATTATGCTTTACATGGGGTCAGGCATACCACCGTAATCAGAGTCCAACAGTTTGGGTGTAGAGTTTACCATACGGTTTTGGAATATGCAGGAGTGAGGAAGGTTTCTAGTAAATCACTCAAGGGGTTAGGGTTAAACTGGACAGAAATTTACTGTCAATTCACAGTTTAACAGTGTTCATGCAACTATGGGCACAAGTGTCAAGGCAAAAACTTTTTTGATTAATCTTGCTCTCTGGGGAGATAAAATAATTTGACATGTTTGATGTGCTTCTCCATGCTCGTCAATTAACTATAAAACAATTTTTAAAAACGATATTATAAAACCTTCTTCAAAACTAAAGAAAAACCTCACTAAATTCTAAATTTTATTTTAGTCATCATTGTCTTCATAGAGCAAGTACAAATATTGACATACATCCCCATCAACTGAAACAATTAGAACAAGGAGAAGAACGCTCCCGACCCCCCTCTGCAAGTTCAAAATATATCTGCTACTTTTTGTGGACAAAATATTTGAATCATCAGTTTTGATGAATTTAGGACTTGGAACCATAGCTGATCCAATGAAGACAGACCAAGAACACGAGCTTATAAAAATAATAATTTATACATTGTATTGTGCAAATTCTGTAAAAATATGATCAAATGCGCATCACAATTATTATCCCTGTTCATCAGGAATGAGACCCTGCAGCAGCTGGAGATCCACGCAATATGGTCTCTACCTTCAAAGGGAACCCATTTATGCTCATGAGAGAGGCAATCATTGTAAAGTGTCTTGCCCGAGAAAACAAGCACCATGTTCCCTGTCAGGGTTCGAACCACTGATCTCTATATAAAGATTGGATAGCGGATATGCATACAACTTTCACACAGTAGACTTTGCATATTGACCAATTCTCCCCCGGTCTCACGAAGATGGCCGCGTATAATACGAACGTTCTACGCGTAAATACGCGCGCGTTGTATCAACAGTTGACGCGCATTTTGGTCACGTACACATATTATGATGTTCTAAAAGGGACACATTTCCGTAGTGATTATTATTTCAAAAACGCCGAAAAAGTGATTTGCGGCATTATAAAAGTAACTACTACGTTAGAAAAATTGTAGTAAACCTTGGTCAGTTGGTCAGTGGTGGTGGCCAAAATATAAGTCAAGTGAGCCGCGACGTTACAAAAGAAATCAAGCTGTCTATAAAGACGGCAACTTGTCCTTTGTAGATCACCAGCCGGTCTCACCAATATGGCGTCAAATTCGTACATTGTGCGGCTCTTTATTAGCTATCCAGTCTTTATATAGAGATCAGTGGTTCGAACCCATGTATCACGGCACACGAGTCGAACACCGTAAGCATTGGACCACAGAACCCCACACAGCTTGATACGTTCTTGGAACACAACATAACAAGGTCCAAATAGAGAACCTCTACATTCCAGAACCCACGACACTCCTCCGTAACTTAAGAAGCCCTCCCTTTCACTCACCGTGTTGAAGCGGTAGTAGATGAGATGCTTGATGTCTTTACACATTCGGATCTGTCTCATCAGCTTGTACTTGTAGCGGTACATACCGGTCAGCTGACCCACGTGGGCAAAGACGTACTGCAGGCCATCTGACAGCTGCAATGAAGAAGATTTAGAGAAAAGGTGAAAAAAGAACAAACTTTTGACCCATTTTCAGAGCAGATCACAACTGTCATCAATACAAAAAGTGATGTATGTGAACAAGAGCCTTGCTTAAACGAATACCACTTAACCCCTCAATGTCTTGGCATTTTTGATAATGCACAAATCCTATGGTGTTCATAAGGGGGAGAATGCGAAATGAAGCAGGCGGTAATTTGAGGCTTACCGAGAGGTTTTACAAGGTTTTAGGGATCAAAAATCTATTCAACCAGCCTATAACCTGATCTATAATGAGCTCATTATCTACGAGTCACTGCACACCTCAGCCTAGGTCAGACGTTTATGCTTGGCTCTACCTGGCAGTAGGGGGTTCTTGGGGCAAACAAAGACACCAATTGCATGTTATGAGCCCATTGGCCAGGCTGGATGACCTACTGCATATACCAATATTCATGACTTACGTTCATCCTTTTCAAAATGCTAAGACAGTGTCTGAGCATTTTGAAAAGGGCGGTTACCCAGCGGTTACCCAGCGGTTACCCGGCGTTTACCCGCCTGTTACCCACCGGTTGGATAGATATCTGATCATTTACAGGGTTTATGGGATATCTCAGGGTAAAACCTTCATTTACCACTTGTTAAAGGGAAAATACAACATTTGCAAACATCAAAAAATAAAACTACCAAATTATTTTGAAATACCTTGCTAGACTGTTTGTGAATGACAGTGTAAAGTATCCTGTAAAATCATGGCACCTGGTATACTGTCATTTTCAAGAAAAGTGGTATTTTTGTATCAATTTCCAACGCTGGTCGGCCGACCAGCGTTGGAAAAAAACTGGGTTTTTTTCAAATACTGGCCCCAATTGACCATCACATTTGTTTGCAATCGATTATACACCTATAGCATTCTCGAACCCAAAACTTCAAAAAAGTCAGTGTAACAGTGTTTGCTATGTATTACCAACCCCCCAATTCCATCCATTTCTGAAAATTACAGCAAAAGCAAATGATGTATATTCCCTTTAAATGTTGCATTCTCCATTAACAGTGTTACTTTTCTGTACCTGGAATGCGTCTACATTGCCCAGTCTGTACTGCACATGGCTGTCCACAATCAGCTTGGTCAGGCGAAGGATCTCACGACACAGATGGAAGGCGTTGCCGAACCGAGACTTCTTACGCTCCTACGACGAAAAACAAAATTGGAAATAAGCTTGTTAAGCAGGTAACAAAGACAATGGAGACATAACCTGCAATATTCTGGATACAGAGCTGAATAGTTATTGGAAGTGTACTTGAAGACTTAATAATGAATTAAAACAACATGAGCCTTTTTTTTTTAAATAGGTTTAACAAAGATTGCCTGAAGCAGGATTTTGACCTGTGACCTCCAAAACACTGTATCTGCTCATTATCAGCTGAGTAATCCAGTTTATGCACTATCCTGGATACAGAGTTGAACAGTTATTGGAAGTACACCTGAAGGCGTAGAAGTGAATTTAACAATGTGAGCCCTTTTTTTTAATGAATATGTTGAACAAAGGTATGAACTGGAGCAGGATTTCAACCCGCGACCTCCACAACACTGTATCTGCATATCCAATCCTTCCAAAACTCCACCTTCACACAGTGTTTTAGATTAAAGGGAAAATACAACATTTGCAAACATCAAAAAATAAAACTACCAAATCATTTTGAAATACCTTGCTGGACTGTTAGTGAATGACAGTGTAAAGCATCCTGTAAAATCATGGCACCTGGTATACTGTCATTTTCAAGAAAAGTGGTATTTTTGTATCAATTTCCAACGCTGATCGGCCGATCAGCGTTGGAAAAAACTGGCTTTTTTTCAAATACTGGCCCCAATTGACCATCGCACTTGTTTACAATCGATTACAAACCTATGAACGGGTACGAGCCAGCTAGACTGGTTCCCTGACCTTACAATTCCCCAATGTATGTAAACTGCTCTGTTTCTTCTTATATGGAGTCAGGGAACCAGACTACAGGAAAATGATTGTTTTTCTTGGTTTTTATAGCATTTTCGAACCCAAAACCTCAAAAAAGTCAGTGTAACTATATTTGCTATATATTTCCAACCCCCCCAATTCTATCCATTTCTGAAAATTACAGCAAAAGCAAATGATGTATATTCCCTTTAATCAACTTGAAATCCGAAAGTGTAAGCAAATGATCTAAACAAGGATTAATTTAATCAAGTTACTGAATAATCTTTGCGGGCCCTATGAGGTTGTTAGATTGTACCTTGGTGGTGAGTGTCTTGACAGGCTTGAGATTGAAGTTGTAATCCAGATGGAGATAGTTGAGGTTCTTGCGATGGATCAACAGGTTGAGCATGTTGTAGCCCTGCCTACACACCTGCAGCCCCACCTCTACCCAGTCCAAGGTGGTGGACTGGAAGAACTTGGTGGCCTTGAAGGACCGGAACAGGTACCTGAGGGGTGACAAACCAAATCAAACAATGACAAGATTAACGTCTTGGTGCAGTGGGATGTCGCTATACCAAACACCGCTACACAGAACATTCGGCTATATCGAACATTCGGCTAAACTGAACATCGTCCTTGGCTCCCAATTTTTGTGCACAAAACGTTCCGAACATTGTCGATAAAAAAATGTCAACAGAAGAGTGGCAAGTGGCTATTATTTCCTGAAGGAATAGAAGGGGGAAAGCCACCCATTGTTGTAGGTGGTAAGCTAAAAAAATGTGTAATTACACAATTTAATAGTCGGCACGTGTTCAAAATCGTCCTTCAGTAACTACCTGAGGACATGCAAGGTGAAGTTCTGAAGGGTGCTATTTATTGAAAAGTGAGTACTGGAGCACCAGCAGCTTAAAATCGCTATACCGAACGATCCCTACTACAAACTTTTCCTGTGAATTCTGCAATGTTCGTTATAGCAACGTTCCACTGTTGATGTATATGATGTGACACTGGCAATAACCTATGCCAAGCCAACTTCATTGTAATAAATCTGAAATGATACTTTGTGGTTCAAAAGTGCAGTTGGCTAAAATAGATATCCCATCTGTTAACATAGATAATTCCATCATTTGCATTTCGGATTCTTGTAGAAATGTAGGCGTTATGTTTGATTCATATATGTCTATGTCTGTTCAAGTATCTGCTATTTGTAAATCTGTTCGGTTTCATTTGCGTAACCTTGGTACTATCAGAAAATACTTAACTCGTTCAGCCACTGAAAAGATTGTTCATGCCCTGATATCATCCCGTTTAGACTTCTGCAACTCAATTCTTGATGATTTACCCAAACACAGCTTGCCTGGTTACAGAAACTCCAGAACACAGCTGCTCGCATAGTTACTCTAACTAGTTGTAAAACTCACATAACGCCAGTTCTGCGTTCCCTCCATTGGCTGCCAGTACAGTTTCAAATAGTTTTCAAATTACTTTTGCTTGTTTTTCATTGCTTACATGGTTCTGCCCCTGGATATAATTCTGATTTGCTCATTTCTTACAACCCTGCTAGGTGCCTCAGCTCTGCAAATTCGTCCCTGCTTGTTGTGCCTAAAACTATTAAATCTTGGGGGGACCGTTCATTTTCTCATGCTGGACCTATGTTATGGAACAAACTTCCTCAAAATATTCGTGATAGTGCTACTTCCCATGAGTTTAAATGTGCTCTGAAGACCCACCTATTCCAAGCAGCATTTCATTAATCATCCAGTTTGATTTCACTCTCATGTGTACTGTTTCATATTCATGTATTTTCATTTGTGCGTACTTTTGTTCCCTGCTGTTTTTGCCTTTCATGTTTGTTTGTTTGTTTGTTTCTCTGCGCCTTGAGCATCTAATCAAGATGGATTTGGCGCATTATAAATGCTCTTTATTATATTATATTATTCATATTAAAAGTGATATAATATTAATATTTATAAGATGAATAGGGTACATTCATTTGGGTTGCCTACCTCTTCTTCTGTGACTTTGGTGGTCGGTGTTTGAGGGCATTCAAGACGTAGATCTTTAGCAGTTTCTGGTAGGAGACACGCACTTTGACTGGCTGACCGCTTGGGCAGTGCTCACGGTACCTGCAATGGGAACACGCATACACAGAAAATGTGATGTTAACATTGCAAGTTTTTTTTATTCACAAGTCCAGCAAAGTCTAGTCAAAAGTAAATGACACAAGTCCGTTCACAAGTCCGGTCGCAAGATATTAGAGATGAACAATATCATCACGGATTTCAGAGAAGACAGCTGAAGATAGCTGCACCTGATTTCAAGATGCACTGTAACCAGAGTTACGACTCGTGTACGACGTGTAACACGTCGCAACTTGCGACGTGCCGTACAATCCATTTCACAAAACTTGCGATGTGTTGAACACGTCGTAAGTTCCTTGATGACTTAAAACACATCGCAAGTTACGACGTGTCTAGTGGTCATCGCAAAATAAAAAGCGTCCGTTTCTCAGCCAGTTTTATGCCATGAAAATTACATAAACAAGACTATAATACGAGACAAGGTGTGTGTGAAGTTGTAAATGGAAAATACATTATTATGAAATAAACTGGAATACTGCAGTTGAAATTTCAAATTAGCTATATAGTCCACCGCAAGCTTGTTACCTTAAATCTGCATCAAATGTCCGCCATTGTGTTTTACGTTTGAAAAACCTCTTCGAGAGGAGATGCATTGTAAGTTAATAATAATAATAATAATAATAATAATGGCGTCTTGTATAGCGCTCATGTCTGTCACGAAGTGACACTCCTGGCGCTCTTATTATTACCCTGGCTTTAGCACGGCTGCCATTACGGCGCTCAAGCATTGAAGGAATTTCTTCCTACCAGGTACCCATTTACTACACCTGGGTGGAGAGAGGCAATCGTAAGTAAAGTGCCTTGCCCAGGCACACAAGCACCATGTTACCCGTCAGGATTCGAACCTATGTACCAAGTTACGATGAGTTTCATGAAATCGGGGGCAGATAGTTCTTGCTCACACTTGCTCTTGTCTACGACTGTCTAGTTTGAGTTTTTTTTTATTCCGAGTTAAAAACCCCCTCACCATGATTTGACCAGCGGTATATCCACAGCTCGTCTATGCCTGCCAGAGCGCAGATTGAATGGTCTCGGTGCCCAGAGTAAGGCAATGCCATTGGCCGTGTTGTCTGTGTACAGAGGTCTGTCCTGCAGGAAGGGTTGGACGTAGTCTGGCAGCTCAAACTCCTCGTCGTCATCTGGCAGGGGCTCAACCACCTAGAAGAGAAAACGTAAGCTACTAAATAAGCCATTTGCGAGTGACCTTTACCCTTTGAGATTTAAATTTGGAAAACATCTGGTACACTGACCTGCTCAAAATGCTTGGCACATTTTAACTTTGAATTCTCCAGACCAAAGACACTGTTGCTATATCACGACTGGGGCAAGCTCGTGCATACATGTAGTTACGTAAGAGATGCTCAGCACCAATACATTGTTCACAATGGGTGAGAATGGCACAAAGACACCAGACCATGCCGGAGCTGGGGGTTGCTAGCATAAGGTTTGTCCCGAATCACGTGATATAGTAACAGTCTCTTTGGTCGGGAGAATGCAAAGTTAAAATGTGCAAAGTTTGGATTAAGTCAGCGTTCCAGATTTTATTCAAATTTAACTAGCAAATGGCTTAATAAGTCCAAGGAAAGCTAGCTTAAAAAAACAGGTGTTCTGAACAATTTCAATTATGTTTTTTATTACAAGACTTAGTAATTCCGAGACAAACATAAGTTTAAAAGTGAGGATTTGTTACCTTTCCACTGTGTCTGTGTGAGATTGGGTTGACAAGAGGATCAAAGTAGAAAGCTGGTAGATCAGGATCCTCGGTCTTGATGAACACAACACTAGGAGTATGGTACCTTCAATGCACATAGACAATAATCAACATTTCACTACTCAAACTCGGCCTCTTAAACTGATCAATGTTTTCTCTATTTACTCTCCATAATTTTCAGCAGCTCAATAAATCATCAAGTCTCTGCATTAGTCCGTTAGTTAGCAACAAATGTTGGCATTGTCTATTGCTCCTACATATTGTGACCCATTTCAACCAAACTTTGTCAAAAGTATCAGTAGCCCAGCCCAAAATGTCACATGACCAAACTCGGGTCAAAGGTCATTATGGGGCACAGGGGGTCAACCTGATTTTTTGTTATCAAAACACTACTCCTTCCAAAAATTGCATGGCACAATCACGTGACTCATGCATAAACACAAATTCGTTGGCCTGCAGCTTCCGAGATAATTCTGATCAAACTTGTTCAGATTGCAATATGTGCTATTATCTCTGTGCATATTTAAGTACCCCCTCAGGATAAGAGTTGTGCAGGGCCTTTGAATACAAAAAAATGTCAATAGTCGGCTGGTATATCTGCTCACATGATGATAGTTCAGGTATGTGTATGTTGGGCGCGATTATTGGATCTGCGCTATTCGTCGATCGCGCTGTGCTATTGGATGATCACGCCGCCATCAGTCGATTGCCTTTTCTTTCCATTTCATGACTTTGGAGGATTGTTTTAAAAAAGGGAAGTAAAGTCTGAGATTGCCTACAGGATCGATCAATCGTACAAGTGCATTCCTGCATTCCGACCTATAGTCACTGTATCCCCCCCCCCCCCCCGAAACCCCGAAAGTGAGAAAAAAAATCACTTGGGGGACTTGAACCCACGACCTGCTGCTTTCTAGTGTAGACGTCTTACCACTCGACCACCCAGCTTGCGGGCTCGGTTGGCTGGTTCGAATCTGATGTGGCAGCGGATACCGCAATGAAACTATTCATAAGATGGAATGCCCAACGTGAACATTCAGAATAAAATAACTCTTGCATCAAGTTTTTGAACGAACGCAAACCAGTGAACGCAAGCACTGTCACTCACACACAGTGCTCTGACAAGTTGTCGCAAAGCGCCCTCTACTGTTCAAGCAGGGAGTCTATTCAGACCATTGAGCTCTATTAAATTACTAGAGCGCTGACTCCTCATTGTTGCGTGAGGAGAGGCTTTGAAGCTGTCCTGGGCGCAGACACTTTGAATTCATGTGCATGTTTGAAGAACATAATGAAATTAGATGGACTGAATTTTGAAAGTGTCATCCAAATGCAACCCACAAGTACAACACAAACAAACAACGTAAGTGCGACATGACAGCTTAAAACAACACGTAACGGCTAATAACCTGCGGCAGATACGCGCACACGTTGCGCTGTTTGTGTAGAATACAATGAAACCCTCATCTGCTAATTGTGCATTTCGGTTTTGGGCGTATCAGCTTCGGTAACGCACCTGTATAGAATACAAGCGCAGATATGCAAATAGCCATACAAAAGACGTACACAATTTCAAGTTTTCCATAGGTTTGTGCACAAACATGGATGCACCCAGCAGGCAAAACTTTGTACATGAGTAAGCGCTCTAGTAATTTAATATAGCTCTATGGTAAATTCTTAATGTTAATGAGAAGCTCAAGAAAGCATATCATTACATACCACGTCAGCTGGACATAATACGGTAGGTTGTTATACAGATAAGGGAATGCTATCTTGTACTCTGTACGGATCTGTTGTCTGATGATGATCTTGTTGACATCGTTGAACTCGTTCCAATCCTCATCACTGCATCGGGAACAGTAAAAATACAGCAGCAATAAATAAAGGTTCTTTCCTAAATTTGGAATATTTTTAGATTTACTATACCTCATACATATTCATGATTGAGAGCCGAATTCTCACTGGTCCATTCACCATCGCGTGCCAGATGCTTGTTTTGCTGTTAACAAAGCGTGCGCGCATATTCACGCACAGGCTAATTATGCATGCGTAGTAGTAAACTGTCTTACCCGTGCGACAGTCTACTACGCATACGCTTTACATTTGAAGCAATCGCCCTAGCTACACATGAAAAGATGGTTTCACATGTAAGTGTTAATAAGCGTTTTCCCAAACTCAATGATGCCGAACTGGAGAATATTGTGGACAATATTTAACAAAGATGCATCCTTTACTAAAAAAGTTGTCCACAAATGTTGTATAACCTCTTACATGTCTAAGGCGGTACTGTATTTCAAACGACCTGAATTTTCTGAGGTTGAGCAATAATATCCCTCACCCTCCTCAATCCTCCAAAATCCTCCGTGTGGTTTTGGAGGATTTTGGAGGATTGAGGCTGAATGTATTTTTTTAGTTAAGGATTTTGGAGGATTGAGGCTGAATGGCATTTTTTAGAAAAGGATTTTGGAGGATTGATGCTGAATGGTATTTTTTCAGAAAAAAAAGGATTTTGGTGGATTGAGGCTGAACATGCTGAATGGTATTTTGAGGTAGGACTGTCTGACGATTTTGAAGGATTGAGGGGCTGGGTACCCTTCACTTGAACATAAGTGCAACATTTTTGGATGAGGAGGATTTTGGAGGATTGAGGATGAATGCATTTTGAGGCAGGACTGTCTGGAAATTTTGAAGAATTTAGGCGCTGTTGTAAAATTTTGGAGGATTTTGGATGGTTCCAAGCAAAAAGGCCAAGGGGGTTAGGGATATTCTTCTGGTGAGCTGGACAAGTTTCTCCGAAGATTGTATGCCCATGAGGTGCATATCACAACGGGAAAATTTGGCAACTGAATTTGTATGAGGTATAATAAAACAAATATAGCATGGTTTATTTCGGGAAGACATTCGATATTCGCTCCTCTCAGTATTGTTAGTTGACAAACCAGTTCCCGAGGCGAAACTAGTTTGTCAACTTCTCATACCATGGAGAGCTAATATCGACTTTTCCACCCTCAATCCATGTTACATTTGTATACTAGTCAGCGATGCGTTTCATACAGTGTCAATGAAAATTACGAGACATGTCCTGATTACTTTTGTCCACAGAGTTTCAACAAATAACACCATTGTGACCTTCACTCGACAGCATATCTGTACTCACAGAAGCGTGGCATCCCGCACCAACGGCTCGAACTTGGGACCCCCTGGGATGGCCATGTTGAGAGCCTTGGAGGTGAAGAAGGACTTGAGATCAAACAGGTAGAAGTAGTTGTCATCCATGAGGTCTGTCAAGAGCTGATTAGCCAGACGGTAGACGGTGGACATCATGGGCAACGTTAGACGCCAACTCTTGTAGCTGGTGCCATTCACGTTGCTGCAATATTCAAAAACAACAAAATGTATCATCCTATGTCTCATACACTATTTTTCCATTACCTCTTAACCTAACCCTGCTGAATGCAACAGAAAGCAACAAAGGTGAAAAGTTGTTGCATATTGTTGCATTTAGCAGCCAACTCATGCCCCAGTGCCTGTTGCATTTAGCAGGGTAACTGCTCATAGTGGTTGCATTTAGCAGGGTAACTGCTCATAGTGCCAAGGCAATACAACAGATCAAACCATTGTTTCAGTTTGTTGCATTTAGCAGCCAACTCATGCCCCAGTGCCTGTTGTATTTAGCAGGGTAACTGCTCATAGTGATTGCATTTAGCAGGGTAACTGCTCATAGTGCCAAGGCGATACAACAGAATCCACTGTTTCAGTTTGTTGCATTTAGCAGGGTAACTGCTGGGTGCGAAGGCACTGGGTTTACTGCACAATGCAACAGAATCCACTGTTGCGGTTTGTTGCATTTAGCAGGGTAACTGCTTGGTGCGAAGGCACTAGGTTCACTGCACAATGCAACGGATCCACTGTTGCGGTTTGTTGCATTTAGCAGGGTAGCTGCTCGGTGCGAAGGCACAAGGTTCACTGCACAATGCAACAGAATCCACTGTTGCGGTTTGTTGCATTTAGCAGGGTAACTGCTCGGTACGAAGGCACAAGGTTCACTGCACAATGCAACAAAATCCACTGTTACGGTTTGTTGCATTTAGCAGGGTAACTGCTTGGTGCAAAGGCACTAGGTTCACTGCACAATGCAACAAAATCCACTGTTTCAGTTTGTTGCATTTAGCAGGGTAACTGCTTGGTGCGAAGGCACTAGGTTCACTGCAAAATGCAACAGAATCCACTGTTGCGGTTTGTTGCATTTAGCAGGGTAACTGCTTGGTGCGAAGGCACTAGGTTCACTGCACGATGCAACAGATCCACTGTTGCGGTTTGTTGCATTTAGCAGGGTAACTGCTTGGTGCGAAGGCACTAGGCTCACTGCACAATGCAACAGAATCCACTGTTGCGGTTTGTTGCATTTAGCAGGGTTAACTGTTTGATGCAAAGGCACTAGGTTCATTGCACAATGCAACAGAATCCACTGTTGCAGTTTGTTGCATTTAGCAGGGTAACTGCTTGGTGCCAAGGCACTAGGTTCACTGCACAATAGAAACAGAATCTACTGTTGCGGTTTGTTGCATTTAGCAGGGTAACTGCTTGGTGTGAAGGCACTAGGTTCACTGCACAATGCAACAGAATCCACTGTTGCGGTTTGTTGCATTTAGCAATCTATTCGATTGCTGAAACACTGTTAAAATAAACACTTCTTACAGCAAGCACAGCAATACAATCTGCACCACTTAGGCGCACGTAAGCAAGGTTGAGAAATGTCAAGCCTACAACTCACACTGAGTCAATGAGTGGCTTGTGATCATAGAACCACTCATAGACTGGGCCGTCCTCCTCCGGATCCAGCTCCATGTTGATTGGCTCCAGGGGCTCCACGTCCAGAATGTTGTCTGCGTAGTCCAACGGGGGCTCCTCATCGTCAAAGGGAGGGAAACGCATGCGCTTGAAGTGACGTCGGTCACGCTTCTCACGTCTCATCATGATCCACATGCTCCTAACAAAATAATAAAATAAAATAACCCAATAGTATATTTGATATTATAGCTTCATTTATCCTTAACTCTTACCCACCTCGATCCTACAAAATCCTCAAGGCGGTTTTGGAGGATTTTGGAGGATTGGGGACGAATGGTGTTAGAGAAACATGAGGATTTCGGAGGATTGAGGTTGAATGGTGTTTTAGCACATGAGGATTTTGGAGCATTGAGGATGAATGGTGTTTGAAAAGGAGGATGATTTTGGAGGATTGAGGATGAATGCATTTTTTGAGGCAAGACTATCTGATGATTTTGAAGAATGGTGGTGCTGGGTATCCTTCATTTGAACATAAGTGCAACATTTTGGAGGATTTTGGAGGATTGCGGATGGTTCCTAGCATAAGGGGCTAGGACATTAAAGTTGTGGTTCATATGTACAACACTTCAAATCTGTCAGTTTTTCCATGTGTTTTAATTTTAAGTGTTAATTAACTGTGCTGTGCGAGGGTTGTTGATACAAAAACAATCAATGAGTTTGGCACATCAGCACCCGATTTCACGAAGCGCTGCCACACGTCGCAACTCGAGTTACGACGTGTAACGACGCGTCGTATAATCCATTTCACGAAAGTTGCGATGTGTTGAACGCGTCGTAAGTTCCTTGACAACGGCTTAAAACACGTCCAAGCTACGACGTGTCTAGTGGTCGTTGCAAAATAAGAATTGTCCGTTTTTAGCCAGTTTAGATACCTTTCTAAACCATAAGAAATGCAGCATTGACCACTGAGTAACCAATTTTACGTGTCAGTTACAATTAAGGGTTTTTAATTTTCACAGCTAAACAGTAGTATGGACAGAATCCAGAAAGTCAGATCAAAGTAACCAGACACCAAATTAACCCCTGCCCAGTTTGGTGAATTTGGATTTGTAAAAAAAAAACATGCTTCCAAAAGTGTGGGATCTGATTCTGTAAATGACGGTTCTAACAAGTCATCAAAATGCCGTGAGTGAAGCAATTAAACTTACCATACATCAGATATGAAACAGAATTAACATTCAAAATGATTCTCTGGATAGAAACTCACCCCCACTGTGCAATGTAGACTGGTTCAATGACCCTAGCCACCTCGTTGACAAACGATATCGCTCCAGTGATGTGGTACAGGACGTTGATGTCACGAATCTGCTCCCACGGCATAGGCATGTTCTCAATCAGCTTCAGCACAGCGTGAGGCATGTACTTCAGAGCTCTGAGAAAAAAACGAAAACATTTTCAACAAAAAAGAGAGAACTTATTAACCCTAACCGCCCTGAATCCTCCAAAATCCTTTTTGCAAATTGGAGGAATTTGCAGGATTGAGGTTACATGGCAAAAGTGGGTTGCAGATTTCGGAGTATGCACTGTGTCAAGGTCTTGGGCCGGACCTTGTGTTGTTTATGCTCAGCCGTGCATAAATTTAGCCCTTGATTATACTTGACATCCTCCGCACTGCTCCAGGATGTCACTGCCTCAACCTATTGACAGTCATAGCCGGAGGATTTTGCAAGATTCAGGCAGTGGTCACCCCTCCATGGACCATATTTAAGAAATAGCGGAGGAATTTGCAGGATTGAGGCTATATGCTATTTTTCCATGAGGCCAATTGGAGGATTTTGCAGGATTGAGGCTACATCCTAGCAAAAAGGCCTAGGGAGTTAGGGTTAAAGGTAAAATTCACGGACACAGTTGTGAGAGAGATCTTTGGAGTAACATGACCCTGCATACTCAAGTAACTGACAAAGCTAAGTTTGTGCAATGAAACGGACAGGGACGTTATACAATAAACACTACACTATGTCCAGGAGGGCAACAGTGTTTTCATGAATACACTTATAAAGAAGTGTTGGCATAGAATTTGCACAGTCAAGGCAATGCATCATACACAGAATTGTCGAAAGTTATTATTCGTGGAGTGTGGGCATCTGTTAATTGAAATTATAGTGTTTATACTTTCATGTTATTAATAAAACAGGATCTGGTATAATCATGGGCAAGTACAGTAGTCATTGTTTTAATAATGGCAGCTTAATTACTTGCATCTTAATATTGAACAAAACGGGTAACCATCAACATAGGAAGCATAGAAACACCAAAATCAGCTCACTCTAATCATATTGTCTTTATTTAATAAATAAATAATTTGGAAGGCTAATCATCCTTACTCGCAGCTGAGAAGCTGAATTGTAAAGGATGCGGCTACAATGTGATCGAGCCGTAGGCATGTAAAGGCGCCTTTGGCAGCCAGCCACATCGACCCATATCATGACCACGGAGCACAGCCTGAGAACAAAAGTGTTTATTTTGCGGAGGGAGGAAAACCTGACATGCCCGAGGGCCCGGAGAAAAACCCTCGTGACACAGCAGAGAACCAATGCACAGCTTTACTCCCATATGGCATATAGAATGTCGGACACTTCGCCCCATTTCCACGTCGCCCCATGTCACGTCGCCCCTAACCACTTCGCCCCATCCCCACTTCGCCCCATTCCCACATCGCCCCATCCCCACTTCGCCCCATTCCCACTTCGCCCCATTCCCACTTCGCCCCATTCCCACTTCGCCCCATTCCCACTTCGCTCCATTTCCACTTCGCCCCATCCCCACTTCGCCCCAGCCGTTACATGTAAAAAAAAAAATCATCTATTTTATTGGCTTAAAAAAACAATTTCAACAGATTCACTAATTGCTAACCAACGGAAAGAATTAGCCCATCACCAAATGAACAATTCATAACCAACCTCTCAAGCTAGGCTCTCCCCTACCGAGAAAAAAGCTTGAAGTAAAAGATCCAACTTTGTTCCCAACCCGGCTATACCAACCCGTCTCCCACTTATCTGAGAACGACAATACCTTTGACATCCTAATTTCACTCTTGGAGGAACCAATCTCATCTAAATGAAGTTGTAAGTGTCACATATCAGACAAATTTTGACGGAACATTTTCCTTAAGGCAGCGAGTTCCTTTTTTGAATCCAGCGGCTGATGATTTTATTCACAAGCCAGTAGGAGAGGCGTCTCTGAATGGGATAGAGCCATCATTTCTCTCATCTGTGTCTCGAGCACCTCATCAGAGAGTTTGTATTTTTCCTAAGTTTCTAGAATTGGGAGCATTTATTATCTGGGGTCTTTGGCAGTTTATTTGGTCTGCACCCTCAGCCTTCACCTTTTTCATATTACATGGGGCGAAGTGGGGATGGGGCGAAGTGGGGATGGGGCGAAGTGGGGATGGGGCGAAGTGGGGATGGGGCGAAGCGGGGATGGGGCGAAGTGGGGATGGGGCGAAGCGGAGATGGGGCGATGTGGGGATGGGGCGAAGTGGGGATGGGGCGAAGTGGTTAGGGGCGAAGTGACATGGGGCGACGTGGAAATGGGGCGAAGCGTCCGACACCCGGCATATATGGTCAGCAGCCGGGAATTCGAACCAGGGCCACAGTGTTGAGAGGCGAGCACTTTACGCACAAGCCACCCATGCCACCCTATAGATATGGACTCAACATGGTTATATTTACACATTTGTTACTTACAAATAAAGAGAAAAGTAAACAACATAAATTATTAGTTTCTGACACCCAATTTCAGAAACAGCTCTCACGAAAAGACATTTCTACTCACCCCAAGTATACTCTCTTGTCATGTCTGAACTTCCTGTTAGTCATGTCTCCATGGTCACGGATGATCTTACGCACATGCTCAGGGGGCATGTCTTCCTTCTGCGCATCGACAAATCCAAACTTTCTCTTCTCGGCATAACGCTTGGATTGCAACTGCTGCCATTTTCGAGCTATTCATGAGAAACCAAAACAAAAGAACAAAGTTCTCTTTGTTTTACATAGCACAGTCCCGACCCTGCCTGTTGACCCTTTACTCTAAGGCCCCCACCCCCCAAAAAAGTCTGCTGTTTCTGGTCTGCGTAAGCATCACCTAAGCCATGCACGTCGACAAAATTTTAAAAGTTTATTTTAAAATGTTAGATGATGTCTCAAAACCGCCAAACTCACTTGTTTGACTGGAATCCTGCTGCTGGATAATTTTAACGTGTTTTTAGATGGGGTTACGATCGAGTATAAGCTTTATGTGGCCTCTCTTTTGCACAAAATTTAGTCGGGCACCATTTGCAATGTAATTTTGTTATTGTGTGTCTATGAGCCAGACTGAGGGAGCAATGGTTGTGTATCTGGAACCTGTAAATGCTTTTTAATTAGCACAATATATAAGGGAGCAGTAATGACCAGCCTGGCAGCACATGCATGTTGTCCATGTCGCTGTATGGCCCGAAGTTACCGTTTTCTCTGATTTTTGTCTAGGCTATCCAAATTTCCCAAAGAAAGTTCGTGTCGGTCGAGATCTTAAGTGCGTCACTGCACCACTCTTGCGGCAAGCTCCATACCGGAAACCGAAGAGTTTTTTTTTGGCCCAACGTTACCAAATCGATCCTCTAAAATCTTCTTTGCAAAATGAAGGATTTTGTAGGATTGAGGCTACAAGGCAAAAATATGTGGCTGGTTAACTAGCCATAACTCACAGATACGTTCACAGGAAAATAACATCAGCATGTACACATGTTTGAAAAGTTTAAAGATATAGTGCATCATTTGTAATTTGCGCATTTTGTTCGTTTGAAGCAACAATAGTGTTGAAAATCTAAAGAGGGATACTGAACAACTAACCTGATGAAGTTTCAGCTAAGCTTCAGCTGTATATTCCGAGAAAAACAGCATTTTAGGATCTCAATTTCAAATCAAAAGTTGCTGAATCACGTTTTGAATTGTTTTGAATTGCAGCTATACGCGATGTCGCTCACTGATCCGACGAATTATAGCAACCGCGCGCGCGTGTGCGTCGTGCCAATGCTTGCGCGCGCTGCGCCGAATAACAAAACGAACTACTAATTTAAATTGTCCTACGATGCGTCTTAAGACGCACTGTTGGAAAGGCCTTCTTTCGTTGATTACTTCAAAATGATAGCTTGCCAGAAAGATTAATTTCACAGGGAGTTTAGTCCACTTACTATCTTTCAACCAAGTATGTTTTTGAACAATAATATGCCATTTACTTTTTTGGATGGCTGCAAATGATGGACTGTAGCTTTAATAGGACAATACACTACAAAGAAATCACATGTACATTTGTACACATATTTTAATTGTCCAGTTCCTTTGAGTATCTACATGTATATTGCACAAATCTCAATAATATCTTAAGTTACCTTTTTCTTGGAGTTTGTCCTCTGTCATGTAGCTTGGTACTTCCTGAGGCACTACACTTGGTTGAGGTGGGTAGGTCCCTGGAGGGGCTAAAGGGTAGCCACCTACAAGGGCTGCCATCTTGAAATATGGCAATCACCTATTTTGGGTAAAAAAGGTACAGTGAAATCTTGATAAGTCATATCTCAAGGGAATGGATAAAAATTTCAAGATTTCAGAGTTTCGAGTTATGCAAAAGTTCCAACTTCTTCCAAGATCATGGCTCAAAGTTTCAGTCACTCGCGTTATTTGGCTGGCGCATTCTTTTAATATTGATTTAGATGATGTATTTTTTCAATCACAATTTAACATTTTGCTCAGATTGTATATTTTTCTCACCTAAAAGTGTCAGCTCTATGGATAATTATTACAATAAACCAAACTATGTAACTTAGTGTAGCAAATCTTTATTTCTTGTCGTTTGTTGATGTCTGGTCTGTAGTGATCGCACAATTCGTGAGCAACACGCTCAGCTGTGATTTCCAGATGTGTGGTCACGTGACCAGTCTGATTTGATTGATAGAGGGCACGCTATCGTTGCAAGCTGTAGTGATCAAGCTAACCCGAAGCTAGGCGTGCATTTCAAACTTTCTTTAATTTTGTTGGTATTAACCCACTATGATTTTGCATGCGTTTGGTGACATGTTTATCTCTCTAAACTAAACAAATGTTGCATTCTGACGCCACCTTTTACAGCACAATTGCAGAATACCCCGCCACTCAATCTATCCACCTAGTAGCCGGCTACGGAGTCACGGTTGATTGCCCTCAATAAAAGTTCTCAGCACTACTTGTATGTACTATGCGTCATGCTCCACTGCACTCCCACTACGTATCCGTGTAGCCGCCAACAGGGTAGTTGGTTTGGACTTAAACATTTTTCAGCAACTCCCATTCCTTTTGTGTTGCTTCGTTCTCAAATAATGGGGACCCACTCAGTATCCGCCTAGCTGGCAATGGACTTGAATTGTTTCTTTTCCAGTGATTCCAACCAGGTGGCCAGAGATTTTACACAAATTAGGGGTGTATTTTTTTGAGTGGCAGGGTATTCTGCAATTACTCCCCTTTTTCATCATGTATCATCACAATGAAAGTCAGTCATTGCAAAAAAGTTTTAAAGAAAACATGAATCTGGGACTGAAATGAGTGAGAAACATGTCAAGTTTTACGTGTCAAAAATACGTGCACTCGACTCTCCATTGAATTTGATGTGCGCACTTGCACAGTCGCAGTTGAAATAGCGAAAAAGGCTTATTTTGGTGGATATTATTACTTTCAATGCATATGATTCTGGAAAGGATGTAGCCCCACTAGTGTGGTAACGCCAGTATCACAACTCCAGCAGTACCACTTATCATAATTTATGCCGTGAACAGTACAGCGTCATCAAACTTATAAATTATGTACATCGTCGGTCCGCGCGTGATCGTCGTGTGCATGTCCTTAGACCCACCAGCACGGCCGGTCACGCGTACATGTACATTGTACATGCCAAGGGTTCCGTACGTAATTGTACCGGGTGTAACATGTACAATGTTACGACTCGGCCATAATTGCCGTACACGCGACCTTCGATACCTCCTCCACCTCCGCAATGGGTGCGGTACTGTATCTATTACTTGTTTTATAGCTGCATGGGTTAAAACCATTGATCTCCATTAGTAAGTCTTGCTAATGGAGATCAATGTAATGGAGACCAATAGTTAAAACACAGAGCAAGTCGAGAACTGTGCCCGGTTATCTTTATAATCATTGTAGGAAGTTTTGAATTAATTAAATCAAATCGAATCGAAAAAAAGCAACAACAAAACAGGCCCAATATTTTTTCCGTTAAAGCACAAAACACAATTTGCGTGGGTTGATTTTTTTTTCGTTCGATGTCTCATTCAAAAGTGAATAAAAACAAATTTGTTGGAGTGATCGAAGAGAGCACAGACAGTGCATCTTGAAGTTGAAGCGTAAGTATAATCATGGAGCTATGGTATAATGCTCTGTGAAAGAGTGCAGCTACCACCCCGGAAGTACTAATTAAAAACCGCGGAGATTTTTCGTAAGGGGACATTTTTTTTCAACGACAGAAATAAGATTTTGATATTACAGATTCAAATCCATTAATTCAAAATAAATTCTTTATTCAATAGCTTTTAATTTTTATTAAAATATTAACAAGGTTTCTGTAAACATGGTAAGTTGTATGGTTGTCAAAAGGAAAAGAGTAAAAATAAACAAACTAAATAACAATTAATGCAAGCATTAATAAATGCAATCTTTTTTGTCAATTCTCACATGTCATGCATGTCATGCATGTGTGCTTGGCACGTTTCACCATGTTCACGAATCACGACATGCACGAAGGTAGCCCCATAATGTGGCCAGTTTACTGGACTGCCTCCGTAAACATAGGCCACACAGCCACCATCTTGGAAACTGACTCGACGAAATAAAAAAAAAAAAATTCGGTGATTTCCACATTGCGACTTCAAACCCAGTTCATTTATGCTTTAAAAATACACTTACCCTCTTAATAACAAAATTAGAACCTGCTGCCAGTGTCAGTTGCCCAGCTGCTGCATAATTTACGACATTTTCTGGACCATTCTTGGCAACTTGGTCCAACCGTGGAGCTATCTCCATGGTCCAACTGAACAATGCCCTCGCGCAGATCGTTCACCTGTCAATCACGCGTGCAGGACGCACGCCGCAGGCCCAGTGGTAGTCCGGTTCCAAGACCAAAAGATTCTGACTATTCCTAGGATGGAATAGTCAGAATCTTTTGGTCTGGGAACCGGACTACCACTGGGCCTGCGGCGTGCGTCCTGCACGCGTGATTGACAGGTGAACGATCTGCGCGAGGGCATTGTTCAGTTGGACCATGGAGATAGCTCCACGGTTGGACCAAGTTGCCAAGAATGGTCCAGAAAATGTCGTAAATTACGCAGCAGCTGGGCAACTGACACTGGCAGCAGGTTCTAATTTTGTTATTAAGAGGGTAAGTGTATTTTTAATGCATAAATGAACTGGGTTTGAAGTCGCAATGTGGAAATCACCAAATTTTTTTTTTTAAATTTCGTCGAGTCAGTTTCCAAGATGGTGGCTGTGTGGCCTATGTTTACGGAGGCAGTCCAGTAAACTGGCCACATTATGGGGCTAGCACGAAGGTGAACATCAATGTTTAGGTGTCGGAAAAGCACGGCTTTCATACTGTTCAATCAAAACTTCAGTTTGGCGTTTACAAAACGTATAAACTTCGTCAATGAATCCAGTCTGTTCTTCCCTACTTGACATCAACTAAACACCTTCAAATGCATAAATATTAATCTAGCAATAAACACTAACACAAAATCATTTCAAAAAAGCTCTTTGTAATTAGGAGAAAACCTGGAAAATTAAGTGTTACCTCGTGCACAGCATCAACGAGTTACAAAATTCACGCGTTTGTACAGCCGGTATGGTTTCAGCCGCGTGCGTTTGCTAAGCTAGATGTTAGGTCAGTCCGGCGCTCGCGCATGACAAGGGGCGTTCACCAGACTATTTCTTTACCAATTGTGACGTCATGATTCGGTTTAGTCTCCTCTCGGGCTGGGTGAGCGACTGAAAAGAGACTACACCTTTATTTATGTTTTGTGTTGTCGTTTTGGAGATTGCTGGCAGCACTGGTTTCCTACTTCCAAAACACAGTTTCAACAGGTATATACGGCTGGGGCATAGTACCAGTGAATATAGGACCAGAATTTTTGCATGGCATTTTGGAGTGGCGGTTCTTGACGAAGTGGACCGAATTTTATCCTAAAAAATGTGCAGTAAAATGATGAAGGTTAGTTGATTTTGTTCAGTGTTACATTTAGATATGAATAGACTTTGATTTTCTTTCATTAAAATATGATATTAGCACATTATTACTAGGCCCTAGCTCTTGACAAGAGCTAGAGAGTAGAGTCTTGTATTTTGTAATGTTATATCATGTATATGGTTATTTTTTTCTTAACCCAAAATCAGGATTTTTTTTCGCAGTGGATTTTGAATTAATTTAATAAAATATACCAATTACCATGAATATAGTCGTGTTCCCTAACATGGCGCACTTCGAAGCATACCTGACTTTCCTCGCGTAGTGTTGCCAAACCTCTTTGTTGACAAACGTCAAATTCATGCAGTAAAATACTGGTACTTTTACTTTAATAATGCTTGCTATTTAACCTCTGTGAACAATTTCGGTTTCATAAAATTTAATCCGAAATTCAAAAACGGTGGCGTCCGGAAATTGGGCACAAATAGGCGGAGTGTTCCCTAACGTGGCGCACTTGAATAAATCTTGGAAAATTCCAAATTAACACTTAAGACTTTCTGTAAACTTGATAAATTCTTATAAATAATTGTTATCTCTACTTACATACCCAGCCAGATGTTTGTCAGAAAATTATTTTCTCATTTTTCAGGGCATTTTCAAAGGGTTCACTTTGCACTTGAAAATAAAATCGGAAAATCACGCCAAAATAATGTTTCCTTCTGAATTTGTTACGGGTAAATAAACTCGCGATTTATGATCAGGAGTGTTTAGAACTTGATGACATTTCACTTTTTGTGAAATTTCAGTTAAAACTTTTGCTCTAGGTAGGCACTACAGGCAAAAAATCAAAGTGCGCCACGTTAGGGGCCGCGCCACGTTAGGGTACATCAACAATACAGTCGTTTTCCTTGTTTTGGATTTTTACTTTTTCGGGGAAAATGCATTTTGTAAAATAAAAATTTAACTTTCTTGACACACAAATAACTTGCCATCTTTATGGCATCCAAATAAGCCTACAATTTACAAAGGAAATTCCATTACTTTAGTACCCGTCATATCATACGCGATTTTCAGAATGTCAGACAACTCGACCATGTCGATCATTGAGACAACTCGACTCAGGACAACTCACCAGTTGAGATAACTCAACCATTGAGACAACACGACCATTAAGACAACTTGACCGTTGAGACAACTCAACTCGAGCCAACTTGACCATTGAGCATGTTGAGACAATGGAATCAAGACAACACAATCACATTTGATTTATCCAAAACCTTCTTATATCCACACCCGTCCCAAGTGCCATTGAATGGGATAGCGTATAAATGTGCACGTTCCGCGTCCTTTTGCATATCATGTAATTGGACAATATTTCCCAAGTTGTGTTGATGCGATTCTATCGCAGTAGGTTAATTGTCAATTGTTCTCAGACCTTTTTCTTAAAAAAAAAAATCCTCCAAAGAAAAAGAAAATTACATGTTAGGCCTACATACAAATCTGTTACCTGTTTCTATTTACAGATGGTGAAGAAGCGAGAGTAGATCTCTCAGACAAACACCAAACCTTCTCATAAAAAAAGGGGGAACAACTAAACATGGCTGCCCCCGTCCATGTCCAGCTTCGCAACGCAGAGAGCTCCATCTTGTTCATGCAGCAGGAGCATGCTAAGACGCTGCAGGGGCTGCACCAGGAGCTGCAGAAACTCCAGAAGAAGTGTGCCGAGTTGACCTTTGAACTGGCCATGAAGGGCGATGCTCCAGACCAAGGTGAAAATTGTGATCAAGAGTCTGGCCCGGTTCATACTTCACGGGAAAGCAAGCTCGAAGCAAAAATTCATGTCAACAGCGATGGACCTGCTTTGAACATATTGTTGGCGTCTCAAATTCTGCTTCGCTTTCACTTTCGCAGGAAGTATGAACCAGGCTTTACACTGTAGTTTGTGTGATATATACCTTGCGTTTCCCAAAAGGCATTTTGCACTTGGATGTACAGTACAGTAGTAGACAAAAATACCTTGGATTCATGCACATGATGCATGTTGTTGATTCCCAGAATGTGATTGTGAAGTCTCAGTGTTGTAGTCAAGTTTTCCAAAAGTCTGGTTCGAATCCATCTGCTGGTCATGTTGTTTCCTTGGGCAAGCCACTTCACCCCATCTTCCGCTGTGAGCGGGTCACTGACAGATATTTCCGGCCTCGCTCCCTGCATGTTTTTCTTTCATCCATTCCTAATAGCGCAAAACTTTTGCGTGTACACTCAGCCTCCGGCGCGAACTGGTTAAAAAGTAGCCCCAATGAATAGCACCATTCAGTTTCAAATGATTTCTGTGTTTTTTGGTCTACCTTGGAAAGCACCACCGGATGTAAGATATGCCCCCCCCCCCCTCCCTCCCATTTCTAGTCACATCTTACATTTGACATGTACTTTGTGTTTTTTGTTTTTTTCTGCAGAATTATACGTGAAGAAACAGAAGGCGCTAGAGGCCCAGCTTCAGGAGAAAACTGCAGAATATGCAGAAGCCAAGAAAGAACTCGAGAAGCGGGATTCCAGAGTCAGCTCCCTAGAGCAGCAGGTGAAGACCCAAGAGCACCAACACCAAAATGAGATCAAGCATTACAAGCACCAAGCCTCGGTCATGACCAGTGAGTTAGAGCAGCGCTCCAGCAGCATTGCCTACCTGACGACCCAGCTACACCAGCTGAAGTTACGGCATCGGTCGCGGAGCAAGGACGAAGCAGCGTTGGCTGACGAGAGAATCAGCAGCCCAGCTCCGCCCAAGGACAAGCCGCACCATGTGCGCCGGCACAAAGTCCGAACTAGCTCCATTGGGCTGGAGGGTTTGAAAGCCCCTCTGCGGGCAATCCACCCGGCCGGCTTGGACAACAGCGATTTGCTGGACTACGCATCATATGTGGCGGATACAGCAGCCACACCACAGTACATCGTCAGGACTCGTCGATCGGGCTCGGCAGGCCCACGCCGGCACAGCTCTACGACGCACTCCAGAACGGACATCCTAGATCTTCAACCTTTCCTGGCCAAGAACGCGAACTGCGGCCCAGAGATGCGGCCTACACCCCCACCAATCTTGCCCCCGATTCCTCCCAGCGAGGACAGGAACCGAAACATTTTAGACAAGCGCAACATCTTCTCTAAGCGAAGCATTCACAGGTCCAATCCGGAGTTTGACCAGAGTCTGACAGCGGCGATGGAGACACTGGCCGTTGAAAAGGTCTGCTCAGGAGAGAAAGACTTGCGACAAATAGAGCAGTCTAAATCAGACTGATTTCCTGGTTTGTGGTTTTCTGAAGTGTGCCATTTTTCATTCACAGAATCAAACACAATTTGAAATTCTTTTGAAATGCCGAAATGATTGTGCAGTTAAATTTTTAAGTTGTTTTTACATTTTATAAATTATAATTTCATTTTAAGTGTGCATTACAAAAAAACTCTTAAGGCATACTGACAGATATCAACAATAGTTAATATAATATTAACAAAAATGTAATATAATGTAATACATTACAAACAAAAATACTGAGGTTGAAGTGTACAATTGCTGATTGGTACTTGCATATGTACATATTGATCTACATGATCAATGTGTATGTACATGTAACTTCATTGGTGTCCCCTAAATTGGTCAAAAATGCCGGTATGGTTTTAAAAACACCTACTATCTAAGACAAAAGTCAAACATATTTGTCTAGTGACAAGTTCCAGTTTTTCCCTCTTCGGTTACATTTGGAATTTTGTTCCCTCATTAAGTACGCACTTGTACGATTAGGTTTGACATCAACTTCTTTTTATAAAAATATAAATGCTCCAGGCAGGGGGAAAAAAATAAGTTGAATCCATATCATGAGAGGAAAAAAGATAGAATATTGCTTAAATCTAAGGTTAGACAAGGCAAGTAGCCAATCAGTTTTGGAAAACAAGCATGATGGAATTGTTACAAGATAAGTTTGCGGTAGCACCATGTGAATTAATCTCTTTTGTGAGTATACTCACAAAAGAGATTTATTCACATGGTGCTACCGCAAACTTATCTTGTCTTAGTATCTTTCCACCATGCAAACTTTCAAATCTCATGATGGAATTGATCAAATTGAGAGAGAATCTTACCAGGCAAACAATCATATATATACGTGTAAATCACAACAACAAACAACATTGGTTTGCTTAATAGTACGGATAAGCGTAGAAATGGTAGAGGGGCCTCAAACATTATAATGTTTAAAAGATAATATAACTCACAGCATCGAACATGTTATTGCTTGTGGCTCCTCTATGCTTCCATAAATTAACCCTAACGTGCCTGAATCCATCAAAATCCACACCCCTGTTTTGGAGTATTTCGACGGATTCGGGATACCTCCTTATTGAAAACATGGGGATTTTGATGGATTCAGGATTGTAAGCCTAGCGGTACTGCAGGATTTTGGCGGATTCAGGATACTTTCTAGTGAAACTGCTCAAGGGGTTAGGGTAAAGTTGTCTTGGTTGAAACTTGGAAATTGTAATTCTTGCAACATCTTTCCTCCCGCCTTTCTTTGATCAACAACATGTGTGTGAAAGGAAAAATACATTGTACTAAACATATTTAGGAGGTACATGTATAAAGTTCATTTATTGTTAACCCTAACCGCCCTGAATCCTCCAAAATCCTTTTTACAAATTGTAGGAATTTGCAGGATTGAGGTTACATGGCAAAAGTGCGTTGCTGAGTACGCACTGTGTCAAGGTCTTAGGCTGGACCTTGTGTTGTTTATGCTCAGCCGTGCATAAATTTAGTCCTTGATTATACTTGACATCCTCCGCACTGCTCCAGGATGTCACTGCCTTTGCCTCAGCCTATTGACAGACATAGCCGGAGGACTTTGCAGGATTCAGGCAGTGGTCACCCCTCCATGGACCATATTCAAGAAATAACGGAGGAATTTGCAGGATTGAGGCTATATGCTATTTTTCCATGAGGCCAATTGGAGGATTTTGCAGGACTGAGGCTACATCCTAGCAAAAAGGCCTAGGGAGTTAGGGCTAGTAGGTTAACACGATATCATTCTCTGATTTTTTGTGACAGCCTACATGTAGGCCTACCTGTACTTTGCACCATCATCCTGAAAAAAAAAATCGGTAACATTTAAATAATTTAATTTAATTTAATCATGTAAAAATTGTATTACAATTGGAGGATTCAGGACTGTTAGGGTTAATCAAACTTGTTTACAAAGCAATCAAGTGATAAATTTCAGGGAATTATATCAGAAAAAAATGTACATGTACTGCACACCCCCCCCCCCCCCCCAAGAACAAATTCCTGTCCCTTCTTGTCTTGGCACATTGCCAAATGGTAATAAAAACATGTTACCATGGTTACCCATACTGTACGGAATTGATGCTTGGCAACCGTGGTTCATCATGGCTGGTATTCTGATTAGGAGAATAATTGAGTGATCATGCAGGGGCCAATATTTGGACTACATTGTTTCCCTATAACGTAGTCAAGTACACGTATGTACATGTATGTTATACATGTAACTAGCTAGTTCATCATACGATAGTTCATTTACAATTAATGGCCATCGAAAGGGAGGATCTCATCAGTGATGGCCACTGTACAGTGTGTGACACTAGGGACATTTGTGTTTAATTCATGCCACAATAGACAGCAGTGTATCGACATGTTCCTTACAGACTATAAGTTATGCAGACACAACATGTCAGCTGTTTCCTTCTACTACATCTCATACTGCAAGGAAACATGCAGTGGAAATTCAGTTCATTGTGTTTTCATGCACATTACTATGTGTTGCAACAATACATACAAAAACTTAATACTTGTTCTCATTGTAAGTGACAAGAAAGTGGTAATTTTTCAATTATTAGCAAATCCTTTCGTCAATACATGTATTATGTAAGCATGGTAAGAGGGCGATATTTTGCTTTTGTCACGTAAAGGTACTCCTTGTCAAAAGTTTATACAATAGTCCCTCGAAATTACCTAACAAAAAATGTTTGGAAGAAATATTGGCCACTGCTGTTGTCCTTTGGAAATGCATTTGCCTCTCCTTGGACTCTGTATACAACCTAATAAGTGGCGTCAGGACATTCTTTTGGGGCAGGGTACCAGACTGACTCACTGCCGAACCCACTGACTGACTGTCACTTGCGAGCTGGGCAGTGCTATCGTATAGGACAACCCTGTTACGTCAATAAATTGGCTAAATCCATGAAAACCATGAAAAGTCTATCAATGAAACGCTATTCTGGGAAAGAATGTTGCAACCTGACGGTGGATGTTCTCTTCATATATCATCCCAATGAAGGTCATTCATTGCAAAAATGATAAAAAAAGACATGAATCTGGGACTGAGAAACATTTCCAATTTTGGTAGGAAATACTTGACAAATTTTCTTGACTCCCAATATAGACTTTGTACACAACCGCTGATGTAGCGTCAGGTTGCAACATTCTTTCGCTATTCTGGATTAACTGAAGAGAAATTGTGTGTGCTCTGAGATCAGCTAATCTAGGCTTGCCTTCTCTTGTTCGAAATTGGATTGGCAGATGGTCATGCGGTGGAGATTTTATGTATCATGTATATGTATCTCATTTAAACCAACATATTTTAAACAGCACTGCCCGCTACTTTTGTAATACCTAAATGGTACCGAAGAGATAATTATTTATTGAAATATTACTCGTCGCACCTCGGACTATGTTTTTGTTATGGTTTGTGTGTTTTTGTATTCAGATCGAATTGCAGTTTGTTCTGACGAGGTAGCATTGTGAATAAAACAAATACATGTATTGCAAACATGCTTAAAAGCATGCCGTATTTGGTATGATGTTGGTACAATAAAATGATCATGATTGAAATTACAAAGATGCCTGCTTATTGGCGAATGAGTTTTAATGACCAAAACTTAGGGCCTATACATGTATATTCAACTTGTTTGAAAAGAAAATCTCAGGTTGTGTGATCGGTATAATAAAAGGTACCTTCAGGTACCTCTAGTAGGGCAATTCTCTGTGCCTGCACCACTAACATCTCCCAAAATAGCCAGTGGGCCTACGGTCAAAAACGAGTTCCCATATGCAATTTCAGGTTCATTTTTTGAAACTTTCAGGATCACTAATAGATACCTCAAGTAGTTCAAAACCACTTAATGCCTTCTTTTTTTCTGACCCTTTTATGGGCGGCGCCATGACTTTAAAAGTGGGGGCTTCGTGCGCAAAATAATGATTCAGATTTCACTTTTCTTGTTAGCATTTGGACAGCTCACCCTAGAAACATCACTAGAAAAAAACAATTCCAGAAATTTGTCTCTTCGGGGTGGGGCCACATTTTAAAAAAGCAGGGGGCAAATGAAATCGAGCTGTAACAGACATTTTGGGTGGTGTTTTTTTTTTTGGGGGGGGGTAAATTTTTTTTTCCCCATTCAGTACAGAAAACCGGCTGGACAGAATGCTTGCCTGTCAAATCATAACAAATTGTTCCCTTTTGGGGGCGTGCCCCAATTTTTTTATTAAAAGGGGCATATTCCAAAAGTGGGCTTGCGGGAGCCCATATGCAGTTCAGGTATACATTCTTTTGAAACTCTCAGGACTCAACAAGTCAAAAAAAAATCGCTTGGTCCCATTTTTTTCAACGCCCCTAGGGTTGCCATTTTGAATTTCCAAATGGCAGCCATATTAAACATCTGTCCTACATATTGTACACATATAAGACATTTATGTTTTGATCTTTTATATTGTACCCTGAATTCAATGCTGACCTCTTTGGCTGTACACTTAGTTCAAACTGTAACAGCTAGTTTAAACTCCCAAATGGCCGCGACTTACAGTATATATTCTATATACCATTTGCACTTATTGGAAAAAGTCAAAAATGACAAAGCTCAATGAGTCAAAGAGCAATAAGTTATCGAGCTCAGATGATCAAATTACTAGTAAGCGAATGAAATATAAATCACGTGTAATTGGACACAAGTTTGATGAGGCATTTGGTATCAATGACCTTGTTCAGAAAGAATTTAAAGCTTGAGACCTACGGGTATCTGTCCATATAGTTTCACAAGTTAAATCCAGACTGGATTTCACAATATTTGTATTATACGTTATATATTTATGTCATTTGAATTGGTTACAAGTGTGGTGATTCATAATAATTTGAAAATCATCAAAACGTATTTTGTCACCCCGTGCTGCAGACGCAGGGAGATAACGCTGTTTTCGCATACTATTATTGACGTGCTAGACGAAAACTTTTCTTTTGGCTGAGCCTGGCATAGCCAGACATACCTAGTCTGCGACTTGTAGATCAGTTCGAGGGCTTTCTCTCCAAGCTGTGAGTTGTGCTGTTGTGTGTATCCTTAAATAACCGAATTCAAAGGCACTGGGGTAGGTTTATCTGTATTATTTATTTAATTATTTATTATTTAATACTATTTATAAATCAGACCGATTACTTTGTTAGAAACTTAATTGTCACCGCACTTATTGTAATTTTTCAGGGTTTTTACTTCTACTGAAAGAAGTATTGTCTTCTTCGGGATAATAAAGCTAGATAAGAGATAGCCCCATAAATGTGGCCTATTTACTGGACTGCCTCCGTAAACATAGGCCACACATCCACATGTACAAAAATCGTGTCGACTTTGCCAAATTTTGATTTTCACATTTAGGCTTAGTTTGTAGGATTTGTTTTGCTTTAGAAGCATACCCACCCTCTTTATAGGTTAGTCAGAAAGTGCTGCCTTTTTCAGATGTCTAATTTTTGTGAAATTTCATGTTGAAATTTTGATACGCAAACGTGTAAAAATGAATCTGGAAATTTCACGAAAAATAAACATCTGAAAAAGGCAGCACTTTCTGATTAGCCTATAAAGAGGGTGAGTATGCTTCTAAAGCAAAAAAATCCTACAAACTAAGCCTAAATGTGAAAATCAAAATTTGGCAAAGTCGACACGATTTTTGTACATGTGGATGTGTGGCCTATGTTTACGGAGGCAGTCCAGTAAATAGGCCACATTTATGGGGCTAGATAAGAGATAGATCTGAAGCTTGTCATTTGTCATGTCATCTGTTGAATAAAACAACGGCGAGGCCTGCCGACGAGGCGACCCTTGATATGTGGCTGACCAGCTACTACACAAGCTTTCCTGGAATTTATAAGTTCGTAAAATTGTCAGCATCGGGGGGCTGGCTGTATTTGCACACATCATTTCAGCCTCACATAGTTCAGTGCTAACTACAA